TGTGCAGTATCTGCGCCTTTACTGTGGCGCAGCCATCTTCATTCAGCTTTTGTATACCGGTTAGCCTTCCTGCTGGTTCTGTGGGATATGATGTAACTGAGTTTGTGTAGATCCTCTTTGTCCCTTTATGGGTGTTGCCCTCCAAGTTGGCCCTCGAGGAAAGGCAGGGGTAGAACATCATGGGCATTTCCAGCCATCTCAGGAGATGCTTTTACTATTAAAAAACCTACATCAGTTTAGCGTTCTGGTATCAAAATAATATACCATTAGTGCACCATTTCACTTTGATACAGCAGCACTTATATAACGATTTTCCCCATGTGGCTTCCTGGGCCCTGTTATAGGGAAAACAAGAATAGACCCATTGCCTACATTATGGTCTGTCACGATACGATCCCAGTGATTCCAGAAGTTAGTACTTGTAATAAGTTCTTCTGGTTATTGAGAGACAAGAGACTATGCCCTTAAACCAAATGTTACTTTAAACCGTATTGATTTAAATGTTTCCAGTCCTTAGTCCAGACAAAGCGACCCAACCTTGGGTAATATTACCTAAAACTTTACACTGTAGCTAGGAATTCTATTCTCATGCCAGTGTCAGAATGTTATCTCCTGACCACACTGTAGAGGCCAGCGAACGGGGAACTTTGTATCACACATCACACCTGAGCTGGACTGTAGGTCATAAAGATTACCTAACACGAGTTGAGCGAACTCTAGACATTGAGGCGACGAGAAGTTTAAAGTTTAACACGTCAGTGTAATTCCCCGGAGAACAGGTGTTTGCCAATTAGGGATGTTTGATCTTGGTCCAGTAGGAAACACAATGGCTTCACGGACCGTTTTCACACCGGCTAGTTAGATTCGTTGTAAACTAGATTGGGTCACTTAAGAATGTACGCTCTAGGGATGTCAGTCCAGAATTGACTGACAGGCCACTTGTTAGCTAATTTGATTTGATAGGTACTTCAGAGGCGGAGCTTAAGTCATCGTCTTGAGGGTTGGGCAGAACCCAGTAAAGAGGGAGGAGTTTAATTTGGACAATAGATTGATACTTATACTGCGGGCATCGTAGATTTACCTCATAGTGCCGCCAGCAGGCCACAGACTCAGACCTACCGTGGAAAAGTATTTTCTGACTGGTTGAGTCGTGTTCGGCATGTGCTGGAAAGTTCCCAGGTGAATATTAATTTTAATCTTGTATACTTAGGTTAGGGAGTTAAGCTTAGTCTATACTACCTTTTCCTAATTTGTCTGCACATTCTGTTTGAAATAGTTCTTTGTGAGTATTCAGTATCTCAGTTAGGGAACTGCTAAACTATTCCTATTTCTTGTATGTTTGTGTCACATGTTTTTCATTGTATGTTTTCATGTGTATAAAATAAGATGTGAACAATGACATTTGCTATAATGAAATGTAATTATATTGTTTCCATGATCAGCCAAAACATGAGTTTGGACTGTGGGAAATCCAGCCCATATGTGCAGGGATGCTGTTACGTTTTGTGTGCCCACCATGTGCTCACTTAATGTGTTCAACTAAACAGGGGATTTATAACCCCAGGGGAAGAATGATGGGTGTATAGAATTCACGGTCACTGAAAGATAATATTCAGTACAGCGTGCACATATAAATTGTTTGCGTGTTCAGCACAGAACCTGCGCCACATGTTTATGTCAAATCAATGTCAGCCAGTTGGAAGTCTGAATGATGACGGACAACAGACTTAGAAAGTCAACTATCATGACATAGCATGAGAGAGGAAGGCAGGATATGTGACGCCCATGTAAGACAAAAGACCTTCAGACTAGACTGGAGAGGATGTGGAATATGAGGAGGAGTGATGGGATATATTTTATTATTATATGTTACAATAAATGATACATGTATTCTTAGTGTAAGTCAAGATACTACACGTATGTGTTTTGTTTCCATGATTACAGCGCCCATGTGACGATCAGTCCATGAAAGAGACTACATTGTGTTAGACTCGGCCAGCTGGGAACGAGGTGGGGGCGAGAAGGAGAAACAAGCAGGGAAGAAGCTGGAAGAGGAGGAAGAGCTTGACAGTGCTCACGGCTGTCAGAGGTTCTATGAAAGTTATGTTCATAAATTGTTCATACTTTATCACCTTCATCACACCACTCTAATCCCAGGTGCTGTTCTCGTGCTGAAACAACCCCTTACTATCATAACTTTAGCTAGTCACTGTTTGTGTAAACACAACAAACTGGGTATGTCAATTAACTGATTGTTAGAAAATAAAGCTGTATGTCAAGTTTTATACTACATCGTTTGTTAAATTCCAAGTGTATTCAATCTTACCTGTTTTCTAAACTGATAGATAGAAGTACATTTGGTGGGGGCTCAAATAATATTTCTTTAATTATTAATAATAACACCGGGAGAAGGTAGATGACGGAGGAATCATTTGCCCTGTCTAATAATTCATTAAGTAAAATGCTATAGACATCTAAAATTCCTTGCCTTCTCTTGTGGGTTAGCTAATGTTAATGTACTTAACGAGCCAATATGGCTGTTTTCTTGGGTATCCAGGACTTTGTCTGAGAGCAACATAGCTCAGATTTTAGTTCGGTTAATCTGGTGGAGGAAATGTGTTGAGAGGAACATCCCTACTCAACACTATAAAACATTTAAACCACCCGTCACGTCACATGGTCTAAGAATGGCACTACCAGGAAGGGGATCAGGCCGAAGCTCGACACTCAGGGAAAAGGCAAGACGGATATACAATCAGACAGTTACTGGTACCATCGGAATTTTAACTCTTCACATGCTGCTGGAGATGGGGACAGAGCGCTTATGGGGGTGTCCCGAGTGTTAAGATGTTGGTTCTTAATTCAACATTCAGGCATGTCGTAAGAGTCCACTAATTGGGAGCTTTCTTCAAAGTCGGAGTGCATCTGCCCCAGAGGCAAGGAGCCAGCAGTCTGCAAAAAAATGAGTCAGATCTGTCAAACGGATCCACACGCAACACTCAGATTCTGGAACAGGACTGCATTCCAGAAGTGGATGAACAACCAGAACTTTCGGCCAGAGTTTACAGTTGGTGAAGGTGAAGAAGATATAATGATTTAACCATATGAGTTCTAGGACCCATTGTGAACAAAAAATAGACCTACTGCCTAAATAACAAGCATGTTGTAGGAGTTGATTAATTAGGTGCTTCCTTCAAAGTCTGAGTGCAGCAGCCTGAGAGGCAAGGAACTGCCAGTCTCAATACAAATAAGCCAAATCTGTAAAACAGATGGGCAAGCAAAACTCAAGTTTTGGGACAATACTAAGGTCAAGAAGTGGATTAACAGCCAGAATATATCTCAGGTGAACGTAAAGAAAAAGAAAATATCACAACTAAGTCAATCTCCACTCGACTTACTGCAAAAGAGAAAATTGATTTGGGTGTTCAGTGTTCATTTTTATTCAAAACCATGTTGCTGTTTAATTGTTGTATATTAAAACCATGTTACTTTCTTCATTTCGAGTTCACCTCGCTGAATCTAGTTGGCTCACGAGCAAAGCATGGTTTTTTTAAACTGCAATATGGTTTTCGGAAATAATTTAGATTTTATATAACTACATGACACGAGTTGGCCGGCTGGCCAAAGAAAGGAAATAACTCACTTGGATCCTACTTTCATTATACATTCTTAGCTACAAACTACTGATTCAACATTCGTTTGTCATATTAACTTGCTTTGCTCCAATTATAACTGTAATACCTTTTCTCCACAGGTATTATTATTTGAAATACATTGGTACCTCTCATATAAATAATATGAGTTTTAGGAGAGAGAAGCTGGGATATACAGACAGAGAGAAGGGGAAGTATAGAATTTCATGCACTGTGCTAAACAATAAACAAACCAAGAGGAGGAAAACATTTCATTTTTAATGAAAAATCCAAGCAATTTTGTTTTATTTTAAACTACACGTATTTACATCCATTTATCATAGTAGAGTGCACTTGAAGACTTCATCTACACAGACAATTAAATAGTTGCTGTTTTTCTCCTCTTTAGCGAATATGTTTAAACCACATGTGACTAACTGGAGAAGACTGGTATGAACTTGTGCAAGGGTTTATGAAACAAACAAACTCAAAGCCAGCATACTCCCCTACGTATACAGGGTAGCAGCTTGGACAACTAGTCTATCCAGATAAGGGTTGCAATTTTTTTCTCATGCCTTTTCTGTCACAGTTCTTGTCAGTTTCAATTTTATCTCTCTAATGCCTTTTCTGTCACAGTTCTTGCCAATTTAAATGTTCTCTCTTTAATGCCTTTTCTGTCACAGTTCTTAGCAGTTTCAATTTTTTTCTAATGCCTTTTCTGTCACAGTGCTTGCCAGTTACCATGATGTTCTCTAATGCTTTTTTTTCTTTAAATTACAGAACTTTATTATGACAGTGGCGCATAAGGCAATGTGAGATATTTTTAGAGACCAATCGGCACTCGGTGGGAGATGTCAACATCACACTGACTGCCTTTATTTCCCATTACCTTTTACAGTTTTAGGTTGGGTCTTCATAGGTTTTCTCAATATATGACCCAAAAACAAAACTTAAAATTTGACTTTCTCTTGGCTTTGTGTTATATTCTGTCATTAACTTCTTGCAGGCACATATAGTACACAATCAAAACTGAAGCAGCAACAACTGACTCGGATGAAAAGAACCAAGCACAGTTGTAAAAACTTTTAAAAAAAAAATCATTTAGAAGTTGGCACACACACAAGAATTAGAATTAGTGTGAGTATAGTAATATTAAAGAAAAGAAACAGGACATCAGAGCACAACTAATTCTGCAATAGCCTTTACAGGGACAATGATGACGATAATGAAAGACAATGGACTCCGAGTAAAGATACAAAAATCCATTCTTTATGAAGTAGAAATTATGAACAATGACATGCCACCAATGTGATTTCCTTTCTCTTTCATTCTGGTTCAAACTGAATAGAAACTTTACATTGATTAATATTATTTTTGGTTCATTTTTTCAGCTACAGCTTTAAGCATTTGTTCCACTCGGGTTGGGGTCAGATCCATGCCAGCAATGTCTGACCACTGCTGGGCCATCTCTTTCTTATCAACAGCTTCGCTAATACGTCGGTTCTGAAAGAAGGAAAGAAAATGCTCATTAAACACAATCCTTTGATGACACTCAGCAGTTCTGATAAACTTGGTTGTGCGCATCTGAACAAAACAGTAACCAAAGGCTACCCTTTTAATACCAACATACTGGGTATGGGCTAGTTGAGAACAGACACAATTTAGAAATGAAATTTAACAAAACGCTTTAAGACAAACTGAGGAATTCAAGTATTTGGGAGCAATTTTCACATCTGATGGAAAATTTAATAGAAGAATTAGCTCGAGATGTGCCCAAGTTAACCAAGTACTGGGGTAACTATCTCCCCTGTTGACACACAAGCAGATACCCTAGAGTACTAAAGTGAATGTTATCAGAACTATTTTTGTGCCAACACTATGCTATCAGTGCCAAATGTGGATACTTACATCCTCTAATCTATGTAAAATTGTGACAACAGAGATGAAATGCCTTAGAAGAGCTGCAGGAGTTTCAAGAAAAGACAGAATATGAAATCAGACGAATGCTAGGAATAATGAACAACAAATGAAGTGGTTTGGACACCTAACAAGAATGCACTGGTACTATCTGCCACAACGAGCCACACTGAAATGTTACAACGGGAATAGAGCGAGTGGAAGACCTCGTAAAAGATGGAGTGATGGCATAAAAAACAGCCTAACAGGAATGAACATCAATCTTAATATTGCTCTTAACAGAGCTTATCAACGAATGTTACATCTCTCCCCCCCCCCCCCCCCCCCCGACACTTCACTGAGGTACAGCGTAGAAGAGATGAAAAAGAAGAAGAGAACAGACATCACAGCACATAAGTGCTTCATCTTCAGCAGCCAGCATAGCGCTCTTCTTTCAATGATACCAGCAAAAGTCTGATTGTATGTCTGTCACGCCTTTCCTATCAGTGCTGAGTGTCGGCCAGACCCCCTAGTCACTGCTGCTACACACCATTAATTTCAAACAGTGATGATCTATTTGTGCTTCTGTACTTTTCAATGGCTTCCAAAGGGCCTTGACCACATGGCACATGGAACAAAACATATATTTAAAGACATTCTTTGGAGTCTCTACCGTGTAGTGGCTAGACGCTTGCCCACTGAACTGAAGGTGGTGGGTGAGCCGGACTTTGACTTCGAAGTTGACACAGCCTTCAATGGGTAAAAGGTAGTAAAGTCCTGTGAAAGTAAAGACGGCCAGCATGATGCTGACCACAATCACTCACCAAGTGCCCACTGGTCTATAAAATTTAGGTCAAGAACTTTATGACCAAAGCCGTGACAAAAGATCCTGTGGCATTTACTGAGTTATGTGGTCAACATCACACCATTCACCTTTTCTCCCCAGAACATTTCCGTATAGCCTATGTAGGCTGGGTCAAAGAGGGAACCCAGGTCAGTTTTAAACAGACCCCTTTGATAAAGATTCAAAACCATGATCTCAGAGCCGACCACTACTGATGAATTAAACAGTGGAATGAGCTGCAAAAGGACAAACTACGAAGATGCTAACAAACAGAGATGAAAATAAACTATGAGGAGATGTAAACAAACTATGAAGGTGTCAATAAACTATAGATAGAGATGTCAACAAACTATGGGAGATGTCAACATTCTTCTTTTTTGCAGTGTTTGTCCACTTCTGGAGTTTAGCCTTGTTTCAGGACTTGAATATTGCGTGCACATCCATTTTACAGATCTGGCTTATATGGTAAGCAGACTGTTCCCGGACTCTCAGGCAGATGTACTCCAACATCAAAGAAAATGCACATCCCATCAAGGCCCCCCCCCCCCCCCCCCAGTTGGGAAACTATTTCTAGGATGACTACAGAGAGGTGTAGATAGGTTTTGGTCAGTAGGAGCTCTGATCTTGGTGCATCATCACATGAGTTCAGCATCAGTGCATCCCTGTTTGAAGAAAAAGGTCACCGTTGGTGAACAGAAGACTCACCTTTGTAACCAGTATAGGACTTCCTGCCATCGACATGAACCTCTCGCCAGGCTTGGCTTCTCTGCTGTTTTCAGGAGTTACTGGAAGACTAAGAATTACAGAGATTGTCAGTATCATAAATAATTAAGCAACCACAGTTCTAATGATAGCAAATGGGTCACTCCATAGTTGCTCCGGTCCTGTGCCAACAAGAACCACACAGAATGTCCATCGCTGTTCTTTGTGAACTAACTGACACAGTCTCAGCAAAGCCAATAGTATACACACTCATTAAATGCATAAGGCAGCCTTCAGAAGTGCCTACACAAACAGTCCACCTCTAAAGTATAAGTATTCATAAAACTGCTGATAGAGAAGTCTGATGATCTCTCTGGTAAACCTCTAAACCCAAAGGTAAAAGAAGAGCGACTAAGTAAGTAGTATTCAGAATATCTTCGTCTGGCCTTTACCCCTCACTGGAGCATAGGTAGTTTAATCAGTGCACATCAGTCCCGCCTTAGATGGGCGAGTAGTGAGGCAGACGAACTAGGCAACGCTTCCTCGCGTAAATCAAAATCACTGCGCAATTCATCCTTTCATCCATCCCTAAAACAAAGCAAGCAGGGCATTTGGCAGACTCCCCTAAAAAATTCTGAAATAGAGCTGGCATCAGCCTGCAGACAAAGCTCAAAGTGTACAAAGCTGCCACACTTCTTGTACTTCTCTAGGCATGTGAAACATGAACCGTTTACTAGCGCCATGCTAAGGAGCTGAACCATTTCCACACAGTATGCGTCAGAAAGCTGCTGAATATAAAGTAGCAAGACAGGATTCCTGACACTGAAGTCCTTGACAAAGCCGAACTGTACAGCATTTGCTCGATTATAAAACAGTCACAACTTTGCTGGGCAGGTCATATAGTCCCCAAGCCTGACCACCGACTGGCAAAAAAAAAATGGTCTGCGGTGAGCTACTAAAATGAAAAAGCTCTCAAGATGGACAAAAGAAATGTTTCAAGGACAATCTCAAGACCTCACTGAGAGACTTCTGTATTGATACTAAAACCTCCCCGTGCAGGTTCCTGGGCCCTATTATAAAGAAAACAAGAATAAACCCAATGCATAGCCAAAAGCATGTCGTAAATGTCGAGTAATTGGGAGCTTCCTTGGAAGTCGGAGCGCATCTGCCTGAGAGGCAAGGAACCAGCAGTCTGCATACAAATGAGTCAGATCTGTAAAATGGATGCACATAACACTCAAGTTCTGAAACAGGACTGCAGTCCAAAAGTGAATGAACAGCCAGAACTTTCCGCCAGAGTTTACAGCTGGTGAATGCAAAGAAGAAAGAAGAAGATACTAAAGCGCGGGAAGTCTTTGCATGTGACCGCTTATCCTGGCGCTCCTCTCTTCATCGAGGAGCAATTCAGAAAAAACAAGCCAGGAAAGACACGGAAGCAAATCACCAGAGAGATGCAACATTAATTCCCTGTCCACACTGCTCAATAAATTTCAGAGCTAGAACTGGCCTAACAGCCATCTGCGCACTTACGCCTAATTTAGTTACCAATGGATGAAAGGACTGGTCATCATCACCTGTAATAGACGAACATCAGTCCCTCCTATGCTTTGCTATCTTATGCAGTTCCTCTCCACAACTGTCTCTTCTCCTTGTCTCTTTAGACATCCCTCTATTTCTTTTGTTCTACCACGAGTTTCTTCTTTATCTTCATGTACGCCAGCTGTAAAGTCTAGCCTAAAGTTCTTGACTTTAGTCTTGTCTCAGAACTCGAATGTTATATGCACACACATTTTACTAATTTAGCTTATTTGTTTAAAGACTCGGTTCCTCGCACATCAGGCAGACGTGTTCTGACTTAAGGGAAATCAGTTGACTGACTTGTACAACAAATTTAAGATTGGCCAATCAGCCATGTGTACCTGTGGAGTGGCACATGAGACAACGGATCACATCCTCCAAGACTGTCCCAGATTCAACACTTCCAGGCAAAACTTCTGGCCAAAAGAGACACTTGTGGAAGTCAAACTTTACGGGCCGCTTAGTGAATTACAAAAGACAGTGAAATTCATACTAGAGACAGCATTGCAGATATAATTTATTTCATGCGAATGAAAGAAGAAAAAGAAGTTGACTGACTTCAAAGGACATGCTTGTTAGGAGAGCAGCCGATCTCCTCCCCCCCCCCCCCCCCTCAAATGGGACCCCAGAACCCACAGCTCAGCTACCAGCCCTGCAGATATGATGAGATCAGTTGCACAAACACACAAGTTATACAACAGCAAGAAAAGATATACTCACGTGGGATCGAATTTTGGTGTCACAAGAGGAGTTGGTCCCCATAATGGCTGGCTCATTTTGCTTACAGGAGTCATAAATCGGCTAAAACAAATAGAGTAGGACATTCATATGTTACTGAATAGGGGCGTTGGTAAATTTGGTGCGACGTGATCGTGTTTCTATTCTACTACTTGAATCTTTATCAAGCACCGTCTCCACAATGAAAGTCAGCCTTTTTTTAGTCTCTTATTCAGGTTTACCTGCTGGCTGTACTTCTGTTTTCTTCTTCACGTTCACCGGCTATAAACTCTAGCGAAACATTCTGGATGTTCATCCACTTTTGGACTTACTCTAGAACCTGAGTTTTGTGTGCACAACCATTTTATAGACCTGGCTTATTTGTTTGCATACTGTTGGTTGCTCACTTCTCAGGCAGATCCACCCTGACTTTGAAGGAAATCTCTGATTAGTCCACTATTACCGCATGCTTGTTAGGGAGGCAGTAGGTGTATTCTTTTTTGCCCCCACATTGGTGCCCTGGAAGGTATTCGTTTTCCTGATCTGGCTTACCTGTATGCAGATTGTTGGCCCTTGCCTCTCAGACACATGCCCTATGACTTTGAAGGAAACTTCTAATTAATTGACTTTTACAACACATCTGTTGGGGGAAGGGGGGTGGTGGTGTCCTTAAGCCCCACCCCCCCCCCCCAAAAGTCTCTAAAATTGCTCTTTCTTCGCTTACACAGGTTTTGGCCAAATGCATATCTTAGTATTGTCCACACACACACGTGACAGTTTAACCTCTCTTACATGCTCCTCTCCCCCTTTTTTTCCCTTCGCCTCAGCACCTTGTTCAACAAGGAGCTGTGTCTCGTTTAATACTGCTACAACCAAATGTTCTCTGCAGCAGAGGAGATTCCTGGGTCTGCATGGTTGGTAGTTCAGGGGTGGAAGGGGGCAAGTCACACCGTGACCTTCTGTGGCCTTCTCATCTTAAACATCCTGACAAGGAGGATGAAAAGAAGACATCCTCTTTGCCTACTACCCAGTTTCTCCCTGACCCCCCAAGAAAGAGAAAGATGACAGAACATGATCACTGAGTCTGATTTTGTTTTCCAGAATCAACCTGTGCTCCTAGGTAGACCCAACCTACATGGGCACTAGGTAATGTCCTGGGAAGTAAAGGCGGATCTGGGGACGTTGACCATATCACGCATCGAGTGCTTACCGATCTATAAAAATATGAGCATAGCATCACATATCTAACGTACTATTGGCATAAAAAGGGTCATTTACGTACGTACATAGACATCATACTTATACTGACCTGTTCTTGGTCGTTGTTCGAGATGCTGTCTTGCCCAGATTTCTCTGTGAAAAAAATGTTGACAGGGAGATATACAATGAACAGAAACTAGTTCAAGTGATAAATGTTCAGGTGATATCTTCTTCTTAGCATTCTTCGGCTGAAAATTCTGGTTGTTTAACCACTTCTGGACTTTGGTCTTGATCCAGAAAAAAAAATATGAATATAACAAATAGGCAAAAAAGAGGATTGCAACAAATGGGTAAAAAGAGCAATGTAACAAATGGGCAAAAATATAGGAATGTAACAAATGGACAAAAATACGAATGTAACAAAATGGCAAAAAAGTAATTACACAGAATTTCATCTTATACTGGATGCAGCATTAGCACCTTCTGTGTAATTTCTTTTTGTCCATTTGTTACATTCCACTTTTTGTCCATTTGTTACATTCCACTTTTTGTCCATTTGTTACATTCCACTTTTTGTCCATTTGTTACATTCCACTTTTTGTCCATTTGTTACATTCCACTTTTTGTCCATTGTATTATATTTCACTTTTTGTCCATTTTATTACATCTTTTTGCCTATTTGTACCAGAAGCACAAATTAGAAATGCAAAATACCAAGTTTAACTACTGTTTGTTCTGCATTTGCTCTACAAAGGGAGGTTGCTAAGTAGTGCCATGGTTTAAAGCTCAACTGTGATATCTGGGCCAAGTAGCCCAGCACATCTGGTTTCAATAAACCTCTGATCAGTTGCCTTTTACGTCATGCTTGCTAAGGGGGGTACACTTGGGGATGCAGCCTGGAGCTGCAAGAAATGAATATTTCACTAAGTGTACAAGACATTTCATTAACCTGCACAGAACAGGCGTCATCTGTTGTTTTACACTTGTGGAGCTTTGGAGGAGGAGATTAGAGCACCTATGGATCTGTCCGGAGTTCTGTGATGATAATCCTTTCTAATCACTTGTCGTTTAATGGTGAAACCATTTCACTTGTTTTCTAATGAAATCTAAATTTGGGACCACCTCCCCTATCTCTTTAGGATTTAATCATCTCAGATTTTCTCTCTTCTTGTTATGTCTTGTCAAGTATTCTCATGAATCTCACCTCAGTCATGAACCTCACCTCAGTTGTAAATTTTTTTTTTTCTGTTACTGTATAAGTCTGGCACTGGTAGCAGTTATAACAAATATTGTTACGGAAAGCTTTTATTTTTATTTACTAATATATGTCAGTTGCTAATATTACATCAAGAATTAGGTACTACTCACAAGTCTCCCCATCTCGTCGACTGTGAGATTTCCTAGCAGTTCCCACAGGCTGTCCTATGTTCTAGGGGTGTTCGCCGTCTACACACAGCATGCCGAAAAGTGGCTTCGGTTGGTTTCGATACACAGACTCCCAGACGAAAGTGTGCAGCTTTCTTTTCGCAACTCTTCTGTGAACGACTGTTGTTTCTGGAATGTGATGTTGTTGTGAGTTCGTTTCAGGCGCCCAAGGCAGGGGGAAGCGGTCAAGGCGCGACGGTCCGTGGGTATCGAATCATTGATGTTTTTTGTATTTTTACACTCGCTGGCCGTGGTTGTCATCGGTTTTGAATGTCTTAAAGCGATCAAAACAAGGAACACATGACACCCTTAGACTATAGGATAGTGTCCCTGGGAGTCCCCTATGAAATCTCCTGGCTGTCGAGAAGGGGTGACTTTCGTGTGTTGTACCAAGAATTATTTTATTTCTAATTACGTATGTTAAAAACAAACATCAGAAAACACATTTTGCCCTCAAACAAATATTTCAAGGATCTTACTTTAGCTTTAACCGTGGTTGGTTGGGCAAACATGGGAACTGTATCCTCGCTGCCTTCTTCTATGATATTCTCCAGGACCTTCTCCTCCTCTGTTGAATTCCTAAATCCAAAAGTAAAACCAGATTAAACATGGTTCTTATGTGTACTGTACACAAGAAATCAGAAAAAACTTTAACAATGCAGAGATTAAACAGCATGAAGAACATATTGCACCGCACCTGTAAGCGAGTTAAAGTTAAGGTGTTTTCTTAATATCCTACTCCAAACAGGGGAAATACACAGGTCATGGGGCAGTCAAATATTTCAGGGGGTGGTATATAAGCTGCATGCAATCGTGGGACCTAAGCTGCACTCTCTCGTGGGACGTAGGTGGGTTGGGGTTAGGGCAAGTTATGGATGCTCTAGGGTCTTTAAAAGCACCAGAAAGCCGGGAAACTGTCTTACCACCCTCTAAAATGTTGGACTGTCCTGTGACGTCATCTGGGGTAGGATATTACAAAAGAACCAAAGTAAAAGTTTGAGATGATGCATCTCTCCCCCTGGCAACTTATGATTGTGAGTCATGGACTCATAACGACTGAACAAATAAATAGGAGCTTCTGAACTGGAATGCTACAGACAAATTATTAGAATACCATAGACTAAGACAAATGAAAACATCCGACATGATCTGAGTATCATGTAGAATTGGCCCATCAACAGCATCCTGATCTGAAAGATGAGGTATTTTGGCCATGTTAAATAAAGCTAAGAGTTGAAGACGAGAGGTTCGACTTCACTGCACCGGGTTTTTATCCTATATGGCTCAGTCTCTCTCTCTCTGCAGAACGACTAGCCACCTGCCGACAGCATCCCACAGAGCACAAACGGTGATGAAGGGTTGTTACCGGAAAACACAGCAGACCTCCACAAAGGTGGATACAAGAGACTGGCCATGACCACAAAAAATTAATACAGGATACTAGCCAAACAAATCTGTTACAGGTAGCCACGTACATTCAAGAAAATTCAACCACCTTGCCAAAAATTCAAACCTGTCTCTCAAATGAGAATACAACATTCTAACTGCTCAGCCACCTGCTCCTCTCATTATATATAAAGGCCTATCATTTCACGTTGAACTTGTCTACAGCTCTTACCCAAAACCAAAATGGACACCCGTATAAACCAATGCATCATTAGAGGGATCAGCTTAAAAAAAATGAGGAGCTGGTTTGGTCATCATGCTGCAAGATGGGACTACAGTGGAAATGTCATGTGCCTCCAAGAAGCTCTTAACATACTTCAGAGAGAAGCAAGCAATTATTGATGCAACTAAAGGGTGGGGAAAGAAAAATTAAAAAACAGCTAAATTATTTTCCTGTGTGACTGCCTTTCAGTCCTCTACGCGTTTCAAAGAGATGCAGGAGACAGCATGGAGAAAGAACTGACCTGCCAGCTAAACTGACTCTAAAAAAAAACAAATCGTTCTCCAGCGGATCCCGGCTCACTGCAGCATACCAGGAAATGGGTTAGCCGACAGACAGACTTGCAAAAAAATAGAACAAAGGAGAAACAACACACCCATTCATCGTCAATACCAGAAATCCAAATACTTATCCAGGGAAAATACAAGGAATTGTGCAGAGAACAAACTAACAGTAAACAAGACCCCATCAGCAGACTCAACAGAAAGCAACATACAACAATTTTCCGTCTAGAACAAGACACTGCAGGCTCAACTACCACATACATAAAATATAAAACGCAAGTGTTTGCCTGGCTCGAAACACAAAAATACACCTGCGTATGTATACTCAGTGATTCAATATCCGGAGGGTTCAGGCAGGTTCGGCGCAAAGACAATGGCTTGAATCATTACAGAAGTCCACTGTGCGCGGAGTCACTTTTATTTTTGTTCCGGGACACACAGGCGTTGATGGAAATGAAAGAGCTGACAGGTTGGCTGGATCCGCTATCACTACCGACGGTCAGCCTATGGATCATGCTGATAGTATTAATGCCCTCAGAGAAATGGGAAGGATAGAGGACTTTGGTGGCAGTGAATCCACATCACTCGCCAGTATGGCAGACTTGGGAATTAAGATCGGCATAGCAAAAATCGAGACGCATCCCAGACACGCCAGAAGACTTGTTAATCAACATAGAACTGGTACTATTAGCCATCGGACGTTGAGGTTCATACTGAGGGGAGGATCTGAGCACCTATGGACATGTCCGGAGTGCAATGATGATAACCCAACTAACTAACTATGCATAAAATAAAGACTGTACTACCACATACATAAAATAAAGACTGTACAGTCCCCACAGTGTGCATGTCAGACAGGACCACAAACACCTGAGTACATTCTGCAGACCTGTCCACTCTACATACAACTTAAAAAAAAACCTGGCCTCAAGAGCAAAGTGTGCAGAGCAAGCTATGGGGAAGAATTGAGGACCTGTAGCTGACATGCGAGTTCACAGAGGCAACCCACCTGATGGTCTGGTCTGAGCATGCGTGACTTAACGCAAAGAAGAATAATTACTGCATCAAATTTATGAACAAACTTATTATGTTTCACCAAACTTTTTTTTAAACTTTGTGCACTAATGGCTAAAACTATATGTTAATAGAGTTCACAGGAAACATTAACCGATACTGCTCTGATTGGTCCAAATGAAGCCAATTAGATATGTCATATACCAACAAACCAATCAGTAACTTCAAGGGTGATGTGCAGGTAGACTCACAGTTTGAAGTCAAGAGCAAGTTGCAGGATGCTGGTGTATATCTGGGAGTTGGAGAACCTATAGACATGTCCAAAGTGCTGTGAAGATATGCCGACTCAAAACCCAGTGAAGCCAGCCGGATCGACTTTATTGCACCAGGTTTTATACTCTGCAGCTCGATCTCTCTCCATAGAAGGGATAGCCACCTGACGTGTGGATAGCCACACAAAGCATACACACCGTACCTCCAGTGATGAGCCCAATAAGAACTGCATCCATGAGCCATTGCTGCAACCTGTGAAACAAACTAGCTATCAGAGCATAAGGAAAACAATTAAACCCATTCATAATACATTGAAACTCACCATTTCAAATTCTGCAGCTCAGCAAACTTGTTGTGTGTGGTGTTTTTTGCTTGAGCTCTCACGTTTGCCAGCGCAGCTTCAAAAGTTCCGCCGCATTCTACGGAGATCAATCACAAATTACCCAACACGATATGGCAGTCAATATGCTAACGTGGAAGCAAAAAAGCTGGAGTGACCAGAAGAGATAAAATCAGGAAACAAGAAACAAAACCAATTCTAAATAACAAAGACAGCAAATTAAATGTTTTGCCGACTAAGCGAGAATGCCATACTATACTAGGCTTACATCAAAAGAGGAGATGGATGAAGAGCACAAGGTAGACCAAGAACAAGATGGACAGATAACATCACAGAAACTGTACAACAGCATGATGGGTCTACGGTCGAAACAGTCACAATAGCAAGAATCAAAACCTAACATCTCACTTAAAACCAAAAGCGGTAAAAGAGGAAGTGAAGAAGAAGACAAAAACATAATTTGTGGAGATAAGAAGAGTGAAAAGTAGGGGACACAGAGAGTATGCTAATCTCATAATGAGTAAAAGTAAAGGTCCCTTTTCCACATCTTCAGTTGTATAGGGCTAGACATATATTTTATAGACCAATCGGCACAAGATAGGTGATGATGTCAGCATTGCACTGGCTGCCTTTACTTCCTAGGACTGCACCCAGTACCCACTCAAGGCTGGGTCGACCTAGGAGCCAAGGTCATTTTTTTTTAAAAGTGCGGCTCCGCCAGGGAGCAAACCCACGACCTTCCGATCCGTCCTGAGCGTCTAGCCACTTTGCCGCGGCGACTCCCTCATAACTAGCAATAATTTTAAAAAATGAAAATAAAAACCACTTTATACGTTTCAGATCATAACTTTGCGGTGAAGTGTCCTAATCCTTTCAAACTATCTTTTGTTCAATTTTAGAACAAAAGCGCTGTACATGTTTCTTCTCAGTATGCAGAAGCTATTTCTTTACCATAGGGACGCACTGCCCCTATAACGAGCAGGTCAGAAAAAAAGATGACTGATTAAGGTATGCCGTTGGACAAAAAGATGCAGACATCACAAAATAGCTGTCAACCATAACACAATGTGCATACAACGAGAAAAGAAGAACTCACTTGCAAAATCTTCAAGCGTCATATCTTTGATTTCCTATACAAATGTAAAAGACAATCAGATTTTTAAAAAAATTAGTAAACAATGTTTTACTATATCAATATACAACTTATCAATGCTCAGTAAAAATTAGTATACCAATGATGTAATGTATCAAAACTCAAGAAAAAATGTGTGCGTACCAATCCTCCAACAATTCAACAATTACTAGTGCTACAATGTATCAAACCTCAATAAGAGTAACATTAGTGTAGCAGTGCTACAACTATTTTAAGTAAACAGTAAGTGTAGCAGTGCTACGACTATTTTAAGTAAACAGTAAGTGTAGCAGTGCTACAACTATTTTAAGTAAACAGTAAGTGTAGCAGTGCTACGACTATTTAAAGTAAACAGTAAGTGTAGCAGTGCTACAACTATTTAAAGTAACTATTAAGTGTAGCAGTGCTACAACTATTTAAAGTAACTATTAAGTGTAGCAGTGCTACAGCTATTTAAAGTAAACAGTAAGTGTAGCAGTGCTACAGCTATTTAAAGTAAACAGTAAGTGTAGCAGTGCTACAACTATTTAAAGTAACTATTAAGTGTAGCAGTGCTACAGCTATTTAAAGTAAATATTAAGTGTAGCAGTGCTACAGCTATTTAAAGTAAACAGTAAGTGTAGCAGTGCTACAACTATGTAAAGAAAATAGTAAGTGTAGTAGTGCTTCAACTATTTAAAGAAAATAGTAAGTGTAGCAGTGCTACAACTATTTAAAGAAAATAGTAAGTGTAGCAGTGCTTCAACTATTTAAAGAAAATAGTAAGTGTAGCAGTGCTTCAACTATTTAATGTAAATAGTGTAGCAGTGCTACAACTATTTAAAGAAAATAGTAAGTGTAGCAGTGCTTCAACTATTTAATGTAAATAGTAAGTGTAGCAGTGATTTAATGCATCAAACCTCAATAAAAGTAAAATTAGTGATTGTTTGGTTAGAACAAATAGTTGAACATGACTGTATGGATAGAACAAATAGTGAAGCATGACTGTGTGGTTAGAACAAATAGTGGAACATGACTGTGGTCAGAAGAAATAGTAGAACATGAATGTGTGGATAGAACATGTAGTGGAACATGACTGTGTGGTTAGGCCAAATAGTGGAACATGACTGTGTGGTTAGGCCAAATAGTGGAACATGACTGTGGTTAGAACAAATAGTGGAACATGACTATGCGGTTAGAACAAATAGTGGAACATGGCAACTGCAAAAAGAGTTCAAACTGTCAACAAGTTTTTCTCTATTGCATGTGGTGAGAGAACAAAGGTGAGAGAGAAATGATACAGACTATAAATTATTTAAAAAAAGATGTACTTATTTGAAAGCAAGAATATAGCAGTAATAATTCAAAAATATATATTATTGAAATTCAAAACAAGGTTTTCCCATTGTAAATTAAAATAATGTGGACACAAGTGTATGCATTATTTAAATATTCACGAAAGATCAAATAAGAGGATATTACAAATGGTAGGTCCGAGATCTGTTGTTCGAATCTTGTCTGTATAAAAGCCAGCATTGCTCTTTTCTTTTTCTCAATGTCTTTCAGCACCGTTTTCACTGAAAGTAAAATGAGAGGTTAACTGTTAGGCATTTGTATCTCAAATTTGTGAATGTGAATACACACATCAGAACAATTAGCAATAGAACAAAAATGGCTGTATACTGCTCTAGCTATGTGCCAGCCCTAACATATGGGTGTGAGCCATGGGCAGAATGACCATAACTCACCGCATAAGAAAGGTGGTCCAGGTGACCAGAACAAAGTTCGCAACCAGACAATACGACTACGTCATGACCCTAAAACCCTTACTTTATAAACTTGAGTGGATCAGTCACAGTTACGATGGTTTGGTCATCTATGCATAATAAGAGAGAATCGGCCACAAAGGCAGGCGTGGGAAATTATTGGCTATCCTCCGAATAAGGGTCCCAAATAATCGTGGCCGAAAATATACCCTAACAAGGCCTCAGTCACTTGTCAATTGCGCACTTCGGCGACTTCCTCCACCGCCGAGAGTATCCCCCACACCACTCACGTGGATTGAGGCTAAACTAGATGGCTGGGACTCACCAGCAGCAGCTACCGCATCTCCTGCAGCTTCCTTTATTTTACTTGCTCGTGAGTCCCAGCCATCTAGTTTAGCCCCAATCCACGCTGTGTGAGCGGCGTGGGGGATACTCTCGGTGGTGGCGGCATATTCCCCAGAAGTTCGCAATTCGGCAGTCTGGTAGTCTTAGTTTCAGCTTCATAGCAAACGGGTCACCCCATCTTTGCTCCGCTCGTGTGCCAGCGAAAAACACCCAGAATGTTTATCACAGTCCCTTGTGGAAAGATTGACAGACTGCGGTCTCAGCATATCTAGCATACACTCGCATTAAAGCATATGGTAGCCATCCAAAGTGCTAACACAAACAGTCCAACATTAGAAATGCAGTTCATCATTGATGATAGCAGAACTTGTCGCCAACAGATCAGCAGTTGCCCGCACGATCAATTTTAATACGGGCCTGGCCAGCATTGCACGACAGGCATCGCGCCATTTTCTGAATCTACAATTCACACCACGTTGGTCAGTCGAAAAAACATTCCACATGCAATTCGCAGCTCACAGGGTCACGCCATGCATTCAACTCAGAAGCTGGGTGACGAAACTATATCCAGTCTACAAATGGAGCAAAAATGCATCGGCCACCGTCCGGCAGAAGCAAAAAAATTTGCCTCTGCTCCGAACAGCGCCGCTGTCTAGCGTCCATTTTAACCTCGGCCTCGATAATTTGGGACCGTTATTCGAAGGATAGCCACTATTTTGAGCCAGACCACCCTGGGTCACTGGGAAATAACATCTGGCAGTCCCTCCTAACTCATGACTGACAGAGGACTTGAATGGAACAAAGCCAAAAATAAAACTGCTGATAGTGATAGGATAGAGAAGTCTGGCAATTTTTATGGCAAACCTCTACACCTTAGGGTAGAAGAGGGGTGGGTACCTTATCTACATGAAGTAAGTGGGTTAGTAGGGTGTAAATAAACCTGCCTTCCCACTGTCCAGTGGGGCGGGATAGTCGACGCTTAACGATTTTAACCTTTTTATTTCTTACAAAACTTATGTCAACTGAACAACTGCAGTAGTTTTATTAAAAAAAATACTTTAACTAATCTGAGAACGACAAGTAGAAAACAAGAGGAAAGTTCTTAATAAATAAAAAAGAAAACAAACAAGTCAAGACCAAATTTCACGAATGTCTGAAACTCATGAAACTGAAAAGAGTTCTTTACCTCGACTGTCATAATCTCTCAAGAAAAGTTGAAGCTGTTCTGTCCTCTCCTTTCCAGTCAAACCCTTGTCGTCTGATTCAACTTTCACGTGTGTTTTAGTCGACTGCAACCGTGTTGTTCTTTTGCGAGGCATCTTGAAACTGTAAGAAAATAAATAATAATAATAGAAGTTTCCGGTGGTTAGTCTCGGCTGAACTCCGGCTGCCTCCTTCCTTCTGCTTGAGGTTTACAAATACCGCTCCTGCTGGTGCCAGCCAATCAGAGCGCTCGGTGAATAGGATCAATGTAGGGTGGACATCATCGTCATCTGACAGAAACATAATAATAATATTAAAATATCAGCCTATATCTTCTTCACCAGCAAGGAGATAAAAATTAGAATTTTGAGAGCATGCATCTTCCCTGTGGCTACATACGGATGTGAGTCGTGGACTATCTCTCAGTCCTTAAGAAAGATAATAGGGGCTTTTGAGTTGAAAGGCTATAGAAAGATTCTCAGAATATCTTGGACAAAGAAGATGAGAAATATTGAGATCTTAAAAGATCTGAACATCAAGGAAGATTGGCTAATAAAAAGCATCCTTTCTCGAAAGCTGAAATATTTTGGTTATATCAAGCGCCACGACGGTTTGGAAAAAAATATAGCAGAAGGCATGGTACCAGGAAGGAGGGGCAGGGGCCGACCGACACGGAGATGGGCACAGGATATAAGTGACTCCTTGAGTGTGAAAGTTCATGAGGCGGGAGAACTGGCAAGAGACCGAGTTTCTAACAGGCAGACTGTGATGAGAGCGACGTTCTGCAAAGGACCTGCTACATGATGATATCTTCTTCTATACAGGGCTACCAATGCTGGGTTTCCCCTCAGATCTGGGTTTTTATATGACGCCTTGGGAAAATCTTTTTTTTTTTTTTTTATATGCTAAAAGTATATCTTTTTATATAAAAGTGGTAAATGTTTGGTTTCGTAAATATACATTTTGTACATTTTAGCAATCTGGGTTTAATTTTTTTTTTTTTTTTAGTTTCTTGTCTATAAATTGTTTGGGTTTTTGTTCAGCCACGGCCAGCTCCAGATTTTTATAAAAATCTGGAGCTGGCCGTGGTTCAGCTAAGCTGGTTTTTTTTTTTTTTTTCAAAAAAATCTCATTGGCAGCCCTGCCTCTATACGGATGTGAGTCGTGGACTATCTCCCAGTCCTTAAGGGGCTTTTGAGCTGAAATGCTATAGAAAGAATTCTCATAATACTATGGACAAAGAAAAGAAGAAATACAGACATTTCAAAAGATCTGAACATCAAGGAAGATTTTCTAGTAAACAGCATCTTGTATCGGAAGCTGAAATGTTTTGATCATATCAAGCGTCATAGCGGATTGGAAAAATTATCGCAAAAAGGCATGGTACCAGGAAGAAGGGGCAGGTTCCAACTAACCTGAAGATGGGCACTGAATATAAGTGACCTTTGAATGTGAAACTACATGAGTAATAGTAATTTTTCTTCTAGAATATCCAGTTCAACTCTAAGAGTTATAATTGGGATATATAGTGTTTAAGTACACGAGGCGAGAGAGCTGGTGAGATACCGAGTTTCTTTCAAGCAGACCATGGTGAGAGCGACGTTCTGCAAAGAACCTGCTATATGATGATGATGCTGATCTTTTACTACTCCTTTGTTCACCGGCCTTAAGCTCCGACGGAATGTCCATTTTGACTTTGGATTTGTGCCAGGGCCGGAGTTTTGCGTGTACATTCCTTTTACTTGCTTATTTGTGTGCATTTTGTTGGATATTGCTGCTCTGCAGAAGCACTCCCCAATTAGTCCACTCCTACGACATGCTTGTTGGAGAGGCAGTGGGTCTATTCTTGTTTTCTCCACAATGGGTCTCGAGAACCCACACGGGGATTTATCATTTCCAGAAGTCATGCCGAACTTTAAAAATCTGTAACCATTCGGCGAGGGAAGACAAATTTAACTGTTAAGTATCTACATGCCTTTTTTAAATAATTTCATAATTTTTAGCCGACTTTTCTTGATTATTGCCGCGGCACCTCCGTCATACGCTCACGACACTCCGAAGTGCCTAGGAACCGCTGCATTTAAGCAAAGTTAGCCCGACCCGGTGACACCAGCAGCACGACCCGTTAGCTGGAGCCGGTCGCCAAAAAACAGACACAGATTCAAAGTAAACACTCAGTGTGTTTACAGTTACTCTAGGAAACTGAATAAGGAGACCTTTTCAAAACATCAAATTGTAGGTGTTTAATAGACGCTTCACTTTGAGGTGGTCATCTCCACCAAAAGCCCCGTTTGAATTGTGGAGTTTTCATTGAGTGGGATATAGGCTATCAAAATAATCATCACACATCGCACACATGTGAACTGTTTTTCCAAAAAATCTCCACGCGCGTGTAGGCTACTGTATATTCTATCTTTCAGGGGTACACAATTATTAGTCAAGCAAAGATCAAAGAAAGTGGCCACTTTAACAAAACAGCAGCATCTGCGCAATTGTAAATTATATAATTATAATGACATGGGAAAACTAAGGCCACATGCAAAAAATTCGTGTTGACCCGTCCATTCAGGAGTTTTCCAGATATTTGTTGAAGTGTGGCGGCATGAGTTTTGAAACGCACTATAGTAGTTTAACTCACAAACCAAGAAACTATAGACAGTGTGATAACTTAGAGAAGATAGAAATGGCTTGGCCACGTTAAGAGAATGAATCCTGATTTACCTGCCAAAACAGCTCTCAAGTGGATACCAGAGGGAAAGAGAAAACAGGGGCGTCCAAAACAACATGGAGACGACGATGGAGAGTGACCTGAGTGCGGCATCTCTGACATGAAAAAACTGCACTGAAAATTGCACAGGACAGGAATGCATAGAAACTCCTCTCTAAAGCCTTGAGTGCCAATAGGCATAAAGAGAATTGATAGTAGTTTAACTACTATTACTACTGCTAATGCTGCAGTTACTTATGAGGTTTTTTTCGGTATACAACGGTACTCAGTACTGGCACCTTATTCTATACATAATGTTTTAACGGTGCTGTCACTGGAACAATGTGGTGAATACTTGCACTTTTTTTAAACCAGCTGTTACTTTTACTAATACCAGGGCCGTATGTAGGATGTATGACGCCCATATGTAGTCATTTATGTTACGCCTCTTTTCCCCCAGCTAATCCCCAACACGAGTGGCGTTAAACCCCGCCAGAACCGCACACTGAGCGATTAGCACCCGGTGACACAAAGTGCTCCCCACTCGTATGAGAACTCCCAGTCACAATTCCCAGAAATCTCGTTCAACCGTTAGGTTATATTAGGGCCCCCGACGACAACCGGGGTGGGCTTTAAAATGACAACAACAACAACAAAATGGGTCTCGTATCTGGAAAGGAATGTACGAACAGACCAAACGTCGGCATCGTTATTGCCATACTACCAGCAGTCTAATCTAATTTGTGTTTGCCACCCCCAAAATGTTACCGCCTTGTGCTGCATATGGCTATATACGGTGTTGACTATAAGCATCACTATTACCATGTGCGCCAGAATGTCAGGTCTCAGGACCCCCTCCCCCACCCAACCCCTCCCCCAAATAAATTGGGGACGGGTGCGATCTGTTGACCCACCCCAATAATTTCAAGAGGGCTGACATTCTCTTATAAAATTAGGATGGGAGCTAAATCTAAGTGGCCTATCGTACCCCCAATCACATATGGACGTTCTCTTTTTAAGTATGTATTTATGCCTACATGTTTGAGGAGCTGTTGTTCACATGGATTAGAACCTTAACCATAACCAAAACTGTACGCTTAATCTATCACCCCCTGAAAAATTTGACTGTCCCGTCGATTTCTGGTCAGCTAATAAGAAAGTATCCAACATGCAATTCGCATCATATACGCAGTACTCTACTTGGAGTGGAAATTGTTTTCCCCCCTTGCTAACGCGCAGTGTATCATCCAATCATATCAGTACAAGGTCTTTCGTTGATATCAATATCAACCATCTTTGAAATGGGGTTATCATGCATCTAAAGATAAATAATTGCAGTATAGCAATACAGTGAATATTGATATGTGTTTTTTGCAACTCTTCCTGATCAGAGATTACAAAAACCATTAAAGTCTGACACAGGGGCAACGGAAACTCTGAGCTGAGGTACCCTGAAGCCCCACAATTTTGTTGCGCCATCACCCCCCCCCCCCCCACAGAAACTTTGTTAGTAGGCTAAGCCCCCCCCCCCCCCCATTTTTTTCTACAATCTTGAATAAACATTCTCTTTTGAAGTATTTGTTTAAAAATTGCATTATATTTAAATTCGTGAATATTATATTTTTTGTCGCAATTTCACATGATAACAATAATAATAATAATTGTTATTGTTATTTTTGCCCACTTAAGCAAGGCCTAATCTCTGTGAGACCTCCACCAGCCCCTTAGAACCTTAGAACATTTAATGAGAGGCTCCCCCGTGAATTATGTGTGGTAGTGTTCCTGGTTGCCGAATGCACTGTATAAGACTTTCAAATTTTATAATCAATTGTAACACATTATAAGTTACACTTGCTGGTCTGCCGACCCGTGATTTTGGTTTGGACTCAGTAGCGATGGGGAGTTTTGTAACTGATCTAGGGCTTCAAAATAACATTTCATATTTCTTCTTCTTCTTCTTCGCGTTCACAGGTTCTAAACTCCGAAGAAAATTTCTCGTGATTCGTCTACTTCTGAACTCTAGTCCTATCCTAGAGCCTGTAGGTTTAGTGCACATCTGTGTCACAGATCTGACTAATTTGTGAGCAGATTGTTTGTTCCTTGCCTCTCAGGCAGATGCACTCCAACATCAAAGGAAGCCGCCACTTAGTCGACTCTTACGACATACTTTTGGATAGGCAAGTGGGTCTGTTCTGGTTTTCCCCACAATGGAGCCCCATAACCTACACTCGGAGCATTTCATATTATTTCGCATATATTATTATTTTTATTTATCATATTGGGCACAACAATTATTATTGTGCACTTAAACAGTGGCTAGGCCTTTTTGAATCCTCCCCAAGGCTCTAGAAAAATATAAGGGAAAGGGGTTCAACCTGCAGTGTTTTCTTTGTGTCGACATTCCCCCCCCCCTCCCAATAATTTTTTTGTCTGACTAACACCACATATAGGGTGACAATACTTCCGGTTTTCACTGTCCCGTTTTTAGGTGTGTCCTCACCATCCCGTCGGCACTCAAAAAGGCAGATTTGTCCCGTTTTATAAAAAGTCTATAAATAAGCTGTTGAGTTTTTAAAAAAAAATATATATATATAGTCATATATCTTGGCATATGCGAATTAATAGTTTCAGATATTTGTTATTGATAATAATAATAGAGACGTCTATTATATATATATATATATATATATATATATATATATATATATATATATATATATATATATATATATATATATATATATATATATATAAAGTGTTATAGGGTCAAATTAATTTGCCTGAGGTGTCCTGTTTTCAGCTTAAGATATTTTGGTCGCACTAACCCTATACACAATCCGCCCTAAAGTGTGGAAAGCGTTTCTTTACTTTTTACCTAACTCTTGGCCGGTCGCAACAAGCGTCTTTAATAGAACACGGGCGCTAGAACTTAGGGGCTTTCGCACATTGAGCGCCCCCCCCCCCCCCACCCTCCGAAAAATTTTGGGGTAGACTGAAGCCCCTTCGCTAACTTGTTACAGACTAAGCGTCCCCACACCCCACCCATGTTTAGACGTTCTCTCTTGTCAAATGTTTGTTTACCCATATGATATTTTAAATATATTTATATGTTTCTTGCAATTTAGCATATTCTTCTTCTTTTTCTTTGTTCACCGACTGTGAGCTTCGTTGGAGAGTCCTGGTTGTTGGCTTATTTGGACTATGACTTTATGCCAGGGCCTGAGTTCTGCGTGTACGCCTGTTTTATTTGTATGCTGCTTGTTGTTCTGTGCCGCTCGGACAGGTGTACTCAGACTTCGAATGAAGCTATCAATTAGTCGACTCTTACGACATGCTTGTTGATGAGGTTATGGGTCTGTTCTTTTCCTCCCCTCCACAATGGGACCCTGGAACTCATACGGGGAAGCATATTTGTTTTTATTAACAGGCACTTCCAGTCCCAGAATTTAATAGCCGATCCCTGACTGAAGCAGCAATGACAGCAAAGGCATGGGTATACTACATCCACAAGGTCCAGATACACAACCCTTTGTAGGTGACATGTGATTCTGGATTGATTTAATTTGCGCGACTAAATTTAAGATCTACAGATTTATAAAACTGTGACTGTGCACGTGAGTAATACCTAGTACATATGGTGCCTTGTTTGGGACCCAAAGAGTTGAACAAAATTTAGGTCTCTTGCCTCCCCCCCCCCTTTCTCCTCCTCCCCTTTCTCTCTTAATCCCATCCCCTCCGAAAATAGAAAGATGCTAAGACAAACCAAGTTTTCTTTGTGCCGCCCACTAAAATAATTAATAAAGAGACGATGTATTAACCAACACTTATAGAAAGAAATAAAAAGTTTATTAAGTAGAAGTTTATTTATATATGTCCACTAAAATAGAATGTCTACAGTTCATTAGATAACAATATTTTTCCCACAGATAGCAGACGACAGTTGTGCCAAGCGTATCAGTTCATACTTATGTTTTTGATATCAAATAATAAAAGTAGAAATCTATTAATTCAGTGTCACTAGCAACCAAGAACGCGGGTTGCTACCTATTGAACTTCATTGCCGGAATGGCTGCTTTTCCAAATCTGTATTGTACTTTGATTATTTTATTTCTGAACGTACTGTATGTGCCAGTTGTGAGTAAGTATGAACATGTTATTGTGATTAAACTAATTTATACAAAGAAGGCTTTTTGTTTTTCTTGCGGTAAACAACGGCACACAGTATCGGTATCACTTCTAAGGCATTTTTTTTTTTTCAAGCGCTACTGTTAAAGGCAATTTGCCCTGAGTACCGGCACCTTATTGGACACACTGCAATGAGTATTGCTATCTGTTTCTAAGAAAAATACACTAAATACAATAATACCTCGGCTAATGAAAACAACTTATTCCAGATTTACATTCGTTAGCCGATTTGTCCTTTAGTCAAATCAGGACTGCTGAAAAAATTCGGCACACAATGCGGCATCTTTAAGCTGAAATGCGCCTGCACTAACATTCATTAACCGAATTAATATTTGTTAACCGATACTAAAAACAGCGAAAATGTTTTCGTTTGTACAAAAATTTGTTAGCTGTGTCATTCGTTAGCCGAGATATACATGTACTCTGTGTGTTAACTTATTTAAACACATTACAAATATTTCAACATACTAAATCCTGACTAATTTGTGACTGCAGTCAATACAAATCTCTGTCCACTTTAAAATTACGAAGAGAGTTTTGAGTATTCAATTTCAGTTCATAGCGCATGCACCCTTTTCATCTCAGTGCACGAATGACAATATAGTGGTTATACACTGTTAACTAACCTACAGGATGCACATCAAAAAGCATTGTATGAATTTGATTTGGTGTCCCTTGTAGGGAAAATTACAACTGACTGCAGTCTCGACAAAGCCAACAGTCATCATCATCATCAGGTGCCTTGCTGACTGGCGTGGGAAATCATGCCTCTCCATAATCTAAGATCTCCTGCAGCATGTATCAGTTCGTGTGCCGACACACCTCCATGCCATGCAACAAGACTGTCAAGCCTCTTCTCTCGTTGTCTTCCTCTATCCCTCCTTCCACAGATCTTTCCAGTGGTCACAACATGTTCTATTTTCCCTCTTCTCATAACATGGCCGAAAAATGATGACTGTCTCCTGCTGATGTCTGTGATAAGTTGTCTTCGGGCTCCCGCCTCTTTCAAAACCTCTTGGTTGCTCTTTATGGCGGTCCAAGGTATTCTAAGCATTCTGTCTTCCCATTATTCAAACTGAGGCCCATTCTTCCACTTTCTAACACCACAATTTCTATCATTTCCTGTAGTTCTTTCTGACTTGTTGCTTTCAAGACTATGTCATCAGCATAACGTAAATTGTTTATATTGTGCACACCAACCACAATTTTGGGCACACCAATTAAAGCTCTCATTATATATTCACTGTATATTGACAACAAATCAGGTGACAGTACACATCCTTGTCGTACGCGCCTCTTTATGCTTTGAAATGGACCTAAACAGTTGTTAATTCTTATAGCTGCTGTTTGCTGCCAATACATATTCTTTATTATTCGTAGATCTTTCCCATCAATGTTTAATTTTTCTAACAGTCTGATTACTTCTTCATGCTTTACACAGTCAAATGCTTTTGTATAGTCTATGAAGCGTATGTACAAATCAGTCATTACTTATATAGCTCTTTCTGACAATGTCCTTAAGATGTATATGGCATTGTTTGTACCTTTTCCTTCTACAAATCCACATTGTTCATTGCTGATAAGCCAACAGTATGCAGACGAATTAAGTGTACTATGCAGCCGTCGGAAGTACCAACACAAACATTCCGTCACCAGAATTACAGTTTATCATTGTTTGGAGCAGTAATTACAATACAATACATATGTATGAATGAAATTGATATCCCACCAGCCGCCTTTATTTCCCAGGGCATTTAGTGAACCCATGTTAGGGATGGTTGGTAAAGGAGGGTGTTTAGATAAATTTTACAGTCCATCGATCAGATAATAGTTTAAACCTATGATCACCGCAGCTAGCGTTTAATAAATGAAACTACCTTCTACTTTAAGATATCAGTGACGCTGGACTAATGATGTTTTCTACATCCCCCTCCTCCCCCCCCCCCCGTCCCCCAGAAAATGTGCTAGAGAGCTATGTACCTTCTCAACCATACCTAAACGTTTTTTTTAGCATTTGTTTATGTACGTAATTTTTTACTTTAATTTATTTTTAAAGTTATCTGATATTAAGTACATAATAATCATAATTTTATTATAGCGCACTTAAATATGGCAAACGCCTCCACCCCCGCTTCCATAAAATTAAACGAGAGCTAAGGATCTCTTTGTGATGGTGCCCTGCTCGATTCCCATGCACCTAATCTCAGCTTTAATTTAAAACTAATTTTCTGCTTCGTTCTCCTCCACAGTTTCTGATTGCCCCAGCTACTGGTTAACGGTGAATACAAGTTCAACCCCTGCCCAAACATGCTACAGACTGTTTCCAAACGTAGCCGGTAGTTATGATGCTATAGCGGGCTTTTGCCGGGGCCAAGGAGGATACTTGGCCAGGGACACATCGTAAGTTGAAATCAAAATCCAGTTTGTAAAATGTTATAGTAGCAATTATCTATCAGGATGATCTGCTGTGGCATATTCAGTTATTAACGGTTTTATTTAACTGCAAAATGTGGCGGCCCTCCTTCTTTCACCATTATCATCATTATCTTTTTCTTCTTTTTCTTTTTCTCTTTCTTCTTCCTATCCCTCTCATCCTCCGCCTTCTCCTCCCCATTTTCTTGCAAGGTTTGGTTGACAGCCAAAGCTTCATAAAGAGAAGAAGAGAAAAGGTGCAAGTTATACTTGAACAGTTGCTCTCACACGTATTCAAATTTTGTGCTATCAAAGTTTTCATTACACATAGATGTAAAATTGATATGACAACTAACTTGTAATCTCTCTTGTTATCTCTTCGTGTCTCAGAAGGAAAAACATGTTTTCACGTGACATTAAACGGAGTGGAGTGACAGGCTTGGCCATAATAAGTCGTTCGGTTTTCTTTTGTCTCCGCTCTTCTTTTTCTTCTGTTGCGTTTATCCGAAGATGTAACCACCTCTAAACCCCCACACCCCCCCCTCCCTCGATAAATTTTGTGAAGGCCCAAGTGTCTCTCTTATCATGTGTAAAAGTTCTATCTATATGTAAACGTTTAAACATTTTATATTATTTCACATATATTGTCATATTTATTTGCCATTCAGCATATTATTATTACGCACTTTAACAAGTTTAAGCAATTGCTAGTCCTCATCTGGAGATTTTATAATGAACTGAGCCCTCTTGTTAACCTTAGGACAGCTGTCGTCCCATCTGACGATGCCACAGGTGACTAGATAGAAAGCATTCGGAAATCGCAATTAACTTCCGTAACCTGGATCTACACACCGGGTCATGCGGGCGTAAAAGGAAATGAGCGAGCGGACCAACTGGCAAGCACAGCACTAATGATTGCGGGAAAAAGCATGGACAGAGCAGATATCGTTAACGCTGTACGTACTGGGCTAGTGGATAATATCGAATCCCTGACACTAACACGATTGCGTGACATGGGAGTTAAGCATGGTGAAGCACGTCTTTGCCGTCTGCGAGGCCGAGAAAGGAGACAATATAACCAGCTTCTCATGGGGACAATTAGTAGAAGTACTTTAGAGTGGCTGCTGCTTCGGAGGACTGCGCACGCATGGGTATGCCCAATGTGCAGTGACGTCGATTGTGATAATAAAACACAAAATAACATTTTGTAGGAAGTCGGCATTCCGAAACCCAAGTTCAAGGTGTCTCCTTCGTGCCAAAGAACTGCATGACTGTTGGGTGAACAGTCGTTAACGAAGGCAGTCAGGTCGTTGTAGGGGCGACGCCTGCTGGTGGATGTAATGTCCTAAGTCCCTTTCCCAGCTAATAGTGAGGGTACTGCTGGGGTGACCATTTGTTAACCCCTCACATAATGCTTCAAGTCACAGTGGACGCTAGGCACGGCCACTTTTTTTTTTTTTAAGCCGTGGCAGTTCTGCCAGGCGGTGGCCGTTGCATTTTTGCTCCATTTGTAGACTGGAAGGATATAGTTTCGTCACCCAGCTTCTGAGTTGAGTGCATGGTGTGACACTGTGAGCTACGAGTGTTTTTCGTTGGCACAGGAGCGGAGCAACAATGGGGTGACCCGTTTGCTATGATGCTGAAACTAGGATTACCAGATTACCAGATTACCAGACTAGTTTTAACGTGTATACGTAGTATGAAAACAACAGTTCCACCCCACCCCAATCTTCTTCGGCTGTAAACTTCCGCGGAAAGTTTTGGCTGTTCATCCACACATGGACCTTAGTTTTCCTCCAGAACCAAAGTGTTGCGTGCATATCCGTTTTGTTGATTTAACTTTTATTCAAATTGTTGGTTCCTTGCCTCACAGGCAGATGCACTCTGACTTCGAAGAAAACTCCCAGTTAGTCAAGTCTTACGACATGCTTGCTGGGGAGGCAGTGAGTCTATTCTAATATTCCCAACAATAGGGCCCCATAACCTACACGAAACCCACCCCTCCCCCTTTTCCCAGTGCACATGGAACAAATACGTTGATATCTTAATATACAAATGCTGAACATTCAAGACACGACATCCACGGAGCAGACTCTTCAAATGTGAAATCAAGCAAACGTCACTCGTTGTCATGTCCGGTGAGGAAGAAACCGCTTCATGGGGACGACGTTTTCAAACGCCAGAATTTGATCACTAAACCGAAGACATGGCTCAACTCAGACCATGCATTTCTAGGGTGAGAAATAGATGCGTTCAATGTATTGTTTGAAGGGTGAACACGTAGAGGAGCACTAGAGTGCACACCTATTTCCAACTGCGTGAATGTTGAATTAAATTAAGAATCGAAATCACAGCAAAACAGAAATTCTGAAAATAAGTAGAACACCTAATATACTAACTATTCAAGTTAACAACGAACAACTCAAACAAGTGCAGCAATTTAAATACTTGGGGAGCATCTTCACAGATGATGGAAGAATTGATAGGGAACTTGAGGCAAGATGTCAAAAGGCGAACGCAGTAACTTACCAACTCTCCCCACTGCTAAAACACCCAAGCATCACTATGGCACTAAAACGACAACTGATAGATTGCATGTTTATACCAACCCTCTTCTACCAATGCCAAACCTGGTCCCTAACAAGAGCACAGGAGAAAAAGATCACAACGTGCGAAATGAGATGCTTATGTAAGGCTGCCAATGTCACAAGGAGAGACAGAGTTCGAAACGAGAACATTAGAGCAATTGTAGGAACCACACCATGCCTGCAATACATAAAGAAGCAACAAATAGAGTGGTTTGGTCACTTGATGCGAATGCAAACCGACCAACTGCCTCTACGAGCATACAACGAACAGCACTACTGCCCTAGAGCAAGAGGCAGACCGAGAGTACGATGGATAGACAATATATCAGAGATCCTGAGGCAACACGGACTAACAACAACACGTGCAACACACCTGGCCCAGGATAGAAAACTGCGACTCCCCACTACGCTGTGAGGCACTTGTGGACAAGACAAGACAAGAATCACAGCACTTGGATTGGAACACTCCCATGCCATAAGTGCTCCTTTCCTTCTTCAGCAGCCCATTAGACCACTAGAATATTGGACTTTCCCGGGGACTCCAGAATTTGCTTTATTTGGGTGAATTAAAATTGAAAGTACCTAGAGTTCAATTCGGATGGCACCAGCAACTGTCTTGTTTAAATATCCCTGTCACCGTATCCTTATCCTTGATTGTTGAGTGTCGGCCAGCAGATCCCCTGGTCACTCCTCACTCCTCGGTCACTTCTTCACATGATGACCTGTTTACACCTGTCCATGTTTACTCGAGCATTATTTTGCCAGTTCTTTATGGAGCAGAATGCTGGAGAATGACCAAAAAGGATGTACACAGGCTGTCCACCTTTCACCACATATGTCTACGTAAAATTATGTAAATTTTCTGGCCAGATACAATCTCAAACACTAAACTACTTCAAGTCACAAACCAAGAAACTATACAGTATGATAACCAAGAAAGGATGGAAATGGCTTGGCCACGTTATGAGAATGAATCCTGATATACCTGCCAAAACAGCTCTCACATGGACACCAGAGGGAAAGAGAAAAAAGGGGCGCCCAAAAACAAAATGGAGACGAACAATGGAAAGTGACCTGAGTGTGGCATCTTTGACATGGAAAACTGCATTGAAGATTACACAGGACAGGAAAGCATGGAAAGTCCTCTCTGAAGCCTCACGTGCCACTAGGCAAAACGAGAACTGATGACTGATGATGTTTACTCGAACCAACTGCATGAACGTCCCTGGCCTTGTATCATAGTCAGTATATAGGAAGTGGAAATTTTGTTTCCCCATCCATTGTAATTATTTTATATTAGTATTAGAAGTTGATTCACTTCCTTCCGGTTGTAAACGATCATTTTCATTGCACAAGGACATCTCTAAAATTGACCCAGTCTCATCCTGTAGATTCACGCAAAGGGAATCTCTGAACAACATTCTCCCCTACCCCTCACTCTTGTCTGTCTGTCTCTCGCTCTGTCCTCTCTATGTGTATGTAAGCAACAAATTTTTCTCTCTAGAAAAAGTGACATTTAAACTGAAAAATCTTATTTCTGACAATTTATTTGTCTCCTCTAAACATCTAGAGCTATGGTTCACAACGGTCTGAGAGCAACTTTCCTGGCTACATCAACAGCGTACCCAAATACTTTATTCTGGTTTGGCTTAACAGGCAGGTCAAATTTGCTTGTATATATAAGTGTCTGTTTTGTTAGCAGTAGTGTTTGAGTCTGAAGAAATAAAAAATTATGTCGAGTAGTTCTTTTATGTTTCAGATCAGTGAGTTAATTTAACAACGATATTCGATAAGTCAGAAATGTGCACTGTCTTTGGACTACCGGATGAATGCAAATTTGAGTTATATGGTATGGACCAAGTTTTTAGTCTCATGTAAAAAAAATTACTACTTACAGTGTTGGAATTGAGGCTAAGGCTGTTAATAGTGAGAATTGAGACAAAGGCTATTAATGGTAGTGTTGTTTTTTATTTTGATAATTGGAGGGTGGTACAGTCCATCCTGTGATACTCTTACAGATTTGCGGAGCATACTTTAAAAAATATAAACTGGAATGTTAAGTGTATAGAAAGTGCTGGAGCAAGTGGGGGAATTCCCAAGTGCAATGATGTCCCTTGATTCATTCATTCTTTCTTTCATTCAAACATATTTTAAATACACTTTTTCTGCTCACAGACAATAATACAAACAGTTGGTATTGGCTGGGTGGGCCTGCTGTGGGAACTTACAACAACTTTTTCAATGGATATCAAGGGCACTTAAATTCCAGGGACTGTGGATATCTAGCAGTAGGTGAGTTACGGAACCTCTCTGTCTTTCCAGTGTGAGAAAGCTGGCACAATTTCAATATAGCTTGTTTACTCTGGATCAAATACAGCTTTCAACAATTGACAACACTGGAATGCCACTCAAATTCCAATGTACATTCTTCCAGTTTTTTTTCTCATATTCCATCACAGTTAATCAACCGCAGTCATCGCTGTTCACTTCCACAACTATGCCACAATAATCATTTACTCAACGTTGACTACACTTCATTTAAAGTACATTGACCACAACATGAATGTCCTCTTTTAACTCTGCTACACAACTGACCACGAGTCAACTTCAGACTTTTCCTCTTTTACACTTCCAGCCCCAAGTATTTCGTGCAGTCGTTTGCCGCACAGATTTTCTGCTCGACTTGCTGTGAATGTGGAGACCATGCAAAGCACCTCATCACACCAGATGATAGTGTTATATTGAGATGCAGAGTTCAGAAACCATGAAATGGGGAAAATAATGAAACAGACCCATCTGTTCATGTACTGCCACACCAATTAACCCTGGTTAAACAGTCATGAACAGGACGTACAGATTCCAATGCCAGAGCACCATGTATTGGCTCTGCAATCATGGAAGCCTCCTTTGATTGCGGTGAATGCTCATGTTCTGTCCCTGCCTTCTTTTGAGGGCTGACCAGTATTACATGGTTGCGCTGGACCGGCCTAATCGGAAGCACCACATCATCATCATCATTTCTCGGTATGCCTAGTGGCGCATGAGGCTTCAGAGAGGACTTTCCATGCTTTCCTGTCCTGTGCAATCTTCAGTGCAGTTTTCCATGTCAAAGATGCCGCACTCAGGTCACTTTCCATCGTTCATCTCCATGTTTTTTTTGGGCGCCCCTGTTTTCTCTTTCCCTCTGGTGTCCATGTGAGAGCTGTTTTGGCAGGTATATCAGAAGTCATTCTCATAACGTGGCCAAGCGATTTCCATCTTCTCTTGGTAATCATACTGTCTAAAGTTTCTTTGTTTGTGGCTTGAAGTAGTTTAGTGTTTGAGATTGTATCTGGCCAGAAAATTTTCATAATTCTACGTAGACATGTGTGGTGGAAGGTGGACAGTTTGTGTGCATCCTTTTTGGTCATTCTCCAGCATTCCGCTCCGTAAAGAAGAACTGGCAAAATGATGCTCTTGTAGAGTCGGAGTTTTGTTCCTCTGCAGTAATTGTTGTATTTCCAGATTTGCCTCATCCTTCCAAAAGCAGTTCTAGCTTTGTTCAGGCGTGACTGTATGTCTTCCTCTGTCCCTCCCAGTAGGGACACCACACTGACAAGATATGTGAAATGTTCTACATTTTCAAGTGATTGGTTACTTATGGTCACTGGTTGTTGGTTTGGACTGTTTGTTATGATCTTAGTTTTCTTTGTATTTATTCTCATTCCCACCATTTCTGCTGTGCAGTGTAGTCTGTTACTTTTCTCTTGTATATGTTCATGTTTATGTGATAGGAGTGCTATATCATCTGCAAAATCAAGGTCCTCTAGCATGGTGAAAGGAGTCCATCGTATGCCTCTTAATGGCCTGTCTACTGTGTTCTTTAGTATCCAATCAATCATGAGGTTAAAGAGGAGAAATGACATAACACATCCCTGTCTTACACCTGTCCTTACTGGGAAAGATGTATTGTAATTTTTTATACTGCAGGGAAAGTCTTTATAGAAGAGAGCAATTATGTTGACTATTTTTTCTGGAATTCCATAATGTCGTAAAATTTTCCACAGACCGTCTCTATGGACGCTGTCAAAAGCTTTCTCAAAGTCCACAAAATTAATATATATACTTCTCTGCCATTCATTGCATTGTTCTAAAATGTTACGTATGGCGAAGATGTGTTCAGTTGTTTCTCTGCCCTTTCTGAATCCTGCTTGTTCTACTCGTAGGCATTTATCTACTCCTTGTTCAAGCTGCATTATGATGATTTTACAAACTTTTTTGCTTGGTACTGAGAGGAAGCACCACATGTGAACTAGGAAATACACAACCGTGAAATTGCAATGTCCCATGAAACTAACCAGGAAGGTAACCTAGGCAAGAATAGTCTGCAGAAGCTGGACGTGTGGGCTGAAAGGCGCAGATAATTCAGCCATGTTGGAAACAGGCACAACACATTTACATCTCTGGATTAATGCAGAAGAAGACAATAGTGATATATCGTGCTATGGGGGGAGGCATGAGAATCACAGCTCATTTTAAGAAAAGTCTCCAGCACTTAAGAGCCTGGGTTTTCAGGACCGTTGTTGCCATCTCATGTTTTTAGTGTATTTTTTCTCAGACTCTCAGCTCCCAAACTTTTTTTTGCAATCATTTTTTTCCTGTTTTTTCATTCCCTTCCTGACCCCCCCCCCTTTTTTTTTTCTCCCCCCCCCCCCCACGCGATACAGTCACTGACATTTTGTTTACAAGTATCCACCTCAGTACCTGTATCATTTATATCCTGCTTGCACACACCTTTATATCGTGGTAGAGGTCTTCCTCGATATGTTCTACCATCTGTAATTCACTATGGAGGATGTCTCTAGGGACTACCATCATTCATTTTCTAAAAAAAAAATAAAAGTGGTGAAGGGAGGGGTGACTGCAGTCAAGCTCATACCAGGAAATTATTCCAGTGACCTGAGACTATAAAGCTTAATCATAGGGGAAGGGAAACTGCCAATTACTGGCTTTATTATACAATGTTTGCAGTGTAGGCAGGGAGGTCTTTGAGCCTGAGGATTTACGGCTGCATCGCTAGTGCTGTCACCACTGACTGTGCAGGTGACAGTTTTATCTTTGCCCCGGACAGACAGAAATCTCCAACTTTACTAAGGATCTGAACCCAGGTCTCCTGTATGAAAGCCCAGCATTCCAACTAGCCCCTCCTCAGAAGGGGAACAACTTGCACAAAACAGACAAATCGACGTTTCTGCCGGGGCCCTATCTCGACATGAACTAATTACACAACAGTAACACAGTGGAAATCTATTCCCCTTTGTTACTGTGCATGTTCTTCTCTTGTCCTTTGTGACTTGTCACTTTTGTTTCTCAGGTATATGTAATATTGTTGAATATATGCAGGGTGTTTTTAAAGTCTTACAAAGTCTTGCAAAACAACTTTAAACAAGGTAAGTACATTAAAAAGAGTGTTGAAAAGATCAGTAAATTAAATACAGTAGTCACTTCTATGGTCTAAAACTTGTTTTGGAGAAACTGGAAAAACAAAGAATGTAAATTATGTCCTTCTTATGAGACCCGGCCAAAGAATTTAGATTATCTCCTGCTCATGACCCGACAAAAGAATGTAGATTATTCCTTTCTCATGACCCGACCAAAGAATGTAGATTATTCCCTTCTCATGACATGACCAAAGAATGTAGATTTTCTCCTTCTCATGACACGACCAAAGAATGTCGATTTTCTCCTTCTCATGACACGACCAAAGAATGTAGATTTTCTCCTTCTCATGACACGACCAAAGAATGTAGATTTTCTCCTTCTCATGACACGACCAAAGAATGTAGATTTTCTCCTTCCCATGACACGACCAAAGAATGTAGATTTTCTCCTTCTCATGACATGACCAAAGAATGCAGATTTTCTCCTTCTTATGACATGACCAAAGAATGTAGATTTTCTCCTTCTCATGACACGACCAAAGAATGTAGATTTTCTCCTTCTCATGACACGACCAAAGAATGTAGATTTTCTCCTTCTCATGACATGACCAAAGAATGTAGATTATTCCCTTCTCATGACCCGACCAAAGAATGTTGATTATTTTCTTCTCATGACCCGACCAAAGAATGTAGATTATTCCCTTCTCATGACACAACCAAAGAATGTAGATTATCTCCTTCTCATGACATGACCAAAGAATGTAGATTTTCTCCTTATCATGACACGACCAAAGAATGTGGATTGTCTCCTTCCCATGACTTGACCAAAGAATGTAGATTATCTCCTTCTCATGACCTGACCAAAGAATGTAGATTATTCCCTTCTCGTGACACGACTTCTGTTTGTAATGCTTCTGCTATTGTTGTTTCAGATATCATAATTTGTTGATTGTATTATATTGTATAACTATTTCAGCAAACAGTGATTTTAAGTGGCTAACAACAACAAATTGTAACTCGAGTCATGCTCCATTTTGCCAAAGAGATTATGATACACCACCTGTGGTCACAACCACTGCTCGTAAGTACATATGTAAGATCACTTGACTGAGTCAGTTTTTGGTGTGTGTCTGTGAGATGTGTCTATGGGGTGTGTCTGTGAGATGTATCCATGGGGTGCGTCTGTGAGATGTGTCCATGGGGTGCGTCTGTGAGATGTGTCCATGGGGTGTGTCTGTGAGATGTGTCCATGGGGTGTGTCTGTGAGATGTGTCCATGGGGTGTGTCTGTGAGATGTGTTCATGGGGTGCGTCTGTGAGATGTGTCCATGGGGTGTGTCTGTGAGATGTGTTCATGGGGTGTGTCTGTGAGATGTGTCCATGGGGTGTGTCTGTGAGATGTGTCCATGGGGTGTGTCTGTGAGATGTGTCCATGGGGTGCGTCTGTGAGATGTGTCCATGGGGTGCGTCTGTGAGATGTGTCCATGGAGTGTGTCTGTGAGATGTGTCCATGGAGTGTGTCTGTGAGATGTGTTTAATCCCCCCCCCCCCCCCACCCCACTCAAAATAGGGTCCTGGAACCCACTCGCGCTTTCAATCACTGGATGTCAATATTTCAGGCTGCAATCCAATATTAGAAACTTATATATAATATAATATATATATATATATATATATATATATATATATATATATATATATATATATATATATATATATATATATATATATATATAAAATCAATTCTCTTTATGCCTAGTGGCACATGAGGCTTCAGAGAGGACTTTCCATGCTTTCCTGTCCTGTGCAATCTTCAGTGCAGTTTTCCATGTCAGAGATGCCGCATTCAGGTCACTCTCCATTGTTCGTTTCCATGTTGTTTTTGGATGCCCCTTCTTTCTCTTTCCCTCTGGTGTCCACGTGAGAACTGTTTTGGCAGGTATATCAGGATTCATTCTCATAATGTGGCCAAGCCATTTCCATCTTCTCTTGGTTATCATACTGTCTAGAGTTTCTTGGTTTGTGACTTGAAGTAGTTTAGTGTTTGAGATTGTATCTGGCCAGAAAATTTTGAAAATTCTACGTAGACAAATGTGGTGGAAGGTGGATAGCTTGTGTGCATACTTTTTTGTCATTCTCCAGAATTCTGCTCCATAAAGAAGAACTGGTAAAATAATGCTCTTGTAGAGTCAAAGTTTTGTTCCTCTGCTGTAACTGTTGGATTTCCAGATTTGCCTGATCCTTCCAAAAGCAGCTTTAGCTTTGTTTAGGCGTGACTGTATGTCTTCCTCTGTCCCTCCCAGTAGGGACACCACACTACCGAGATATGTGAAATGTTCTACATTTTCAAGTGTTTGGTTATTTATGGTCACTGGTTGTTGGCTTGGACTGTTTGTCATGATCTTAGTTTTTCTTGTATTTATTCTCAGTCCTACCATTTCTGCTGTGCAGTGTAGTCTGTTACTTTTTCTTGTATATGTTCATTTTTATGTGATAGGAGTGCTATATCATCTGCAAAATCAAAGTCCTCAAGCATGGTGAAAGGAGTCCATCGTTTGCCCCTCGATGTTTTGTCTACTGTGTTCTTTAGATCTTTAGTATGTATATATATATATATATATATATATATATATATATATATATATATATATATATATATATATATATATATATATATATATATATATCGCTTTAAAATTCTCACACAACGTTGCCTCTGACTCAAAGCGTGATTTTTTGTCATAAAATCGCACAAACCACGAACAATGTAGCTCCAGCAACGGTCAAATCATTATTTGTTTCATTGCCCGCCCGGATTAATTTTTATGTGATCTGCCATATTTGACTGCTGAGCTCTTATTGAACTTTGCATTATTATACAATTTCATTTCCACTATTTGCTCGAGTGTTTGGTAGCATAGTTGTTAACTATTCTGCCCATCATGCAGGTGACCCGCGTTCGATTCCCCGCTAGGTGATATAATTTTTTTTAGCCCTTAACTGGGCGGCTGGCACGTTGTGGTTTATGGCTAGGCTGCGATATCTACGCCTTTTTCGGTTTTGCCGTTTACAGCTAGTCTACGACAGTGCCGACGTGATGCTCAGTGGTCTTGTCACGGGTAGTCTTCGTTCGCCCTCGAGAGGGCCGTTGGCACGTTGTGTTGTGGTTTAAAGCTAGGCTATGATATCTGACCTAAACTCTTCAGTCGTCGGTAGCAAAGTTGTAAGTATGTCATCCTTCACTCGGTGACCGGTGTTCGATTCCGTGCTGGGTGATAATTGTTCTTTTTCCCCTAAAAGGGTGATTGCCACGTTGTGTTGTGGTTTACAGCTAGGCTGCAATATCTGCACCTTTCGCCCAAAGACATCCGATTTCAGTTAAGTCCTAATTAGCCTTCCCGCGACGCTTCTCGATCAAAAACTATACGGCGATGACAGAAACTGTTAACTAAGACGGCTTACAGTCCAGATTAGTTTGGTTGGACACGGATGCCAAAGTCAGTTAAAAATCGTTCCCTCGGAGAGGGAGAGATGACAGGTGCGGGGTATTTTTCTCCCCAATTCATGAGTATAGTGTACTTTTTACTGTGGGTTCCATCACTAGTTACGTGATGAAGTTTTTTTTTCCTATGTCCAGGGCAAAATCAAACTAAATAGTCCGTGGCGACAGCATGCGGCGCTAGCTCCTCTTTTCTACACCGACCTACACAGACTGTAGTGACAGTTTGTTGTTGTTGTTGTTGTTGTGATGGTGGTGGTGGTTGTGGTTGCAGTAGTACTGGTACTGGATGGGTGATGTGGTAGCTGTTACACTGGCTACATTTACTTCTCTGTACAAGTTAATGCTATCTATTTAAGTCTGGGTAGACACGGATGCAAAGCTCAATTTAGTTACAATATTTCGTTACACTGTGACTTCCCCATCCTTCAGAGAAGATGATATGATTGGGCGAGGAGGGGGGGGGGGGGTTTGTTTATGCCAGACACAGTTAGCTGAGAGAGCTTGGAATATTATTTTAAAGTTCTAATTTCTTAACTATTTTCATTTTAATAATTTCGCCATGGATGATTTTTCAATCCTTCGGAGAGGGAAATATGACTGCGTCGAGGGGGAGAGGAGGGGGTATTACAGACACTGTTAGCTGAGAGCTATTTTCTTTCCTCTCCATTTCACCAATTTGAGCCACAGCAACGCGTGGCCGGGTACAGCTAGTATATATATATATATATATCAGCATTCCTTCATAAATGGTCTTCAGAATGTTTTCTTTGTCCAATATGAGTGTTCCCTTAGCTATCGCTTTTGTAGACAGAAAATCCGCTCTTTCATTTCCCCCCACTCCTGCATATCCCGGACAGTATATCCCCATGAGTACCTGTTATGTTCATGTGCTGATGCTTGGGATCCACTCATGCCACATTTGTCCATTTTGATTATCCCAGAACCGGTCAACTGTCCAAACGGATGGTATGGCCTAGCAAGCCAGAATTGGTGCATCCAGTTGTTCAACAGTCCAGTCTCATGGTCGGCAGCTCAGGGGCGGTGTCAGATGTCCGGCGCTAAACTCGTCCAGATAAACAACTCAGCCATGAACACTTTTGTCAACCGTAAATATAATTTGTTGTGTGGTCACATCACATTGTGAACAGTAACTATAATATTTTGTCGCATGCTAATTTTTTGCAGAGTAAATATCATATTTTGTTGCATGCACATTTTCGAACAGTAGGTATCATATTTTGTTGTATGTGCATTTGTGAACAGTAGGTATCATATTTTGTTGCATGCGCATTTGTAAACAGTAGGTATCATATTTTTTTGTATGTGCATTTGTGAACAGTAGGTATCATATTTTGTTGTATTTGCATTTGTGAACATTAGGTATCATATTTTGTTGTATGTGCATTTGTGAACAGTAGGTATCATATTTTGTTGTATGTGCATTTGTGAACAGTAGGTATCATATTTTCTCGCGTTCTAATTTTGGAAGAGTAAATATCTCATTTACTCTTGTGTATATTTGTAAACAATGATAGTCAAATAGTCCGTGGGATAGTCAAATAGTCCGTGGGATAGTCAAGTATTCTGTTTTATAGTTAACTTATCTGTGATATGTTTGTCTGCGTGATAGTAAAGTAGTCCGTGTGATAGTCAAGTAGTCCATGTGATAGTCAAGTAGTCCATGTGATAGTCATGTAGTCCATGTGATAGTCAACTAGTCCATGTGATAGTCAAGTAGTCCATGTGATAGTCATGTAGTCCATGTGATAGTCATGATAGTCAAGTAGTCCATGTGATAGTCAAGTAGTCCATGTGATAGTCATGTAGTCCATGTGATAGTCATGATAGTCAAGTAGTCCATGTGATAGTCAAGTAGTCCATGTGATCGTCAAGTAGTCCATGTGATCGTCAAGTAGTCCATGTGATCGTCAAGTAGTCCATGTGATCGTCAAGTAGTCCATGTGATAGTCAAGTAGTCCATGTGATCGTCAAGTAGTCCATGTGATAGTCAAGTAGTCCATGTGATAGTCAAGTAGTCCATGTGATAGTCAAGTAGTCCATGTGATAGTCTAGTCAAGTAGTCCGTGTGATAGTCAAGCAGTCCGTGTGATAGTCAAGCAGTCAGTGTGATAGTCAAGTAGTCCATGTGATAGTCAAGTAGTCTGTGTGATAGTCAAGTAGTCTGTGTGATAGTCAAGTAGTCCTTGTGATAGTCAAGTAGTCCATGTGATAGTCGAGTAGTCCATATGATAGTCAAGTAGTCCGTATGATATTCAAGTAGTCATTGTGATGGTCAAGTAGTCAGTATGATAGTCAAGTAGTCCTTGTGATAGTCAAGTAGTTCATGTAATAGTCAAGTAGTCCATGTGATAGTCAAGTAGTGCATGTGATAGAAAGGTAGTCTGTATAACAACAACAACACAGTTTGTGCCACAACATCAACCACTACACAAATGTTTGACACACAATATCACCTTCAGTTCATATATTAACTCAAGTGTTTTAGTGCAATCAGAAATACTTGTTCTTGTTCATTTTATCACTGCCACATCTTTAGAGCTTGTAAGCCAAAGCAAGGGTCTCTACTGGATTGGCCTGAATGATCAAGGCAAGGAGGGGACATTCACCTGGCTCAATGATACAGTCCAGGTATATTAGCACCATGTTCGTGATCTTTTCTGCTTCTAGTCCATGTGGTGTTGGTAGTCATATCTTTCCACAGCGTTCTGGCTCATATGCTGCAAATCATTTCTGACACTTATGATCCTGTATGCCATGATGTCAACCTGTAATCATCATCATCACCTGCTGCCTTGTTTCTTAAAATCTGACCTACTTCTACCACTACTTTCCTTTTCCCTTCGCCATGTCGCTCTAAGATGCTGCAAAACTGACAACTCCAGTTCTCCGTTAATGTCACTTTTCCGACTTGTCTATTACAACTTGTTTACGAGACGTATAGATAATACCTTTGCCTGTGTTCAGGCCTGCACAAATGTTAAAGAGGTCAGGATGTAAATTTATTAAGTAAAAATAGCATTTAAACAATTTATTAGTGAGCTATCTAATACTTTTGTTTTAAAGATTAAAAAAAAAAATTCCCACAGGGTAATGACTTTTATTTTTAACAAATTTTTTATTTTATTTTAGTATTCTGGAGTCAAAGGGTTAAGCCAACAATTGGCTTGTATTGGAAATGTGATCATAAATCAAATGCATATTGTTGTTGTTGATCCCACATCTGCCAGATTCACCCTTGGCACTCCAGTGTTGTTGTTATTATTTCTTATGAAGGCCCTCTCAGCGGTTCTGGTGATATTTTAATGAGCTGGGTGACCAGTTTTCTTACTCATCAACGTTACAGGCAGAAAGCTCTGGTTGTTCGCCACTCCTGGATGTGGTCTTGATTTAGAACTTGAGTTTTTGAAGTGCACATCCGTTTTTACAAATCTTGGCTTATTTGTATGCATAGAGTTCCCCGCCTCTCAGGCAGATGCACTGCAATTTTGAAAGGAACACCCATAATTAGACGCCTCCTATGACATGCTTGTAAGGAATGGGGGGGGGGGGGGGGGGAGGGGGTATTGTCAATTCTTTGTTCTCCAAAAATAGAGGCCTGGAACCCACTTGGGGCTTCACCTTGTGAAGGGCATCTAAACATCAGTGTAACCAGGGCTATTCAACTGGCAGCCCGCGGGCCAAATCTGGCCTGCCAAGGCCTAGCCAGTGGCCCGCGGATCACTATTTGTTGCATTTATGGTCTTTCTATGCTGATGCTGGAGCTTCTGGCCCGTGACGATTCCCATTTTTGAACATTTTGGCCCCTGAGTCCACTTAGTTAAATAGCCCTCGTCTACACAATGACTGTGATGATGATATTCCGGTGATCCCAGCTGTGAGATCCCAGGCCCTCGTGTGGGGAGCCAGAAAAATAGACCCACTGTCTACCAAACATGTCGTAATAGTCAACTAATAAGGGATTTTTCTCTCAAAGTCGGAGTGAATTTGTCTGAAAAGCAAGGAACCATCATTATGCATTCACATATACTACATCTACATCAATTAAAAAAACAAACAAGATGTGCACTCAAAACTCAGTTTCTGGAGCAAGACCAAAGCCCAGAAGTGGATGAACAACCAGAGCTCTCAGCTAGAGTTTACAGCTGCTGGAAGCTAAGAATAGGATGGGCAGACTACAGCATTTCTGTATCTGTTATCATTTTCGAGTCACCTGTTTGGTGAAGAATTAATTACCTCTTTGACTTCTTGTTGTAAATTATAGTTATATTGTGCATCCCTTGATGGCTCTTTAACACTTGTAATGTTGACTATTCTTCAGGCCACTTACACACAGTGGGCCAGCGGTATGCCAAACAATGATGGGGGAAACGAGAATTGTGTCGTTATCGATGGAAACAATAACAACAAATGGGATGACCTAGACTGCAGCACACCAAACCGATTTATCTGCCAGCGAGTGCCTTGTAAGTCGGGATATTTTTTTGGGGGGTTTATTTGTCTGATTACTAGTTAGTTGCGTATCTTCTGCTTCTTGGTGTTTACCTGCTTTAAACTCTGGCAGAAAATTATGTCTGATTAAAAGTTAGTTTGCGTATCTTCTGCTTCTTGGTGTTTACCTGCTTTAAACTGTGGCCGAAAATTCTGTCTGATTAAAAGTTACTTGCGTTTCTTCTGCTTCTTGGCGTTCGCCTGCTTTAAACTCTGGCCAAAAATTATGTCTGATTAAAAGTTAGTTGCATATCTTCTGCTTCTTGGTGTTTACCTGCTTTAAACTCTGGCAGTAAATTGTGTCTGATTAAAAGTTAGTTGCGTTTCTTCTGCTTCTTGGTGTTCACCTGCTTTAAACTCTGGCAGTAAATTGTGTCTGATTAAAAGTTAGTTGCGTTTCTTCTGCTTCTCGGTTTTTACCTGCTTTAAACTCTGGCAGTAAATTGTGTCTGATTAAAAGTTAGTTGCGTTTCTTCTGCTTCTCGGTTTTTACCTGCTTTAAACTCTGGCCAAAAATTATGTCTGATTAAAAGTTAGTTGCGTATCTTCTGCTTCTTGGTGTTCACCTGCTTTAAACTCTGGCAGTAAATTGTGTCTGATTAAAAGTTAGTTGCGTTTCTTCTGCTTCTCGGTTTTTACCTGCTTTAAACTCTGGCCAAAAATTTTGTCTGATTAAAAGTTAGTTGCGTATCTTCTGCTTCTTGGTGTTTACCTGCTTTAAACTCTGGCCAAAAATTATGTCTGATTAAAAGTTAGTTGCGTATCTTCTGCTTCTTGGTGTTTACCTGCTTTAAACTCTGGCAGTAAATTATGTCTGATTAAAAGTTAGTTGCATATCTTCATCTTCTTGGCGTTTACCTGCTTTAAACTCTCGCCAAAAATTATGTCTGATTAAAAGTTAGTTGCATATCTTCTGCTTCTTGGTGTTTACCTGCTTTAAACTCTGGCGGAAAAATCTAGTTGTTTGCCCACATCTGGATTTACGTTTTGTTCCAAACCTAATAGTTTAATGGGCATATCTGTTTTACAGATCTTGCTTATTTATATGCAGACTGTTGGTTGCTCGCCTCTCAGGCAGATGCACTCTTACTTTAAAGGAAAGTTGTGTATCTGTTTCAGAATGTTGCAGAACCAATGACAGCATTTTGTTTTTTGCTGTTTGTGGTTTTACCAGGCAATTTTACATTCAGTAGTTTGCCATTGCTTTTGGAACTGTCATCACACCATATTGTCAAAATCACCGCTTCCTGTGTGGTTTCCTGAGCTCCGTTGTGGGGAAACTAAAGAGAAAAGACCCACTGCCCCTATCAAGTATGTTATAATAGTCAATTGACTAATTAGGGATATTTCCTTTGAAGTTAGAGTGCTTGTGCCTGAAAGGTGAGGGGGCATTGAAGAAAGAATGAGGCTGTGGTTGAAGTGAGAAAAGAAGAAGAGTACAGATAAATGAGGCTGTGGTTGAAGTGAGAAAAGAAGAAGAGTACAGATAAGTGAGGCTGTGGTTGAAGTGAGACAAGAAGAAGAGTACAGATAAATGAGGCTGTGGTTGAAGTGAGACAAGAAGAAGAGTACAGATAAATGAGGCTGTGGTTGAAGTGAGAAAAGAAGAAGAATACAGATAAATGAGGCTGTGGTTGAAGTGAGAAAAGAAGAAGAGTACAGATAAATGAGGCTGTGGTTGAAGTGAGAAAAGAAGAAGAGTACAGATAAGTGAGGCTGTGATTGAAGTGAGACAAGAAGAAGAGTACAGATAAATGAGGCTGTGGTTGAAGTGAGAAAAGAAGAAGAGTACAGATAAATGAGGCTGTGGTTGAAGTGAGACAAGAAGAAGAGTACAGATAAATGAGGCTGTGGTTGAAGTGAGAAAAGAAGAAAAGTACAGATAAATTTGAATTAATTGTTAGTGTTGAGATGTTTTTAACAGATTAAACTCATTACAAGAAATTATGTTGTGGGATAGCGGTGTCCGTGGCTTAGGCGTTGCGAGTGTGACTCGTAATTCCCACGTACCGCGATCGAAACCCACTGCTGGCTGCGTGGATTTTTATCATGGTATCGGGCGTCGCAGGTCGACCCAGCCTAAAATGGGTACCAGGATGGCTGCTGACCACATTACCTACCTAGTGCCGATTGGTCTTTAAAAATATGGGACGCTCTTCCCATATGCCCAATGCGTCTAAGACGTGAAAAGGGATCTTTACTTTACTTATTTTGTGGGATGACAAACCATGACTGCCTATGCTTATCGGTATCGCACGTGATGCTGTTATTTCCTTGAGTGGGGGGTAAGGGCACTGAATGTTTTTTGTTTTGTTTTGTTACAAAGTAACCTGTGGACCGAATACCTTTGGGAAACAGTGGCCTATACTCATTTTTATCTGTCTCTTCATCTTTCTGTCTGCCTGGCTGCCTATCTAGCCCTAATGTTTTAATTATTTCATATGGCATTAATGATAATGAGTGATTCTCTTATCTGTCTTGTCCCACAGTTGCTGGGTTTCCATCTCCAGTTCCAGGTAGTGTAAGTAAGTATTTCTTTGTTAAGCCATCGGATTAAGGTAGGCACTTACATAGAACAGTCACTGTGCGTTGTGTAGACTATGAGGGTTAGGGCGCCATGGAAAAATTGTAATTAAAAAAAGGCGCTGCGACTAAGAACAGTTTGGGAAACACTGGTGTGGACTGATTTTTTGAGAATTTGAAGTTGGAGAATTTTCTACACTGAATATCAATGAAAGAAGCATAAACAGTTAAAGATATACTGATGACACTCTCACTAGCAAAAAAATTAGCAAAACTAGTGGGCTAAATAAACAGCCAGAGTGCAGAGAATGGTTTGGACATGAAAATTATTTCAAATAAAATAATTTAAAAAAAACAAAAAAAACAATAATTAACGGTGGGAAAAAGTGGCCAATAGTGAACATTACTAGTTTGTGCTTCATGCAGGACTCTGCTAATGATGTTCATTATTTTCTGCTTCCCTACTATTAAACTTTGTCATATGTGGCTTAAGTGTTGCGAATGTGCTTGGTAATTATGAGGTATCTGGTTCAATTCCAGCAGACCCCATTGCGTTAATTTCGACAATGGTGTCAACAAGAACTGACCATCCAGGAAGCAGTGGCGAGCTACTAAAAGTAAACTTGCCGAGTAAAACCAAATAGCCAACAACAACAAAATCCAAAAAATATTCTAAGATTTGTTCCACAACATTTTGTAAAGCAGGCATGTCAGACTGGCAGGAATGGAGCAACTAAGATGATATGTTTGCTATAAAGTTGAAACTGTGATTGTCTGATCACCGGATTATCTCATTATATGACTGCAGCATCAGCGATGTGAAAAAAGGGTCCTATACTTAAAAAAAAAAATGACATTCAGTGACTTGATATACAAATATATTAAGTGCTTTTTCTTCTTTAGTCATGTGTGGCCTTTCAGCGGCAGGTTTTGAAAAAGCCTTGGTATGTGTTTGTAGCTGCTGCGCATATTTACGGCCTCGATTATTCCATCTATCCATTGGTTATGTAGTCTCTGCTCCATGTCTAAGTGACAGGGCTGTCCGTGGTGCAGTCTGGTGGCAGTCTTGACCCATGTCCAAACCATTTGATGAGTTGTCTCTTAATTAGCACTGGTTCCATCTCAGCTTCTTCCCTGATATCATCATTTCTTATCCTGTCTCTTCTGGTTACATTTAGGATGCATCGTAAACATTTAATTTCTGTTGTTTCTATTTTCCTTCTATCTTTTGTTGTTAACGTCTATGCTTGGCACTGATAACACAGTGTTGGTAAAAGTACTGTACTGAGTACTGTGTGGAATTAAAAAAACAACAAAAACATATAGGCTGTCTTTAGTGAAATTTAATTTTTGTTTTAAATCTCATGAATTTTTCAGCTGCATCAAACACAAACTGCGGCCCAGGCTGGGAAGATGTCACGGACACAGATTATTGTATTGCCTTTCATACAAATGTTTTGTCCTGGTTGGATGCACAAGCTGATTGTAAGAGTCGTGGGGGAGACCTGGCCTCAGTGGCCAACGTACAGGAGCAGTTCTACCTGTCAGGTGAGAGTGCTGTGCTTCGAAAGGAGAAAATGAAATATGAAATTAAAGGAGTTATGAGTTAGATTATCTTCACAGCACTCCGGACACATCCATAGGCGCTCAGATTCTCCTCTCAACATATTCATCAGCGTCGTGCGGTTAATAGTGCCAGTCCTATGTTGGTTAACAAAACTTTGTTTGCGTCCGGTGTGTTTCTCATGCTTGGCTGTGCCCATCTTTACTCCCAGTTTGCTTGTTCTTAGCAGTGATCTGGACACGTTGTTTCCAAAATCCTCAGAACGCCCTATCTCTCTGAGGGCAATGACAATTAATGCGGCACCAGCCAGTCTATCAGCTCTTTTATTACCGATGCCTGCATACCCTGGGATGAATATGAAGGAAACTGCACACACAGGAGAGTTTTGCAATGACTCAGACCACTGTCTGCGTAACCAGCCTGCCTCGACCTGCCGGATCATGCTCAAAGAATCGCTTAGCACACACATGCGCAAATAGTCCTGTGATCCCAGCCACATGAAAGCCTGTGTCACCGCCATCACCTCCATCGTCATGCTGCTGGTGGTCATGGAGAAGGCATTGCTAGCTTCTTGAACTGTTCTGCCTGAAGAGCGAGCTGTAAATGCCCATGCACTCTTATGTCCTCGTACAACGGACCCATCTGTGAAGATACCACATCTGTCTCATCTCACTTATCACTGATAAGCGCACATACCTCAGCATTGACAGCAGCTGGATTCTGCTCCCGACAACTCCTATCAAGCGTCACGATACAGGAGAATGTGAGATTTGGCGCTTTAGACACTGGTATTTATTCTTCACCTGGAAGGATGTCTGTAAGAATGCAAATCTGCATTATGTCATCCTCTGTCCTACCCAGCCAGGATGTACCCCTTTTAAGCCTATTAATTGAGTTAACTCTTTCAGTCCTAGGTAATGTCAAAGAAGAAATCCAATTTGTCACAATAATCACAGAGAAAAAAGCATCAGTATGACCTTTAAAGATACAGCATATACTGAGCTACATTTAAAATATTTGGCCAGATTTCTTTCGCATACCCAGACCAAATATGAAAGTATTAATAGCACACCATGTGCTGTATTGATACACATAGACATAAGCTGCGTCTACTAAGTGCATTGCTTGGGTCAGATAAGAGCCAAGAACTGGAATTACAGCACTCAGAGTGTTCCCATAGATGTGCCTTCTCCATCTTCATCAGCCGGTGCAGTTCGAGTACTAAGGGTGTCAGTTGTAGTATGATTATTTGTTTGTATGCCCTGTGTGGGCCCCGAATCCCTGGTATGCAGATTTGCTAATATATGATGTTGTGGACTGAAAGGCCCATATTGCAGCCTAGCAGTAAACCACAACACATGATACCGGCTTCTGTTTAAATGATGAATACAGAAGAAGACAAAGAATTGTTTGTATTGCATTTCCTATAAGTGCTGAATGCCAGTAGAATCTCTGGTCAGTCTCTTTTACATCATTCTTTCCAAGACCTGACATCACTGCACTGAGGACATTTCCATTCAAGCTTTCCCATTTTCCAGTAGTCAAAACATCTTCCTGTGTGGATTCTGGGACCCCATTGTCATCAGATGTGTTTGGGGGGGGGGGGGGGGGGGGGAAAGAATGGACCCACTGTTTCATGACTGAAAAGCTGAAAATTCAGATTATTACGAGTAGAAATGCACCGACTTTCAAAATTGTTTGACGCGTCCCTTGAAACTTCTTCACACTCCCCCTTCCCTGCCTTCACTTCCTTGGTTGGAGACCACTGTTCTAGACACTCCAATTTACATTATTCTTTCTAAACCATTGGTTCTCAGTTAGCTAAGATCTCCAAACGACTCTTATTTTTGAAGGGCTGCTATGGACCGAATACTTCTTTAATAATCATACTGAAGAACTTTTAATTTATACATATAAGAATCACCAAAGTGGTTGCATTGTAAGCTAAGTTTTTGTTTTGTTTTTGTTTTTGCAACTGAAATCACAAATATCACACTTAAATTAAATCGGGGGGGGGGGGGGGGGGGGGGGGGGGGGGGGTCGTTCGCATATCACCAGATGGGAAACTCTCTTCTAGTCCATATGAGAGAACAGATAAAAGACGACAAGGCTGGGCATCTAGTACGTTGTACGATACTTTCTGTTTCAGCTCGAGCTGTAACCTTTGCATCAAATATGTTTTGGATTGGAGCCAATGACAGAGCTACTGATAGAGGTTGGCTGTGGTCAGATGGCACCCCATTTGCTTTTTTCAACTGGGCTGTCAGTAAGTTGTGAAACCTTCTTCTTCTTCTCCTCTTCCTCCTCCTTCTTCATTTTCTTCTTCTTCTTTTTCTTCTTCTTCTCCTTCTCCTCCTCCTCCTCCTCCTCCTGCTTCTGCTGATGTTGATGTCTCTCTCTTATGTGCCAGTCTCTGTATGCCCCAACCATTGCAGTCTATTATCCCTCATAGTGCCAGTAATTACTAATGTTTTAAACAGATTTTGAATTTCTTGTTGCTTCTCACTCTCCATTCTCTGCTGTTTTCTTCTTTGATAGGCACATTTTCAGCAGATGATTTAAATCATCCGTATTTTACTGTCCAAATGTTGATTACAATTTAGAAGTATAATTACGTAGCATTGCATATGAAAGTGCAGATATTACTGGATTGATAACAACAAGAACAAAATTCCACTATATGGTTTTTATTGAACATAACAATCTGGCATATTACTTTTAGGACAACCAGATAACAGCTATAACTCTGATTGTGCGGTCATGGTTCAGAGCAGTGGAAAGTGGGATGATGTCGATTGCCAGAGCAGAAATGGATACATCTGCAAAAAGAAAGGTATTGATAACCGAAATCTCTTATTAGTTGCATCCTCTGTTAATCTTCTTCCTTTGCTCTTAAATGAACAGGGGGTATGTTGTGGTCTCATTACAGCCATTCTGGGGTGTCTATGCCTTTGGGCCCAACAGATCTGATTTTTTAGGATTTCTTTCTCTTAACCGCATCACTAGCTGTAAACTGTCAGAAAGTTCAGGTTGTGTGTTCATTGTCAATATCGTGGATGGAATCCAGTCCAGGACTTTTGGCATTTTAAAGGTGTAATTGTCCTCTCTCCATCAAACCCCCCCCCCCCCGACCCTGCCTTCTCTCTTCTGAAATGCTCCTAATTCTACCTACAAATGTATAAATATATATAATATCATGCTGTGATATGTGCAGTATAGATATCAGTATAAAACTTCCGTTACAAAACCAACAGACAGCTCTAGGATTAAGAAAATTCCTGTTCCAGAACAGAAAAGACCCTCCAGCAAATATATGACCAAATATCTGTACCGCTCTTTAGAGGCGGGGCATATGGAAAGCAACCAGTCAGTGCTAAGCACTGCGGGCTGAACACTATCCCAAAGTCACCACCTTCCGGAATAACGGTTATAGACACAATTTATCATCCCCTTGACGCAAAATGTGCATAAAAATGTTTTCAGTTGATGCTGTGCTCCATGTATATAACAGGTGTCAAAAATTGGCTGTCCATGTACACTTTTCCAAGAACTTAACACTGCTTTTTTAATGATAGTACTTATTATATGATTATGATTGTATGCAGGCAAAAGTAGAGGTCCCAGGTTCATATCCCGTGAAGGGTAGGAATTTTTCACGTGGGCTTCTTGTAATTTCCCCTGGTCTCTGGGTAGTAAGATCAGGCGCTTGTGTGTATTGTTGCGCACGTAAAAAAAAAAAATCCCTTGGTAATTGAAAATCAAAATTATTAAACATGCTGTTCTTCAAGCACAGTGTAACACCTTCAAGACCACACGTCACAGCATAACGACTTACTGAGCACCATTTTTAATTTAGATATGAAAGCCAGGGTACAAACCAGACTGTAAAGTTTGTAAGGCTGTAGGTAAAGGAAGCTAGACTTGCATATGCTGCCCAGATTGCAATACACCTCTAGGCTTTATACCCTCCCTGTTCAAGCTATACCATACAGTTGAGGATTATCAACATTCCTGATAAGAACAGAGGGCTACTGCTACAGCTTCAACTCCAGTTAATGAAGGAAGTAGCTCAGATTTCAACTAGAGGTGCTTTTATAATCAAGCATTCACAAATGCTCATTGTAACATGGTAAATAAACACAATAAATGAGAGAAAAAATGTCACTTTGTTCACATTTTTATTCGCTTTTCATGTTGACATATTTGGTCAGTCGTAAAAAATTTGCACCTATTTACCTAATTTTATTTATCATCAACCATGTCCCAAATATTTTATTGCTTTGATATTGAACAAATTCCCTAAGAACTGGAAAAAGATGATAGTTTTAGAACATCTCCTGATATTTCTATTAATAGCCAAACCAGTTCAAGATGGCCGCCATGATCAAGTGACATATTTGCATAATATATCTTTTTTCATGTGTAGCAACCATCCACAATGATGCATTAGAGGTTTCAAAACCCTACACTTGTTTTTGAATTTTTTATGAATTTTATTAGAAAACCAGTCTTTTTTGAAAAAACTATCCAGACACCCTTGGTAATGGGAGACAGTAATGCCCTGGATTGCTGGTCAGGAAAGTGTTAAATATGTAACAGTGCAGAAAATATAATTTACTCAGTATTCATTTGTTTTCTTTCTAGGAAGAGTCACTTCCCCTTCTTTGATAACTACAACCACACCACCTCCTCGTTTGCCAGGTAAGATTTCTGTGGCCTACATGCTTGATTTTTGGTTTTGTGTATTTTAGTGTAAAATAAGATAACCAGCTGTTTTTAAATTCAACAGTAAAAGTCTAATGTCTACACCCTGGGGCTCGTTTAGGCCAGAGTGAGTACCAGAGAAGACAACGGAGATGAGAAGAGGAAGTCAATCAAAATAAAATTTAAAAAAAAATAAAGAAAATAGAGAAGTGGTAGAAGGAAAATAAAATGAAATAGAGAAAACAAATAGGAGGAAAAAAGAAAATAGAGAAGAAAAGTCGATGGCAAAGAAGAAAATAGAGAAGTATTAGAAGGGGGAGAAGAAAATAGAGAAGTAGAAAGAAAAGGAGGAGAAGAAGAGGAAGATGAAGAATGAGAAGGAATAGAAGGAAAAAAAGAAAATAGAGAAGAAGAAGAAGAAGAAGAAGAAAGAAAAAAACTTTGAGGAAAAGAATAAGAGGAAGAAGAAGAATGAGGAGGAGGAGAAGATGAAGGAGAAAAAAACAGAAGAAGTAAAAGAAAAGAAGAATATAGAGAAGAAGAGGTAGAAAGAAAAGAAATTTAAGGATGAGAAGAATAAGAGGAAAAAGAAGTATGAGGAGAAGAGGAAGAAGAAGGAACAAAATAAAATATAAAGGAAGAATTAGAAAGAAGAGAACTTTGAGGGGGAGGAGAAGTAGGATGAAAAGAAGACAAAAAGAAGCAGAATGAGGAGGAAAAAGGTTTTAAAAAAAAAAAAAGGAAAGCTGGAGGGAAGGAAGGAGTGGCAGAGGAAAACCAGTAGAAAAGATGCTGGACAGTTTGACATCATGGCATTATGGATTATCTGTGTCAGAGCTGGTTGAAAGTACTCGAGACAGAAGGTTGTGGATTGACATGGTTACCAATGCCACACAGCATGGACTTTAAGAAGATGAAGACAATTATAGTACATCGCATTTTGTGGAAAGAGTTAATAATAGTATTACTCAGATAACTTGTTCTGATACTGTTGCAGCTGGTCAAATATGGGGCTGCCCTCTGGGTTGGGAAGATTACCGTGGTTCCTGCTACAAGCTTGTCCAACTGGCCACAGATGTGGATTGGTCAACTGCTAGTTCTACCTGCACTAGTTCCACATATCAAAGTGCTCTGGTGGCCATCATTGATGATGACGAGAATGATTTTGTCTTTTCATTAATTCCCAAAGGTAGGTTATTTTTATGTCACAAACTTTGAATATCTAGGCTATCATAATCAGCTACATTGGAGACTTCAGCAGAAGTTAAAAGGAGGATGGTCATAGCAGTGCAAGTCCAGGCAGCATAAAAAATTCTGTGGCAAGGAAATCAAAGTCAGAACTCTGAGAGCATTAATCTTTCCTGTAGTGACTTATGGTTGTGAGGTATGGACTTTTCCTGTAGTGATGTATGGATATGAGTTGTAGACCTTCTTGCAGTCATTAAGGAAGAAAATAAGGGCTTTTGAGCTGAAATGCTGTGGATTCTTCGAATTCCGTTGACTCCCCTTTGTGGGGAGGGGGGGGGGGAGTGGACAGACTCATGTTCCACTAATAAGCATGTCATAAGAGTCACCTGATTATGGATGTTTCCTTCAAAGTTGGAGTGCATCTGCCTGATACAAACACACAAGATCTGTAAAACAGGTGTGCACACAAAACTCAGGTTCTGGAACAAGACAGTTCAGAAGTGAATGAACAGCCACAACTTTCCGCCAGAGTTTACAGTGGGTGAAAACTAAGATGAAAAAGAAGATAAATTCTGTAGACCAAGAAAAGAAATATTGACCTCCTAAAAGTTTGAACATCAATGGAAATTGGCTTGTAAACAGAATCTTGACCTGAACACTGAAATGCATTGGCCATATCAAGAGCCATTGTGAGTTGGAAAGACCAGCAAAGTACATAGTACCTGGTAGGAGGAGCTGAAGGAGCATGAAGGTGGATCATCATCAGTCAGCTAGTCCTTTACAGAAAGTCACTCTTTTCACGGCATGCCTAAAAGTATCCCTTTCCCAAGCCAACTCTCCGGCCCCATGTGCTCTCAATGCCAATGCATCTTCAATGTCTTGTATCCATCTTCATGGTGGTCGACCCCTGCCTCACCTGCACAAACTGCACCTTCCATCACCGTCTTTTCCAAGCCACCATGATGCTTGATGTGGCCAAAGTACTTTAACTTTCAGGACAGGATTCTGTTTATGAGCCAGTAATCCCTAATGTTCAACTCGTTCCGAATGTTGATGTTTTTCCTTTTCCTGATCTATGGTATTCTAAGATTTTTTTCTAAAACATTTCAATTCAAAAGCTCCAATCTTTTTCCTCAATGACTGAGTGAGAGTCCAAGACTCACAACCGTTAGTTGCCACAGGAAAAATGCATGATCTCAAGATTTTTACTTTAACCAATTTACTAGTGGATACAGGACATAAAAGACACATTGGTAGGAGAGTGAGTCAGGCGGGAGAGCTGGTAAAATACAGTTTTTTTTTTTTTCAGGCATGCAGTAATATGTTGCAGGACGAAGAAGATAACTCTGTCGTGAGAAAAAATAACTAGCAGAGAATCACCAAATGGCACTGAAATAGGAAATACCAGAGTTTGAGGAAGCAAAGATGTCCAGAAGCAACCATAAAAGGAATGTTGATGAGAAAGGCCAAAGGTGCACAACGGATCAGCATCATAGCACACGGGTAGTAACCCATAAGTGCTTCATTCTTCTTTTAACTCAAGCAAGAGTCCGAAGAAGCTCATCACAGTGCACAGGCTCTGTAGCACCGGCGAAGATCCTGAAATACTGTGGATAGATTTTTAACTCAAAATTTTGCCGGGCAGCACCGTTAGGCTACTCTTTTTGATTTCCAGTTGCCAAGGGATTTTTTTTAACATGCGCATCAATGCACACGGGCGTCCGATCTCACTACCCAGAGACCAAGGGAAATTACTAGAAGTCCAAGCCCTTACCGGAGATTGAACCCGGAACCTCTAGCACTAGAGGAGAAATAGACTGTGAACCCTCTGTGACATATATTGGCACTGCAGGATAGTGATGCTGCTGTGATGAGAGCGACATTCTGTACAAGACCTACAACATGATGAGGAGGTTACTTAATTATTCATAATTATATAAAAAGTAGGATGAACACAGTGAAACTAAACTCTTTTAGCCGTGCCTCTGTGCAGTTGGTTGGACCTGTTGCTAAATGAAAAATATCTAAAGCAAGTAAATATTGTATCCTGAAACAAACCAGGCTATGAATAATTACTGTATCCTGAAACAGAAACCAATCCAAGTATAAATGTAATATATGAATTGGTTTCTATTTCATGATAAAATATTCATACATGGATTGGTTTCTGTTTCAGGATACAATATGTATTAATGGATTGGTGTCTATTTCAAGGTACAATAATTATACATGGATTAGTTTCTATTTCAAGACAATATTTATTTATCTGTCTATCTATCTGTCTGTCTGTCTGTCTGTCTATCTATTTTCTTTTACCCCACCAGGATATCACACAAGCGATAAACACCCGATGACACAAAGTGCCACCATGTGGATGACGATCTCCCATAGAGTGGTTCCAGAAACAGCGTTCAGCCATTAGACCATATTTATGGCTGGGCTATATTGCGGCCCCTGGCAAGAGCCAGAGTAGGGCTTTAAATAACGAAAAATTCTATCTCACAAGGAGATGACTGTCTGACTGACTTTCTACCCCACCAGGACATCACACAAGCAACAAACACCTGATGACACAAAGTGCTACCATGTGGATGAGGATCACCGTGGAGAGGTCCCAGAAACCGTGTTCAGCCTTTGGGCCATATTTATGACCAGGCTATATTGCGGCCCCTGGCAAGAGCCAGAGTAGGGCTTCAAATAAAATAAAAATGTTATGCTATAAGTGGTGGACTATTTTTTTATAACGGAGATGACTAGTTTCAAGATACTATATTTATAAATGGATTGGTTTGTATTTCAAGATACAAAATTTATAAGGTCTGACAATTAATTAATGAAACTAATTCCATAAAAATTAAAATAATCAACAGTTGAAGATATAACCTGTATTTTATTCAAAGTAAGCCCCGTGTGCATTGATACAGCAAGTGACACGATCTAACAAACACTGGAAGACCTCTGTAGTTCTTCTGCTGTTATGGCCCTTAAAGTCAATGTTACGGCCCTTTGGATGTCATCAATATCGTCAAAGAAGCTTCCTTTCAGTGGTAACCTTACTTTTGGGAATAGAAAATAATCACAGGGAGACAAATCTGGGAAGAAGGGTGGATGGTTGAGAACACACACTTGTTTTTTTGGCCAAAAATTCCTGGACAACTACCGCCCGGTGAGCCGGTGCATTGTCGTGAAGAAGGAAAAAAACTGCCGGGTGTTGAATATTCGGGTCGGACTCTAAGAATCCTTTTCAACAGACTTTTCAAAATACTTGAATAAACTGTGGCTGTGACAGTCTGTCCCTGTGGTATAAATTCTTTGTGAATAACTCCTTTGCTGTAGTAGAAACACACCAACATTGTCTTCAGTTTGGACTTTTGAAGACAGATTTTTGTTTGTTGCCTTTAGGTGATGATGATGACTTCCACTGAGCACTTTAGCGTTTAGTTGTGGGATTATAGCGGAAAATCCATATTTCATCCTCTGCAATAATCAAATTTAAGAAATCTTTTTTTTCTGCGACAAGTTTTGATGTCTTTTGCATACTCAACACGCTGATGTTTTTGGTCATCAGACAAGAAATGTACAAACTGGCAAGCAACTTTTTTCTTGCCCATATTTTCCACTAATATTTTACGATTGGTCTCTCTATTAACATCAAATTCATCTGCCATCATCCTCACAGTCAAACAATGATCTTCTTGTATCTCTTCCCTGACTTTTACAATGAGTTCCTTATTACGAACAGAAACTGGGCGTCCAGTTCTAGTTGCATTAGTAATCATTTCTACACCACTTTTGAATCAGGAATACCCCCTGAAAATCTGTGCACAAGATAAACATTATCCTCATAATCCTGTCGCATCAATTCAACCGTCTCAATGGCACTTTTTCTGAGTTTGAAACAGAATTTAATGTTAGCATTTTGTTCCATGCTGATTTCGTAACAATGCACATCTAACTAGGTCAATAAAATGGTGGCTTGTTTGTCATCTGCTTATCAGGTGGCCATGCAAAGTTGCCAGATCATAGATGAAGGTTTGCTTCTTTGGATTCCATGCGTTTGCTTCATATATGACATTTTTGTCTTGGCCATTATAAAGTCAGTTTCATTACTTAATTGTCAGACCTTGTATACAAGGATTGGTTTCTTTTTCAAGACGATATTTATTCATAGATTGGTTCCAGTTTCAGGATGAAATATTTATACATGAATTGGTTTCTGTTTTAGGATTTAGTGGTTATACATGGATTGGCTTCCACGACCCTCAGGAGAACAGTTTTACCTGGGTGGATGACACACCTGTCCAGTACACCAACTGGGAACTTGATGAGCCCAACAACAGCAACAACGAAGACTGTGTTGTGATGGACAGTGCGGTGAGTTTCCTAACTAAATTAATGAGAATTTGGTTATATGTTTGTGTGAGCGCCCGTATTTTACTCATGTGTTGGCGTCTTTAGCGTTGCAAAAACCCATATGGTATTCTGGGTTGCTAGATTTCAATCCATGCTGTGGGCTGCCTGGCAGCAGACCGCCTTGCATTGGTTTTTGACAGTGGTATTGAGAGCCGACCATTTAGAAAGCAGAGGCAAACTACTGAATGTAAAACTGCCTAGTGAAAACACAGACAGCCAAAAAATGCTGGTTCTTGAACCATTTTGTATACAGAACTATCTTTTAGTCTTTCAGCTGCATAATGTTTCCAGTCGAAACTGAACAGTAGTGGGAAGGAGGGAGATAACTGTCATGGCAAATCACGGATGTGTTTTTTTAAAAAATAAACGGAAGTAGCTTCGTGGACATACCAATTTCATTGGTATTCTATCAAAAAGTGCAGTGGGATTAAAACAGTCAACTCCTTCAGCCATATACAGTTTTGCAACAGATGTCCATGGGGGCAAATAACCACAGAGACAAGCAACAAGCTCAGTACTTTACAGGGGTTAAATTCACAGTTGAAGAAGCCACTGAAAAAGCCAGTTTTGTTCAGTATGTTTTGACTAAATGAGATTTGCTGATTCTTGAGATTGGGAATGGGGAGAGGTTAATCATGAACGGTCTGTCAAAAAAAAAGTCATCTCATTTTGAAGCTTCCTACTCCACTTATACACTTTCTGGACTGACAAGGATGCAGCGCAATACTGGACCTTAATTTACCAGTAAAATTCTATAGGTTTAGCCTCTTCACTGATTTTTAAAAAAAAGAGGGATATGACAACATGCCGCTCCTCTTTGGTGCATATCAAAAGATTGGCAACCATCTTTAAACCATTATTATGGTAATACTGTGTTAGTCCACAACATGATGACATGTGCTTAACACTCTTGACATCCCTGATGACAGTATTACCAGGTTACCAGTTAATGGTATGATGACTGTGATTAGTGTCATGCTTTAATGTTTTTATTTGAAACCCCATCATATATATCTATATATATATGCCCAGCTCTCTAGCGTAGTTGGCTAAACCGGTGACCGGGTGACGAACTCCTTGTGGTCCGGGTTCAATCCTGGGGGTAGGCAGGAAAGCCACATTTTCTCCCAGATTTACGGTATTTTATGGAATCAAGGCCGAAGGGTTGCGATATCCATAATACCGAGCCTAAGGGTTAACAACTCATATCTTCTGGATACTAAAACAAATAATCTATATTATATATATCTAAGTGATGGACAGAGGAAATTATAGTCCCTGGGAATCAAATTTTACGAAGCACACAAATGGGCTGTTTCCTATAAATTATACCTCGCCTCAACACCAAGTACCAGAGGATCCAGATGAGATGAGATATATTTATATCATTTTCAAAGAAAATTGTAGACAAATCTAACTTATAAAAGATTTTGACTGCTCAGATGTTTCTATAATCCCTGAAAACTATGAATGTTCTATTTTTCAGTTTGGTCAATGGAATGACATCGACTGCTCAGATGTTTCTATAATCCCTGAAAACTATGAATGTTCTATTTTTCAGTTTGGTCAATGGAATGACAATGACTGCTCAGATGTTTCTATAATCCCTGAAAACTATGAATGTTCAATTTTTCAGTTTGGTCAATGGAATGACGTTGACTGCTCAGATGTTTCTATAATCCCTGATAACTATGAATGTTCAATTTTTCAGTTTGGTCAATGGAATGACGTTGACTGCTCAGATGTTTCTATAATCCCTAAAAAACTATGAATGTTCAATTTTTCAGTTTGGTCAGTGGAATGACATTGACTGCTCAGATGTTTCTATAATCCCTAAAAAACTATGAATGTTCAATTTTTCAGTTTGGTCAATGGAATGACGTTGACTGCTAAGATGTTTCTATAATCCCTAAAAAACTATGAATGTTCAATTTTTCAGTTTGGTCAGTGGAATGACATTGACTGCTCAGATGTTTCTATAATCCCTAAAAAACTATGAATGTTCAATTTTTCAGTTTGGTCAGTGGAATGACATTGACTGCTCAGACGTCTACCCATTATTTATTTGTAAGAAGAGCAAGAGCATCATCCCCAAGACTGAATCAGATATGGAGCAAGGATGCACAAATGTACGTGAGCATTCTTCTTCTTCTTCTGCCTTTCTAACTCCCAGTGGATCATAGGCTCACGCCAAGTCGTTTTATCCTTCGCTATCCCATACAACTTTCCCCATGTCCTTCCCATATTTTTAACTTCACTCTCTCGCTCCTTTCTCCTTGGTTTTTTTGGGGGGGGGGGGGGGGGGGGTCTTCCTTTATTTCTTTGCCCCTGTGGATTCCAGTGCATAGACATTCTAGTTATTTTGTTCTCAGGTTTTTTTTATGTGTGTCCTGTCCAAAGTCAGCATCTTTTCCCTCACCTCTTGGTCCATTGGCACTTGTTTAGTTCTCTCCCAAAGCTTTACATTAGGGATTCTGTCATACGTGAGGATTATCCTTCACAGTTGTTTGTGTTAACTTGTGTTCTATAAGTGTCCTGTCCAAAGTCAGCATCTTTTCCCTCACCTCTTGGTCCACTGGCACTTGTTTAGTTCTCTCCCAAAGCTCTACACTAGGGATTCTATCATACGTGAGGATTATCCTTCACAGTTGTTTGTGTTAACTTGTGTTCTATAAGTGTCCTGTCCAAAGTCAGCATCTTTTCCCTCACCTCTTGGTCCACTGGCACTTGTTTAGTTCTCTCCCAAAGCTCTACACTAGGGATTCTGTCATACGTGAGGATTATCCTTCACAGTTGTTTGTGTTAACTTGTGTTCTATAAGTATCCTTGTGAACTATTCTCAGCTAGTTAATGCTGGAATATATAACATTTGTTACAGTTGTAGATGGTGACTTGAAGGTTGGGTCAGCATGGAAACACAGGGTCAGTGTTGAAAGTCTGCCTTGATGGGGATTTAAGCTAATGACTTGAGCTAGGCATGCATTAGGCAGGCATCTGAGTTTCAGTATCTGGGAACAACATTTATTTATGATAGGAAATTGGATGAAGGAATTAAAGTCTGATGCAATAAAGTGAACTAAGCATTTGGACAACTAGCCGCCTTCTTATGACATAAGACAATCTCAATCAGCACAGAGAAAAGTCTTATACAAAGCATATACATTCCCACCCTATGCTACCAGTGCCAGACATGGTCACTCACAACAAACCAGAAAAGAAATTAACCATGGAAATGAGATATTTGAGAGGGAATGTAGGAGTGATCAGAAGAGACGAAATGAGGAATGAGGCTGTAAGAGAGAAAAAAAAAATAGGTACGAAATAAATAAATGGTTTGCCCACTGGAGAGAATGCCTTGTGACGCCAAACCATTTAAGGCAGGACTATTCTGCTAAGTTTTCTCAAAGGCCATAATCCTGAATATGAAGATCGTTATGGGCCAGAGTCCCAAGTCTTAGCATAGAAAGGTCATATATATTATACACCTGGCAATGATCCGCAGACCATTTGCTAGGTCTCGACAACTCCAGATTTGGCCAGCCTCCAGATTTGGCCTGCCTCCAGATTTGGCCTGCCTCCAGATTTGGCCAGCAGGCTGCCAGTTGAATAGCCTTGATATAAGGCATACACAAAAAAGAAGAAGGGCACAGGGCAAGAGGTAAACCAAGAACAATGTGGAAAGATAACCTCAGAGAAACTTTGTATGATGCTTCTGGGGTTGAGGTGACCAGAAGAGCAAAAAGCAGAACCTTATATCTCCCTCAACCAAAGCGGTCAAAGAGAAAGTGAAGAAGAAAAATAAGTCTCCTAGGCTGGTTGGCTAGTATACTCACTGCTGAGACTCCTATTGATTGAGAAGATCAGTTTCTGTCATCTGCAGTAATTTATTCATTAAAAAAAAATTGAAAGGTCACTTGGTGAAAAAAAGAAGGAGTTCTTTCATAAGTATTTGTAATAATACTCTAGCTATCTAGATAAGATGTTAAATAAAATTTGGACTCTAGCGCAGTATGGCAAATAAGTGGGCTGACTGTTTGTCTTGGCAAGATTTTTGCTTTGAGTCATGGTTAGCTGTTGCATTTTTCCAAATGTTTACTGAAACTATTTAGTTCTATCACCCAGCGACTGAGCTGAGTGCATGTTGCGACACTGTGAGCTACTGGGGGGGGGGGGGAGAGAGAAGATTTGGTTCATAATTATTTGTAATAATACACTTTATAACATATCAAACAGTTCAGGTATGTGTCAACACTACCACCAGATAGTGGACCACAGAGAGCCCTGTCACTTTGACATAACTGAAGCAGAGCTAGAGGTTGATTTCACAAGTGATAGATAGATGGAATACCTGAGGCTTTAAATACCAGCATCTAAATAGCACATATGAAGACTCACACCTAGTGCTTTTTCAAAACCTGACACTAAAAGACTAGAGGAGAAGAAGAATATACTGTTTGAACAAAGAAGATACAAACAATAGATTGCACAAATTTATTTTGCTGTATCTTGTCAGGTGCATACTACAGTAACTAAAAAGTCTTCTTTGTTCAAATTTACAACGGGGAAACATTGCTTTAATTTTCAGAATATACTGTATTCAAAAGTTAACCCCCCAAAAAAATTTCAATTGATGGACCCTTCTCACAAGCTCCAACCAAAACTTATGGTTGTTCGTTCACCTCCGGACTTTAGTTCTGTTCTGGAACCTGAGTGTTACGTGAATATCCGTTTTTGTTACAAATAAGTGCATCGTTATAATTTCCTGAAACTCTACCCTAAGAATCTAGAGGAATAGAAGAAAAAGAAGTTTAGAGTCTTGATCAGTTTTTATAAAAACCCAGAGGGTTGAAACGCATGACCACTGGGCAAACAGGCAAACATCCTAGTTTTTAATATTGTTGCAGCCTCCAAGTCACTAAAAAATAGATTTTATTATTTAATCATTATTTTGCAGAAAAGTTATTCTTATTTTTAATTAATAGGGGAACTAATCACCAAATACAAATGAACAAATAAATAACTTCTTTCCCTCCCTTCGACCAAGAAAGCAGGGGTTTTGTTGATACAGCCATGGAGAGCAAAATGACGTTAGCATAAGTTTATAATGACATCACAATGAAAAATAAAAAAAGTGATTTGTTTTTTCCCCACCAAAATATCTGAACAAAATTGTTTTGGTTAATATAATCATGCCCTCCATGTCTACAGACTTTGCAGTTACAACGGGTACCAAAGCTGTTAAGATTTGTGTCCACTGCCAGAAAGACGTCCTGTCATGAATATCCCATTAAAAAAAGAAAGCTGGCTTTCTTGGGGCAACAGGATTAAACCAGGATCTGGTCTTGCTAGCCACCCTCACCGTTGCCATTCTCAGTGACTCCCAATTCCTTCCTTTAGCACAGTGTAATTGGAAGATAAGGATGGGCTAACTGAATATTTCTCCATAATTAGCTAACATAATTTGTTTTCCATAATTGGCTAACCAAATTTGTTCTCTATAATTAGCTAACTGTATTTATTCTCTTTAATTGGCTGACTATATTTGTTCTCCATAATTGGCTAACTGAATGTGTTCTCCATAATTGGCTAACTGAATGTGTTCTCCATAATTGGCTAACTGAATGTGTTCTCCATAATTGGCTAACTGAATTTGTTCTCCATAATTGGCTAACTGAATGTGTTCTCCATAATTGGCTAACTGAATGTGTTCTCCATAATTGGCTAACTGAATTTGTTCTCCATAATTGGCTAACTGAATGTGTTCTCCATAATTGGCTAACTGAATGTGTTCTCCATAATTGGCTAACTGAATGTGTTCTCCATAATTGACTAACTGAATGTGTTCTCCATAATTGGCTAACTGAATTTGTTCTCCATAATTGGCTAACTGAATGTGTTCTCCATAATTGGCTAACTGAATGTGTTCTCCATAATTGGCTAACTGAATTTGTTCTCCATAATTGGCTAACTGAATGTGTTCTCCATAATTGGCTAACTGAATGTGTTCTCCATAATTGGCTAACTGAATGTGTTCTCCATAATTGGCTAACTGAATGTGTTCTCCGTAATTGGCTAACTGAATGTGTTCTCCATAATTGGCTAACTGAATGTGTTCTCCATAATTGGCTAACTGAATTTGTTCTCCATAATTAATTTTGCGGCGTCCACAGCATAGGCGCTGCAAGTCCGACTCATAATTCCAACATACAGCAATCGAAATCCACTGCTGTGGATTTTTATCATGGTATGGGGCGTCGCAGGTCGACCCTGCCTAAAATGGGTACCATGATGGCTGTCATGAGGAAATAAAGACGGCCGGCATAATGCTGACCACATTACCCACCTAGTGCCAATGTTCTCTACAAATATGAGTGCTCTTCCCATATACCTGATACGTCTTAGGGCGTAATGGTGGATCTTTACTTTACTTTACTTACTTTTACTTTACTTACTATTATTAATTTCAGGGTTCTCTTGGCTATGGAGCGCAGTGTTACAGTTTCATCACTCCTCCAAAGAATTTTTACGACGCTCAAAAGGACTGTAGAGCTAGATCTCAAAATCTTGGAAATCTGGCCACAGTTGACAGTGGGTAAGCAGCGTAGACTTTAATCATATTTTCATTCAATTATTCGTGAGTTTTCCTCTGTTGCTTTGAGGTATAGAGGTGTCTGACAGTCTTGCTGGTATATAGTACTTTTTCATAAAAATTATAATAACAATAATACTGGATGTGCTAAATATATATACCATTTAAAAAAGTGCTTAGCTACTGAAAGAAACACAGTTTTATCATAATTTTTACATTCAAAATCATTTTTATTTAATGAGTGAAATCTTTTTTAATAGCACACAAGAACACCTTAGGGTGTAGCCAGTTATTTTTATTTTTTAGTACCCAGAAGCCATGAGTTGTTAACCCTTAGGCTCGGTATTATAAATATCGCAACCCTTCGGCCTTGATTCCATGATAAATACTGTAAATCTGGGAGAAATGTGGCTTTTCTGCCTACCCCCGGGCGTGAACCCGGACCACAAGGAGTTTATCACCCGGTCACCGGTTTAGCCAACTATGCTAGCGAGCCGTGCTTGGGTTTAGCCAGTCAATTGACAATTCTTTTGCATTTGGGCCTTTGTTATTATTATTATTATTTTTTTTTCATTTAGATGTACAGGCTTTTCCATCGACTAATAAAAATGTGCTATCAGATAACTATGCGTTTTTTAAAATTTCAATATATTCATACATTTCAGCCACTTGCAGTCCTTCTTGGCAGCTGAGTTATTTACATTGCCAGGAATTTCCTACTGGATTGGTTTACAACAGAGCGGCACAGCTTACAATTGGCAGTCAAACTGGCCTGTTTCATTTACCTTCTGGGGATCAAATCATACAGGTAAGGATTTTGGGGATTTAACAAACTTGATGCCTCATAAATGTCACATAAATTTTATGTTTCAAAATGTTTTTAAAAGTTTTTTATACATGTGTCATAAAATTGATGTTTGATTTCTTGCATTGTTGGTTGTTATTAGTTGATTGTGAAACTGGTCATTGTCAGCCGACCTTAATCCAAGTTTTTTTTTTCTGCTTCTCCTTCTCTTCTTCTTCTTCTTCTCCACCTCCACCTTCTTTATTCGTCCTTTATGGGGCAGTTTGTACATTGTGTTGTGGTTTACAGCTCTGACACAATGCATCCGAACTTCATCATCATCATCATCATGTACCTTGCCGACGCGTGGGCTGTCATGCCTCTCCACAACCCCCAGTGCATCCGATCTTAGCAGACCTTAATTAGCTGTCTTTCACAACAGGGGGCAGTGGTTCTATTCTTTCTTCCCCTAGAAATGGACGTCGTCCGTGGCTAAGGCGTTGCGAGTCTGACTCTTAATCCAACGTACCGCGATCGAAACCCACTGCGGGCTGCGTGAATTTTTATCGTGGTATTTGACGTCGCAGGTCGACCCAGCCTAAAATGGATACCAGGTTGGCTGTCCTGGGGAAGTAAAAACGGCCGGCGTAATGCTGACCACATTACCCACCGAGTGCCGATTAGTCTGTAAAAATATGGGTGCTCTTCCCATGTGCCCGATGCGCCTAAAAGCGTGAAAAGGCATCTTTACTTTACTTACTTTACTAGAAATGGACCTGGAACCTGACTGGAACATCCGCAAGTTTCAGGCATTTAATGATCAATTTGAAACCCATGAGGATCAAATATAGTGTCAGGCCTACACTTCTTGACCCAGCAACACTTTAAGGGTGATATGACCAGTGGACACTGACAACTTTACTGTTTACAAACGTTTCAGGTGAGATTAAGTTGATCATGGTTCGGGAAGTTAAGCGGGTCGACAAATGCTGGATGAAGTCGTATGTGTCGGCCGAAAGTCACAAATTTCACATCTTTGCTGTAAACACGCAGTTAAACACCGCCCGGATGAAGGAAAAAAAGAAGAATTTACCATGGACCAGTGTAACCATAGCAACATCCTACATCGTCCGGCATTTTAACCCGGATCATGAACTGAGTTGAGTTCAGAACCAAGATATCACAGCAATTGAGACATTCCTATAAGCGCTACATCCCCATCTTCAGCAGCCTGTGAAGAGTTCGTATTCTGATGGCATACGGTCTGATTTTATGTCCTTAAGAATTTGAGTCCATTGTTTATTTGAAGATCATCTTCACTGCACATTGGACATGACCATAATTGCTCCGATCTTATCCTGAGTATTTCTCCAAGTGTTTTTAGCCTAACAACTCCCATTTTTTTCTGGCTGATGTAAAGACGGGTGGCTTCCGCATGATTTCCTGTCTCCTGGCTCCAATTGGTACTCCCAAGGTTGGCAGTCTATTCACTGAAAAATTGTTTTTCATGAAACTGAAATCATCACTGCGTTTAGTCTCTCTTATGAAATTGATGATGTCTCACCTGTCCATAGATGGCCCATTCCTGATAGGATAGTCGCACTGCCAGTCAGGGTATCTGCTCTTTCAATCCCTTTCACGCCAGCATGCCCTGAGACAGAAAAGACAGTGATTTTGCGAAACGCATGCTATATCAGATGAGTCCATGAACCCAGGATTGTCATCATAATTTTAAACCACTTCTGCTATTGAGCATCATGGGGAGGAATAATTTGTGATCCACTGCATGCTGGTTGCCGCTGGTTGCCACTGGCTATTGTCATGCCAGTAAGGAGTAAAGTGTCTTTGATGTTGTCGATTCATAAATTTTGTGGCTGCCCTCATGCTCTTGTAGCTGATCTTCTGAGATGTAATGCCTGTGATGGTATTTGATCTTGCTGCATTCTAACAAGATGGCCAAACCACTTTATCTGCTATATTTCTTGATGAATCTAGTACAAGATGTTCCCATAATATGTCTGGCAGTATCATTATTCACTCTGTCTCGGATGGTTGAGGTTACAAGTTGGGCACACAGACCTATCTTACATTCGGCCCTTTCAAGCACTTATCCTTCCAACCACAACTGCATGTTATCAGTAAAGCATGTTATGTCTGTATAAAAAATATAATAATGCATGCCCACAACATATGAACTCAAAAATACACGAGTACACATAATCTTAAATGCCCATACATACATACATATTGAGTGTCAGCAAGATCCCCTAATCTCTCCCCATTCCTTCCAGAAACATACAATTAAATTCTCTTCTCTGACCAGGCAATGAAAGAGGCACCTGCGTGGGCATGCAGCATTCCGGACTGTGGGCGGACTATCCCTGTAGCCAGACAAACATGTCCTACATCTGTGAATCCCCTCGTACCGGTTTCACCACGGCAACCACCAGGGCTCCAGTCACAAACCAAGGCCCATGTCCTGCAGGCTGGACAGGCTACGGCGCCTGGTGTTATCAAGTGAGTCGTAGTCTTCCAATGTTAATCTACTCAAACAAGCCATGGTTTCCTAGTAAACACTGGTGGATTGACAAATTAACGCATGACTGGTGGCAAAATGATCCCAAACAATAAATGTAACTCACTAGCATCTGCACACTCGCACAAATCTTCAACTCCGTATTCACATATAACATCTATCACCAAGTACTATAGGTCAACAGCTCAACCTTAAAACATTAAAGGTTTCTCCAACAAGTCAGTATGCAGCCCAATACTGATGATCACTCTGTCGTTACTTCATAATTATCCAGCAGTCCCACTGAGCTAGAGCATCTGTAATTTATAACCCTGCTTCATGCAGAAATGGCAGTAATAGGGTAAATCTTCCCTTAGGATGAGCCACACTAGGACATCAACGTCCGCCTCCTTGGACTTCTCGACTCCGAATCCTCAAGATTCAGTCACCTAACAACAATACGTAACACTTATGACGTCTTATTTTTCTAGTCAGTATTGGTGTATGTTATTGCATAATCTGCATGTGATTGGGGGAGGGGGATTATCTGAAAAATGGAAAGTATGGGAGCTTGACTTCTCTTTTTCTAGGTGACCTGAGTGAAAGGCTTTAGGTAAAGTAACATCTGTCTATTGATAAACTACAGAAATAAACTGGTGCCTGTGTAGAATAGAGGGAAAAACTTTTTGACAGAATCACTAATGTGAAGCTTTGAGAGAGAACTAAACATGTTCTGGTGAGTCAAGAGATGAACAGAAGATGCTGGCATTGGATATGACAAATGTTGAGAGAACCTGTTGGGCTTGTTTGGTCAGGTGCTGTGTAAAAATGTTTGAGTTTGATAATTTGATCAGTAGCTTATTTGCATTTGGCAAATTTGGTCAATTTCTCTCCAAATATGCTTGAATTTTTCCTTTTGCCTACTCTATCACCCGAGAACAATGAAACTGTAATGTTTTTACACTGAAACCCAAAGGGCGACCGGGTCACCCATTTGCTGGCCAGTAGATGACTTCATCATCTCCCAAGACAGTAATTGAGTCTGTCTGCCTTGATCGTATCAACATTGCAAGAGTCCTTTTCAGTGCTACTTGGTGGCAAGCAGTGTGAAGCCATTTTAAATGCCGCAAGTAACCTAAGTCACAATTATAACCAAAAGCTTCTTCCTTCGGAGATGCTGGTTGAACATTGCAGTTTTGTTTTTCTATAGAAATGCACGGACAGACACCGTAACCCACAGGAAAATTAAGGCAAAGAAAAACAACAAGTGAAGAAGGGAAACAACAGAATCAAGTTATAAGGATTGGGAGGACATGGGAGGTGAGATGCATGCAATAGCAAAAGATAGGACGACTTGGTGTGAGTTGGTTAAGGGCCTATGCTCCAGTGGGGGATAACAGGCAGAAGAAGAAGAAGAACATCTGACTGATGCTTCCCCGTGTGGGTTCCGGGGCCCCATTGTGAGGAAAATAAGAATAAACCCACTGCCTACCCGGAAGCATATCATGAGAGTCGACTAATTTGGACTAATTTAGTACAACTGCCTAACAGGCAGGGAACCAATATTCTGTATGTAAATAAGTAGGACTAGTGAAACAGGTATGCATGCAACACTCAGGTTCTGGAACAAAACTATCGCCCCAAAGTGGACGAACAGCCTGAACTTTCTGCTAAAGTTTACAGCCGGTGAAGGCGAAGAGGGAGAAGACCTGTGCTGAAAGAGTTAATGAGTCAGGTAAACAGGGACTGTGACAAGGAAGCGTAAATGGGAGTGGGGGAAATGGGAGAGGAATATGATGTCTATCAAAAGAACCTAATTTTTTGACCAGACTTTATCAACTGGGCTTGGGATTCTATTTCTTGTTGTTTTTAGTTGTTGATAAAGTCTTTTGGTTATATTTCTGAGTTGCACTGATCTGTTTCCTCCATCAAGCCCTGATATGGACAACGGAAGGGAAAAGAAAATGGGAGGAAGACCAAGACAGACCCTGCGTAGACCATCGTGACCGTTCAAAACATACAAGGTGGCAGCGAACCACCAGACATGGAGAACTACGACCTCTGCTCTAAGCGCCACCCTAGGCTCAAGAGGAAAGACCAACTGATCTTTTTATTGGTTGGCACTTTTCCGTCTTTCCAGACAACAGTAAAGTACTGTTCTGTAGGGAGGCATGGGACTTACAGCCCTAGGTGATGGCTAGTGTGACTAGCAAGGCCCGCTTGCATTTAAAAAAAAGTCCTCTACAGTTAGGGCAAGGGATTTCAGGACCACTTTTGCCATCACATGTATTTATTGTGCTTCTTCTCTGACACTCAGCTCTTAACCTGTCTGCAACCATTGTCTCCTTAATTCATATTGCCTTCCTGATTTCTCCTTCTGTGCAGCCTTGTCTGTGGCATCCTGTTCTCACAAAACTACCTCAGTACCCGTATCATTCATGATCTGTTTACAACTTCCAGGCATTTAGATTGCCACTCCCACAAAACTAACTCAGTACCTGTATCATTCATGATCTGTTTACACCTTCCAGGCATTCATTGGTAATATAACCAGCCAGCTGAGCTGGTTAGAAGCCAGACAATTCTGTGCCAATCAAGCCCCAGGAGGAGCTCTAGTCACAGTTGACAGTAATGCCACACAGACCTGGTTGATGAGTAGCCTTCTGTCGTGAGTTGATCATCTGTGCAAGTTTCTTTCCCTTTAGGTCTCATTTTGTTTTTAAGAGTTTATAAAAAAAAACAATGAATAGACCCACTTGCCATCCTGGTAAGAATGTTGTGAAAGGTGATCAAGTCACATTTGACTGAAATTGGGTGTGTTGGGCTAAAAGGCAGCTTAGCTGTGAACCACAACACAATGGGCCAACTGCTCTTTTAAAGGTGACTGCAGAAGAAGAGGTATTAGGTACTTCAGTCAAATCTATACTAATAAAAATGTTAATTTTCCGGTGTTCTCATTTCTTAACTATTTCTATTTTGATAATTTCGCCATGAATGATTTTTCAGTCCTTCGGAGAGGGAGATATGACTTCGCCAGGATTTTTCAATCTTTGGGAGAGGGAGATATGATTGGGGGAGCGGTTTGGGGGGGGGGGGGGGGGGGGGGGGGGGGGTGGGTTATGCCAGACACCGTCAGCTGAGAGAGCTTAAAATATTATTTTAATGTTCTCATTTCTTAACTATTTCTATTTTAATAATTTCGCCAGGTGATGATTTTTCAATCCTACAGAGAGGGAACTGTGATTGGTGGAAAGGGGGAGGGGGAAGGGGGTTATGCCTAACACAGTTAGTTGAGAGAGCTTAAAATATTATATTACAGTTTTTATTTCTTAACTATTTCTATTTTAATAATTTCGCCATGGATGATTTTTCAATCCTTCGGAGAGGGAAATATGACTGCATCGAGGGGAGAGGAAGGGGTATGACAGACACTGTTGGCTGAGAGCAGTTTTCTTTCCTCTCCATTTCACCATTCTGGGCCACAGCAACGCGTGGCCGCTAAAGCTAGTTTTCAATAATGTAGTTAACATAGTTAAATTTCATCTTGAAAAAGAAATCTGACGGTGCTTCGTTTAAGCCTCTGTGTCAATCCTAAGCCAAGATAATAATTGTGAAGCTAAATTACATGAATAATCAAACTTAGGGGCAAATAATCTTTCAGCACTTTCAGAAAATGCATTGTAACTGTTTTGTTTCCTCTAAATATACCTCAACAACGATATACGATATATATGATTATGTTCTTGACAACAAGACCTAATGGAATACTTTTTACAGAATAAAAAGTTATTTATGAAATATTTTAATACATTTACAGCATACATATTGAACTACAATCAATCATTTCTGTACAGCTTGCAACACCATCTGCCATATTCAGCAATTTAGTCTTTTTTATTGACTATTGCCGCACGGCACAATGAGAGTTGCGAATTGGGGTTTAAGACATTTTTCAATAACTTGAGCAGTTAAAAAATTGATTTATCTGACCTGATAAACTATAAGATATGAATTAACTGGTGCCTGTGCAGAATAGAGGGAATTAAATAGTATTAAAGAATCACTAATGTAGAACTTTGGGAGAGAACTAAACAAGTTCCAGTGGTCCAAGAGGTGAAGAAAAGAACGTTGGATAGGACACATGTTAAGAAAATCTGGCAACAATAAATATGACTGCTGTTGTTGTTTGTCCATCACAAGTGATGATGACTAGTCCTTTCATCCAATGGTGACTGGATTAGGTTTTGTGAGTGCGCAGATGGCTGATAAGGCCAATTCTAGCACTAGAAACTGCAGTTCTAGCAGCTTAATGGACCACAGCTCCTTGATTAAGAAAGAAGCCCCAGGATGAGCGGTCACATGCAGCGACTTCCCAAGTTTTAGGATCAATACAGAAGTATTTCAGTGAGGTCTTGAGGTTGTCCTTGGAACATTTCTTTTGTCCACCTTGAGAGCGTTTTTCTTTTAGTAGCTCACCAAAGAAAATTCTTGTTGGCGTCGGTGGTCAGGCATGCAGACTATGTGACCTGCCCAGCAAAGTTGTGATTGTTTTAGAATCAGGTAAATACTGTACAGTCCAGCTTTGTCAAGGACTTCAGTGTCAGGGATCCTGTCTTGCCATTTTATGTTCGGCAACTTTCTGAGGCATGCTGTGTGTAAATGGTACAGCTTCTTAGCATGGCGCTGGTAAATGGTCCATGTTTCACATGCATAGAGGGGTACAGGAAGTACGACAGCTTTGTACACTTTGAGCTTTGTCTGCAGGCTGATGCCAGCTCTATTCCAGACTTTTGTACAAAGTCTACCAAATGCGCTGCTGGCTTTGGATATCCTTGATTTGATCTCTAGATTGATGTTAACTTTCTGAGTAAGCTGCCTAGATATGTATTTGTATCTTCTATTTCTGATCTTGTTTTGTATTCTTTCAGGCCTACAAATGTTACAACTCACTTCTGGATTGGACTCAATGACAGAGACATAGAAGCAGGTTTGTGTTTCAGTGTTTGTACAAACAGTACCTTTCATTCATATCTGAGTTGAATGGGATGAATCCAAAAAAGGTGAAGAAATGAGAGAAATATATATACTTGTATCATCATTTATAAGACTAGATAGGTGGCGCTATATTGGGCACATACTGGTATTTCCAAACTGGCACTGAAATGGGATATGAACAGATGGATTAAGGAAACAAGGATGTCTCTAAAACGGACATTGTTGAATTAAGAATCGACATCACTGCACCCAGGACACTCCCAAAAGCACTTTGTCCCCATCTTCAGCAGCAATCGAAGAGTGCCAATTTTGATGGTACCAGTAACTGTCTGATGTACAAGGTCCGACAATTAAGTGAGACTGATTTTATTATGGCAAAAAAGAAATACCTTCTATGAAGCAAAGCATTAAATCTAAAGGGGCAAAATTCATCTATATCTGGCAACATTTCATCGCCGCTCGATAAGCAGACAACAAACAGGATGCCATTTTGTTGACCTAGTCAAAGGTGCATTGTTACGTAATCAGTACGAAGTAAAAAGCTAACATTAAATTCTTTTTAAAACTCAGTAAAAGCACCATTGAAACAGTCGGATTGATGCAACAAGTTTATCGGGATAATAGTTTATCTCGTGCAAACATTTTCAGGTGGTATTCACGATTCAAAAGTGGTGTGAAAATTATTACTAATGCACCAAGACCTTCACGCCACATTTATGTTTGTAATGATGAACTCATTGCAAAAGTCAGAGAACGAATACAAGAAGATCATTTTTTTACTGTGAAGATGATGGCAGATGAATCTGGTGTTAATAGAGAGACCATTCATTACATTTCAGTGCAAGATTTTGGCAACAAAAGAGTTGCTTGCCGGTTTGTACCACATTTGTTGTCTGATGACCAAAAAACATCAGTGGGTTGAGTACACAAGAGACATCATCAAAACAAGAATTTTTGGCTCAAAAACAAGTGTGTGTTCTCAGCCTTCTACCCTATTCCCCAGATTTGTCTCCCTGTGATTATTTTGTATTTCCAAAATTACAATTATGATTGAAAGGACGCTTCTTTAACGATATTGATGACATTCAAAGGGCCGTATCATCGACTTTTAGGGCCATAACAACAGAAGAACTACAGAGGTCGTTCCTGGGTTTGTTAGATCCTGCCACTTGTTGTATCAATGCACAAGGGGCTTATTTTGAATAAAATACAGGTTATATCTTCAACTGTTGATTATTTTAATTTTTATGGAATTAGTCTCATTACTTAATTGTTGGACCTTGTATATCCGTCTCATCTTTCCCTTGAGTGTTGAACATCGGCCAGATCCCATGTTAACTCCTGACAGTGCCATTCTCCTCAGACCCTAATGATCTTTTTGTCTGTCTGCACTGTTCACTTGCTCCCAAAGGGCCCTCACAACATCTAGTTTGTCATACATCAGTAGAACTGACCAGTCTAGTTGCCGTGCTTGTTTCCCAATACACAGGCATGACCTGGAGAAAATATCCAATCTACACTAACTACCTGGAACGTCTGAAGCAGTGCTTGCTATTCAGCACAGTGCATGCCTGTCTCCACCTTTCTCAGTGAGTCAGTTGCCATAACGGCGTGTGTATACAGCTGATTCTCAAGCCAGTAGAAGGCAAAAATGACTGCCTCCACCTCCATTCTCAAACTAGACGTGTTGTGATATCATATGCCAGGTTTTGTTGCACTGAGCAATGTGCATTCGCTTTTTCTATGAACTCCCATGCACTTTGTCCACCTCTCAACACAGAGTCATCTGTATAGATAATCACATCACCCGGGCAGGAATTGTCCTGAATTATTTGTTGAACTTGGATTCTGCAGCACCAGCTGGCAGGTCCTTGCACTCACACCATAGAGGAGTTAGAACCCTACACAGATCTGTTTTGGCCCAGTCCTCACGTCGCACAAATTTATCAAGCCTGCACACAGGTTTAATTGTGTCTTCAGCCTGCGCCGTCCAAGACCTTTCTGTCTTCAGTCTGTGACCTTTAGCTAAACATTGAACAGAGAAGCCAAAAGTGCTGGACTTGGATTCCATTGATGATATTGAAAGGATTTCACAGGACATAACTGCAAGTGTAGCACTGATCAGTCGATGAGGTGCCATCTCTACATTGAAAGTTGGCTGCAAAGGATCTCCATCATGCCGTATCTCTTGTTTCGGTTGTACACTTTCTCAGACTGCTGTTTGTCCATCTCTTGATGTTGTCCTTCCACTTGTATTGGTGTCTACCTCTGGAACTTTTGCCTTTGGCATTTTCCCCAGTATGATTTATTAAAAGTGTATTCATCATCATCATCATGTGCCGTGCCGGTAAACATAGGCTGTCATGTTTTGCCTTCTCGCACGATCACCTGAATCCCGGATCAGTTCAGTGTTTTTCTCTCGCCCCATCCATTTGGTCACGCCATCCCAGTATTTATCTCTTTGCCTACCTCTCACTCTCCTGCCATCAATCTTACCAGTTGTCACGAAGTTCTCAGATTGATTCCTTTCTCATCACATGCCCCAAAAAATGTTGGCTGACTACGTAATACATCTTAGTTAATAAGTAAATCAACCGCCAAGAGAAACACTGGTGCAAGTCAAACTTAAGAGGTCGTTGAGTGAATAACAAAAGACAGTGAAGTTCATACTAGAGACAACACTGCAGACATAGATAATCTGTTTCGGGCGAACGAAAGAAGCAGTTAATCAACCTATCATCCTATTCGCACATCAGACAAGGGCATAAGTGTTCAGATCCCATCTTCAGTATCTCTAACAGCATGTGATGACAGATAAAACCAGTTTTGTGTTGGTTTACTATTCTTCTTTGGCTACCTATGTGGTGTTTATGCCTGGTCACAGCTCTTTTGACAAGAAGTTCTTGTAGTCTTGCAGGGTTGCCAGATCCCTGGGATCATGTACTCATCCTCCGTACATGACAAGGCAGATGTGGTCAAGGCCCTTTGGGAACAAGCAACGGAATTAGTAGAGAAACAAGATTATTATGGCCTGGAGAGAATGGAGCACCTGGTTGTAACCAGAGGGTCTGGCTGTCTCAGTACAATCAGGGGAAAGGCAAGACAGACATATAACCAGATTGTGACAAGTACCATCAGTATTGGAACTCTGCGCTGGCTGCTGAAGATGAGGGTGGAGCATGCATGAGAATGCCCTGAGTGCTGTGATGTTAATTCTTGACTCAACTCAACTCTCACTTATCCTGCCTCCTTGAGAGCATTGAGAACAGCAGTTTTAATAAGTAGCTTGTCAGTTTTTGCAATACCATAACTTTCAGTGCATCCAATATTTTACATTTGAGCAGTTTTTGCTTCTCCACAGTAAACTTTATTGTTCTGTTTTGTGTATTTTGTAGGTTACATCTGGGATGACAATTCGCCATATGTGTTTGCCAACTGGTTTCGTGGGGAGCCTAATGATCAAATGAACAGGTGGGTGCTATATCTGTCTCTGATGGATTGACAGACATTCTGTGAGTAAATGCCTTTTAACTCCTTCTGCCCAGAACCTTTGGGAGAAGATATCCTACAAACAGGAATTCTATTTTTAAAAAGCACACTTTTAAAACAAACATTTTACATAGGTCACTGAAAAATTATTTTTTTAATTTGCAAATTACATTTAAATTGTAAATGTGTGTGTGTATATATATATATATATATATATATATATATATATATATATATATATATATATATATATATATATATATATATATATATATATATACACGCACGCACACGCACACAATTATGAAGGTGAGTAATAAAAATATATGAAAATATGGCATGGTTAGTTACGTATCCTTTACAGGACGTTGCAGAACCAACCCCAAAAGCCCCTGGTTGTTGTGTGGTTTTCTAGGCAAATTTACGTTCAGTAGTTTGCCATTGCTTTCTGGACGGTCTGCTTTCTTGATACCACTGTCGAAACTAGCACAAGGCGCATGGCTCGCAGCTGGGATTGAACCCGGCATTACGAAGCGTTACACATCGACTTAGCCACAGAGCCGACAAATATGACATGAGTGGAGAATTAAATGGATTACAGTACCCTATGACTAAAAACATTAATTTTTTTTTTAAAACACTGACTCATACTTGACCATTATTACTGTATGACTACTAAGTAAAGTTAAATTATGATGTCTTGACTTTAGAAAAAGCATTTCCCCCGCTAATTTTTTAATAAGTGTTATTGCACCTGGGGCCTTTTAAACACTGTGCAGGCTCAAACAGAACCAGTGCCATTAACTATCTTATTGGAAAAAAGTCATTGCAGCAATGCCTATTTATCTTCATTTACAAGGATTTGAAATAGCAAAACCATATCTATGGTATAGTGAGGCCAAGGGGTTAAACTGATCTTTGAAGCTGAAGTATTGTACAGAGTCAGCTAGCAGCTATCTTCCGAATAATGGTCCCAAATTATCGAGGCCGAAAATATACCCTAACAGGGCCTCAGTCACATGTCAATTGCAGACTTCCGGCGACTTAAATTGCGCACTTCCGGCGACTACCGCCACCGCCGAGAGTATCTCCCATGCCTCTACGCGCGGCGTGGATTGGGGCTAAACTAGATGGCTGGAACTCATGAGCAGCAGCTACCGCATCTCCTGCAGCTTCCTTTATTTTATTTGCTCGTGAGTCCCAGCCATCTAGTTTAACCCTAATCCACGCCGCGCATAGCGGCATGGGAGATACTCTCGGCAGTGGCAGAAGTCCCCAATTGACACGTGACTGAGGCCCTGTTAGGGTATATTTTCGGCCTCGATAATTTGGAACCATTATTGGGAAGATATCCCAGCTAGCTATATGGTTACCATATTTATTTATCTGATATTGTCTTGTTGCTTTCTGTCTTCTAGAGAGGACTGCGTTGAGTGGGTTCTTCCGAGAAATTCCTGGAATGACCAATACTGCTATACATCCAAAAACTGGATCTGCCAGGTGCCCAGAGGTAGAATGTTTGTTATTCTTCTTCTTCTTTCGTTCGCCTGAAAAAAGTTATCTATATCAGCAGTTTTGTCTCTTGTATAAATTTCACTGTCGTTGTTAGTTCATTCAGTGGTCCATAGAGTTTACGTTCCACTGTTGTTCTTTCTGGCCAAAAGGTTTGCCTTAATGTGTCAAAATCGGTGCAGTCCTGGAGTACATGCTCTGCGGTCTGGGGCACATTTCCACAGGTGCACATGGATGTTTGTTATTATTATTTGTTATTTCTGTTGCTCTCTAAGACTGCGTTCTAAAAATGTTAACACCTGTTGATTCTTTCTTCTTCTTTGCTGTTAAAGGGGTAAGCTCCAGTTAAATGTTCTGGTTGTTCATCCACTTCTGAATTTCAGAACTTGAGTTTTGCATGCACATCCGCTTCACAGATCTGGCTTCTTTGTATGTAGACTATTGGCTCCTTGCCTCTCAGGCAGATGCACTCTTAACTTCTGTGAAGACACCCCTATGATGTGGTGGGCAATAAATCTATCAGCCCCCCCCCCCCCCCCCACCCCTTACAAGGGGCCTTGGAGCCCAGACAGAGAAGTTGCTGTGTGAAAGCTTGGTGTTTGCAAGCGATGAATATAAGATAATAATCTATATATAATAAAATTAGCTCATTGGATCCTTTCGTATAGTGTGTGTGTGTGTGTTTTTTTTAAAACATTTGACCACATCTTTTGACTTGAACTTCCTGCGGTGAAGTGTACAGTGTAATGAGAGATGTTGTGATTTGTTTGTTTCGGTAGAAAGTATTTATTTTTGTGATTCATTAAATGTTATATAAGTGTATTAATGCACCTGACGAGATACAGTGATATATACCAGGCAGTAAATTGCCCGGAGAGCAGTATTTGTTAGATACAGTGGTAACAGTGCCAGAGGTCGACCACGCAGAAGATGGACCTAAAAAATATTGGAGACACTGAAAAGTACTATATACAAAGCAAACAGTTCAAAGATCCCTTTCTGTCTTGATGCTGCGAGGCATTCCAGGAGTAGAGACAGGAAGAAGAAGAATAAATTGTGCAATGTATTGTTTGTGTCCACTTTATTTAAATTTTGTCATCTATATTTTATTTATTGTTTTCCTTTCCGCAGGATCAATTATCACTACTCCAGTAACAGTCCCAACACCCGTGGCCAGTGAGTTTGTTGTACGATCTGAGAACTAGTTAATTGTCGTCTTCTTTTTTCCTCTCTCCTTTTTTTGTCTCACTGTTTGAACTCTTTCTAGATTAGGCAAAGGTTAAAAACTGGGAGAACAGAATTAAAATTGCAAAATCATGTTCAACTTGTTCTCATGTAAAGGGTAGTCTTCTTTTACTCTTCTTCTTTGACATTCACCCTTAAAGGGCGGTTTATACACTGTGTTGTGGTTAACAGCTAGGCTGCAATATGTGAGCCTTTCAACCCAATACATCCAATTTCAGCAGACAATTACACACCTATTAGGACATGCTTTCAAACCCTTTCCCTCCTACAAACCACAAAACCAACGCTTCTGTTTGGGTATAATTCCCTGTAATTGCCCAAAATGAGTCCCTGGAGCCCACATGGGAGCTTCTGGGGATTGAATCTGGGACAGACCACTGTATCACTGTAGCAACTGTTTGTTGCTCCTCGTCCCACTCCATCTTTTCAGCATAAATCATGGGCAGTATTGTAGAGACCATGTGTTGCTTAGGCATCATGATCCCCTCTCGGCCTGCCTTGTTTACTGCAAAGGAAAGGTAACACCAGTACTTTTAAAAACTAAATATGCTGCAAAAGCTGTTTGATTAGAAGAACAGTGCTGTTTTTGGGCCACCTGTAGGAGTTTCCTTTCTAGAGCAGCTGCCAGCCAAGGTGAAGGAGCAACTGACCTCCCAACTGAGTGTTTACTCAACCAATCAATCATTAAATATATGATAATTAACCAACCGATCATTAAATATATGATAATTAACTAACCGATCATTAAATATATGATAATTAACCAACCGATCATTAAATATATGATAATTAACCAACCGATAATTAAATATATGATAATTAACCAACCGATCATTAAATATATGATAATTAACCAACCGATCATTAAATATATGATAATTAACCAACTGATCATTAAATATATGATAATTAACCAACTGATTATTAAATATATGATAATTAACCAACCGATCGTTAAATATATGATAATTAACCAACCGATCATTAAATATAGGAAAATTAACCAACCGATCATTAAATATATGATAATGAACAAACCAGTCATTGAGTATTATATATATATATAATACACAAACAAAGAATTTACTGATTGGCACTCATAGAAAGAAGTAGACAAATAGAAGGACACACTACACAACATAGAAATCGAAAGCTATAGTTAACGTCCCGGGAACCGAACCTGTCACCTCCAGTTGGCATGTGCGCATGGCCCTGGAAACAAATATACTAAGAACATGACCAACTAGACAGCCCTGAACAAAGGTGTCTTCATGGGCCATGTCTATCGTACAGCCTGAAATCCACAACTATGGAATACAGACAGAATTCATCTCAAACCATTGACATGGCACCATAGGTTACAGAAATTTATATTAACCAAGTGTAGGTCAAATACCAAACACAACAAAAATTACAAACATATCGGACCCTAACGCTTTGTCTAGAATACAACACACATTTAAGAAACAGATTTGATTGGTCGGTTCCATTGTATTACACGTAATTCACATAAATAAACAAAGGTGGAAACCTTGAGGCTGTAGAAATATTATATTTATAAATAAATATAAAGAAAACTAAGATCATGACAAACAGTCCAAACCAACAACCAGTGACCATAAGTAACCAATCACTTGAAGATGTAGAACATATCTTGGCAGTGTGGTGTCCCTACTGGGAGGGACAGAGGAAGACATACAGTCACGTCTGAACAAAGCTAGAGCTGCTTTTGGAACGATGAGGCAAATCTGGAAATCCAACAATTACTGCAGAGGAACGAAACTCCGACTCTACAAGAGCATCATTTTGCCAGTTCTTCTTTATGGAGCGGAATGCTGGAGAATGACCAAAAAGGATGCACACAAGCTGTCCTCCTTCCACCACACATGTCTCTGTAGAATTATCAAAATTTTCTGGCCAGATACAATCTCAAACACTAAACTACTTCAAGCCACAAACCAAGAAACTTTAGACTGTATGATTACCAAGAGAAGATGGAAATGGCTTGGCCACGTTATGAGAATGACTTCTGATATACCTGCCAAAACAGCTCTCACATGGACACCAGAGGGAAAGAGAAAACAGGGGCGCCCAAAAACAACATGGAGACGAACGATGGAAAGTGACCTGAGCGCTGCATCTTTGACATGGAAAACTGCATTGAAGATTGCACAGGACAGGAAAGCATGGAAAGTCCTCTCTGAAGCCTCATGTGCCACTAGGCATAACGAGAACTGATGATGGATGATGATGATGTACTGAGGGGGCTCATAGAAAGAAGTGAAAAGTATATGATGATCTGCCAACCAGTCATTAAATATATGATAATCAACCAACAAATCATTAAATATATGATAATCAACTATTCAACCATTAAATAGATAATAATCAACCAACAAACCATTAAATATATGATAATCAACTATCCAACCATTAAATAGATAATAATCAACCAACAAATCATTAAATATATGATAATCAACTATCCAACCATTAAATAGATAATAATCAACCAACAAATCATGAAGACTGTGATAATCAGCCAACCGTGTCAAGTAGTAGTAGTACATTTTATCCCACTAGGACATCACACAAGTGATAAACACCTGATGACAAAAAGTGCCACCATGTGGATGAGGGTCACCCGTGGAGAGGTCCCGGAAACCGCCACGTTCAGCCATTAGGTCATATTTATGGCTGGGCTATATTATGGCCCCTGGCAAGAGCCATTGTATGGCTTCAAAATAGCGAAAAATTGCACCCCACAAAGGGATGACTAGTTTTACTGCCCATGTCAAGAAAAGTCTTCCACAGTGAAAGCATGGGATTTCAGGACCATTGTTGTCAACATTTGTGTTTAATCCATTTCTTCTCAGACAATCAGCTCTGATCCTTTCTGCAATCATTTCTTCCTTCACTCTTATTCCTTTCCTGATATGCCCTTTCCATACAACATGGTTAATTATGGCCAGGGATGAAATTCATCCTTTCCAAAGCACAAAGCCTGGGCAGTATTGAAGGGACCATATGTTCCTTGTTAGTGGCGGTGATAAGTATGTCATCCATATAAGATCGGTAAAATACCAAACTATCTGTATCAATGGACATCTGTTCCTCCAAGTGTGCCTTAAAGATGTCAGCTAGAATAGGGCCTGGAGGGCTTCCCATGAACACGACATCAATCTGGCGGTAAGACCGTTTAAGAAAATGGAAGTTCATGTTAGATGTGGACGACAGTAAAAGTTCCTCGAGTTCTGAAATGGTTAAACCTTCTTGCAGCTTTTTGTTTTCTACACAGTCAGATGTAATTTTCACAGTTTCTTCCAAGGGATGTTTGTAAATAGTGATGCTACATCTATTGATGCCATGTACTTTTGATTTACATTCATTTTGTCTAGTAATTCTCCCAGTTCAAATGAATCTGTATATTTTTGGCTCAAATGATTGTTGTGCTGGTTTTAGCAACCTGGTGTGGCAACTCCTCCTGGGTGTATTACAAGTATCACTGCTACTTTGTTAGCCCTAGCGATGGACCCTCCTCTTCTGCAACGTGGTTTGATGCTCGAAGGACTTGCATGGCAATGAATTCTGACCTGGCCAGCATCGTTGAGGATGGCGAGAATGGATTGATTACATCCTTGGTAAGTGTGATGGCGAGAATGGATTGATTACATCCTTGGTAAGTGTGATGGCGAGAATGGATTGATTGCATCCTTGGTAAGTGTGATGGCCAGAATGGATTGATTACATCCTTGGTGAGTGTGATGGCCAGAATGGATTGATTACATCCTTGGTAAGGGTGATGGCGAGAATGGATTGATTACATCCTTGGTAAGTGTGATGGCGAGAATGGATTGATTACATCCTCGGTAAGTGTGATGGCGAGAATGGATTGATTACATCCTTGGTAAGTGTGATGGCGAGAATGGATTGATTACATCCTTGGTAAGTATGCATTAATTTAAAATATTTGTTGGCTCTTTTTAGAGTAACATTATGAGTTAAATGTTTAGAGATAAGGAAACATGACCTTGGTTAATGAGTTAATCTGATGTTGTCTCCACAGTAAAGGTTGGTTGCAAGGAATCTTTGCTTCCTGTCTGGTAGTGCACTCTCTTAAATTTGTGTTTGTCCATCTCTTGATGTTATCCTCCCACTTGTATAGTGGTCTTCATCTTGCTGCCTTGCCTTCAAATTTCTCCTCCGGTATGGTTTTTATAAGAATGTTACATATTTTATTGTTCCTAAAGTTTTTCAGTTGTCTGTGTTTGATTTCTTTCGGCAGCCATGTTTGTTCTTTCCCAGTGCCTCCAGAACCTCTGTTATTGACTGCTATTCTTCTTTGTTATTAACATGACAAGGCAGATGTGGTCAAGATCCTTTGGGAACAAGCAACAGAATCAGTAGAGAAAAACGAGATTATTATGGCCTGGAGAGAATGAGGCACCTGGGTGTAACCAGAGGGTCTGGTCGGCTCACTATGCTCAGAGGAAAGGCAAGACGGACATATAACCAGATTGTGACCGGTACCATAAGTATTGGAACTCTGCGCTAGCTGCTGAAGATGAGGGTGGAGAATGCATGAGAATGCCCTGAGTACTGTGATGTCAATTCTTGACTCAAATCAACTGTTAATAGTTTCTTTGGATACGTACGTTCTTTCTCTGTAAACCACAGTTACCATATTGTTTCCATTCATAAGACTGTTTTCCTACATTTTTTTAAGTTTAAAACTGGGAGTAGTCTTATATACACAGAATGTATTTAAAATATTTATTAATTTAGGGCTTATAAAGTAGGGGTCAACTTATACACGGTGGCAAATATACTAAGAAAATGTAGTACTTTAACATTATTTCTGGCATATATATTACCCTGTATCTCGTCTCGATGTGCATTACAACAGAGTTGAATCAACACATAATGAAGCACCAAATTAATCCTTTTCTTGCTGAAATGCATAAACCACATTGCCGAGTTGCTGCACATCTAGCTACCTGAAATTCAAAATCAGTCACATGATTACCATGGTAACTTCAAATATCATAGTAACTTCAGCAGGAAAATATATTTCATTTTGTGCTTCATCCTCAGTAGTAATACACCTGACAAGATACAGTGAAATGTGCCAGGCAATATATTGTGCAGTGTATTGTTTCTGTCCCCATTATTTAAATTTACAATAGGAAGACACAATTTATTTATTTATACATATAGGAATTCTCCATGTGTCACTATTACTTAAAATATCCATATTTTTTCTCTCCAAGAATCTGTAAAATGATACCAAACTCTGTATGTTTGAAACTCTGTTATGTTTGAAACTCTGCAGATCAGCAAAAACCCAGTATTCTCATTCTGGATTGGACTCAATGACCTAGACATGGATACATACGGGTTTGTACAATCGTTATTGACCCATATGTCATACAGAAAAACCATCGGTACATTTCATGAAAATCACCCCTTTTCATCAGGATTGAGATTTCCCACAGGATGTCCTATGTTCTAGGGGTGTTATGTTTTGTTATTTTCAACGCTATAAGCATTCTATATTCCACGTTGTGAACGGCCAGCACATTCTGCTTTTCACTTTGTGACAGGCCGGCCCTGTGTGTGCATTCACTCTTCATTGCTATCACTGCTACCTATACTTGCTGACTTGACCCAGGACTCATCCCAAAATGTCACCAATTCTCAAACCAGTGAAGATTACACAAGAGGCCTAGTTGACAGAGAAAGGACAACTAGTTGAACAACTGCTCATGTGCGTGCTTGTGAAAACAGTCGCTCAGTGTTGCCTGCCACAAAAGAGAGCTGCCCACTTTCATGTCAGGCCTTGAACAAACAGGAGCCCCTTTTTTCGCACAGCGGGTATAGATGGCGAAGGCAGACGAATGCATATCCGAACATCCCTACAACACAGGACAGCCTGTGGAAATCGTCACGGCATGAATAGGAGCGGGAACAAAATCTCCCGTCCAGCGAGATGGGGGGGGGGGGGGGGGGGGGAGGGAAGAGATTTTCGTGATATGCACCGAACTATCATATCACTATGTGTGCTTGTGCTGGTGTCTGCTGTGGGTACAACTCAAGTCTGTACAAAACTGACCATATGTTCAATATATGTGCTGTAATGTGCAAAATATGTTTACAGCCTCCTTTGTTTTCCTCTGCCAGTTCATGAAAGTTGTTACTTTATCAGTTCAGTGCCTTCCCATGTGGGTTCCAGGGGCCTATTATAGGAGAAAAAAAGAATAGACCCACTGCCTACCCAGAAGCATGTCGTAAGAGTCGACTAATTGAGAGCTTCCTTCGAAGTCAGAGTACATCTGCCCGAGAGGCAAGGAACCAGCAGTCTGCACACAGATGAGTCAGATCTGTAAAACAGATGCACGCGTAACACTCAGGTTCTGGAACAGGACTGCAGTCCAAAAGTGGATGAACAACCGGAACTTTCTGCCTGAGTTTACTGCTGGTGAACACGAAGAAGAAGAAGAAGTCCAGTGCTGTTCTACAACAATAATCATCAGTTTCCACTTTTACCATAAAGCTTCATGAGGAGAAACGGTTTGTAGTCCAGCGCTTGACGTTTAGCACTAGCTGTTATCATTTTGCATGGATGTAGAAGGACTTTAATGTTATCAATCCAACTTCTCCTTGGACATCCTCTTGCTTTTGTGTGAGATCTATTTAGGTGTTCTACAGTATAAATGTTTGTGTCATAGTTGTTACTGTAAATGTTGCCATTCTGTTTGCAGTTTTAAAAGTTTCTGTCCTTGTTACTTGTAATTTTTTTCTCCTTGATACTTTTTATGATTTTCTTCTTGTTACTTTGGGTGTTACAATAGTAAGTGGCAGCCATTGTGCACTGGATCGCTATGTATTCCTAATATAAATATATATATATATTTTCCTTGGAACGGCACATGCAAATGATTTCTACAACTAGAGTAAAGAAGGGCCAAACCAAGCAAGAGCACCCCTATTTACAAGGCACAAGTAATAAACTAACACGTCCTATTGTAACCATTAACGTTGTTTAAGAGTACTGCAATCAGTCTTTTTATTATGGACAAACACATTGTGACGGAAGTGAATTGGGGATCGATGACTTAATGTCAAGTCTCCTACTGGTCTCCAGATGCTAACATCGGCAGGCTCTCCACACATGGACAAAACACCCCAGCAGAATATGTACCTGGTGCCTGCTACATAGAGGATGCTTTCATCTCCCCCCTAACACTTCAATGAAAAAGAGAAGAAATCAGTCTGTTGCCCACTAAGCTACCATCTTTCTGTATTCTGGTTATTGTGTGTAACATTCTGTCATCATTCTCCTTGTCTTATCACAAGAGTTGGTTAAAGAACATGATACACATGCACACATGTCATGATTGTTAACTGACTCAGAAAGCATGCTGAGGAAGATGAGGACAGGTGTGTGTCATGCTTCGCTCCAAAGGTCATGGGGGAAGAGCATTGTCTGGATCTTTTCTCCAGGTTATGCCGTGTGTTGGGAAATGAACAGGCTGACAGATTTGCGGGATCTGCACAACTTGTTGAAATAATCAATGCATGATAAGGGAGACATGGTTAAGGCCTCATGGGAGCACATGCCCAATATAATTTAGAACAGCAAAATTGATCATCACAGTCTGGTGAGAGTGATACAGTGAGGCGACTGCAGCGATACTGCGAGGCGACTGCTACTGGCATAATTGGTTTTGGAACTCTGGGCTGGCTGCTGAAGATGGGGATGGAGCACGCATGGGAATGCCTAGAGTGCTATGATGTCGGTTCTTGAACCAGCTAAACTTTTATAACTGATTAATTATTGTAATTTTAATCGTTTCTAGGTGGACTGATCTCAGTCCTGTTTCATATGTCAGCTGGGCTCGCAATGAGCCAAACGACAACTACGGTGCAGAGAGCTGTGTCCAGATCAATTCAAGAGGTTAGTGTCTTTTCAGTTTTTCATCATCATCATCATCTTCAGTATAAGTGTCATTATCATCTATCATTGTCAGCAATCATGGTCCTTGCAGCTCCACTTGACCCACTTCTTCTTCTTAAACGGGGGGCGGGGGGCACCAAGGGTTTCCCCCTCTGTTTATTTATGTGTATTACATGTAACACAGCGGGAACCCATCAATTAAATCTCTTTCTTAAATGTTCGTTGTATTCTAGACAAAGCATTACGGTCTGCTGTGTTTGTAAATTGTTGCTGTGTTTGTTAATCGACCTTTGCTTTGTTAATATAAATTTCTGTAACCTATGGTGCCATTTCAATGGTTTCAGTTGAATTCTGACCCCTATTCCATACTTGTTGATTTCAAGCTGTACAATAGACATGGCCAATTGTTGCAGTGATACACATAGACACATGCTGTTAACACACACATTTGCAGTGATACACATAGGCACGCTCTATTAACACACACTGTTGAAGTGATAGACATAGTCACACCCTGATAACACACACTGTTGCAATTATACACATAGGCATGTTCTGTTAACACACACTATTGCAGTGATAGACAGTCACACCCTGATAGCACACAGTGCTGCAGTGATACACATAGGTATGTGCTGTTAACCAACACTGTTGCAGTGATACACATAGGTATGTGCTGTTAACCAACACTGTTGCAGTGATACACATAGGTATGTGCTGTTAACCAACACTGTTGCAGTGATACACATAGGTATGTGCTGTTAACCAACACTGTTGCAGTGATACACATAGGTATGTGCTGTTAACCAACACTGTTGCAGTGATACACATAGGTATGTGCTGTTAACCAACACTGTTGCAGTGATACACATAGGTATGTGCTGTTAACCAACACTGTTGCAGTGATACACATAGGTATGTGCTGTTAACCAACACTGTTGCAGTGATACACATAGGTATGTGCTGTTAACCAACACTGTTGCAGTGATACACATAGGCACATTCTGTAAACACACACTGTTGTAGTGATAGACATAGTCACACACTGATAACACACACTGTTGCAATTATACACATAGGCATGTTCTGTTAACACACACTGTTGTAGTGATAGACATAGTCACACACTGATAACCCACACTATTGCAGTGATAGACATAGTCACACACTGATAACCCACACTATTGCAGTGATAGACATAGTCACACACTGATAACCCACACTATTGCAGTGATAGACATAGTCACACACTGATAACACACAGGGCTGCAGTGATACACATAGGCATGTTCTGTTAACACACACTGTTGTAGTGATATAGTCACAGGCTGATAACCCACACTATTGTAGTGATAGACATAGTCACACGCTGATAACCCACACTATTGTAGTGATAGACATAGTCACACGCTGATAACCCACACTATTGCAGTGATAGACATAGTCACACGCTGATAACCCACACTATTGCAGTGATAGACATAGTCACACCCTGATAACACACACTGTTGTAGTGATACACATAGGCACAGGCTGTTAACCCACACTATTGCAGTGATAGACATAGTCACACACTGATAGCATATTTTGCATTGCTTGGCACTAAAAGAGTTTAAAGTACGTGCTTCCAGACAGAATGTTAATGAATTTGTAATCAAATACGTATCAACAGGAACCTGGAGTGATAATCAGTGTCAAAGGTCACTGGGCTACATCTGCAAGAAGTTTGCCGGAAATTACCACCCTCTTCCTCGTACTCCTCAAACCCCAACTGGCGGGTGCCCACCAAATTTTGTCTCTCTTCCTGCATGTAAGTTTTGGCCTTTTTTTTTGGGGGGGGGGGGGGGGGGGGGGGTACCATAATATGTTTATAATTTCCCATTTATTGGAGTATGTTTGTGTTTGGTCTGTTTCATCCCTTTGCTGTCTAAAAATGTTTATGTTTGGCTTATTTGGTCAAGTGCTGTCTTGATATATTTGTTTTTGGCTTGTTTGGTCAACTGTTATCTAAAACTGTTTGTATTTGGCTTATCTGGCAAACTTCTGTTTTTATATGTTTGTATTTGGCTTTTTTGTCAACTACTGTCTACACCTATTTGTATTTGTCTTGATTTGTTCAACTGTAGTCTAAAAATATTTGTATGTGGCGCGTTTCAACAGTTTACTGTCTAAAAATGTTTGTTTGGTCAAGTGCTGTCTTAAAATGTTTTTTTGTGTGTGGCTTGTTTAGTCAACTGCTTTCTAAAACTGTTTGTATTTGGCTTATTTGGTCAACACTGTTTTAATATGTTTGTTTTTTTTGGCTTATTTGGTCAACTACTGTCTACAGCTGTTTGTATTTGGCTTGTTTTGTTCAGCTGTAGTGTAAAAATGTTTGTATTTGGCTTGTTTTAACAATTTCCTACCTAAAAATGTGTCAGCCTCTAATACATCATCTTAGCATTCACCGGCTGTAAACTACGATGGAAAATTCAGGTGGTTCATCCATTTCTTGACTTTGGTCTTGTTACAGAACTTGAGTTTTGCGTGCACATCTTATTTACAGATCTGGCTTATTTGTATGCAGACTGTTGGTTCCTTGCCTCTCAGGAGGATGCACTCTGACTTTGAAGGAAGCTCCCTTAATCAGTCGCCTTGTGTGACATGCTTGTTCTCAGTTCTCCCACAATGGGGCTTTAAAACCCACATAGAAACTGCTGCGATAAAAAAAGATGTGTGCAGGCATTTCAAGGAAATGTTACAAGTATTGTGGTGTATTCATGTAACAGTAAGCCATTGATCAGATCACATGGAGGAGGAATACTAGGAAGGGAATAATGATAAAGGAGAAAGACATCTTCATTACTTTTTTTTAAATCCATTCAGTGAATTCTCATTCGTCTCTAAAACCAAATCTCGACTGCTTTCAAATAATTTTTCAGTAATCGGCTAATTGTCCATGAAAAACTTCCATATATCAGGATAAGATATATATAGCTCTTGAGAATTCTGTATAGCAACAGTGAAAAACTATTATCTGGAAAGACAAAATATTGATCAGTGTTGTGTTTTTCATAAAAGGGCCTCTTTTCATTCTGTGAGATGTATTTATGTATAGGGAGTAGCCCCGCGTTGTACTAGGGACCTGGGGATCTGGCCGATGCTCAACACTCAAGGGAAAGGCCAGACGGACATACAATCAGACTGTTAGTGGTGCCATCAAATTTGGAACTGTTTGCTGCTGAAGATGGGGATGAAGCATTTATGAGAATGTCCGGATTGCTGCGATGTCAATTCTTAATTCAGGATTCAGCATTGTTGATGGGACCAGATCATCATGCCTGCCATTTTTACTTCCATGAAATTACCACCAAGAAGATAGTTAAAAAGTTCGTTAGTTGTGTATCCGTTAGTTGTGTATCCTTTACAGGACATAGCAGAACCAGCCTATTGGCTATTGTTGTTTTTCTAGGCAAATTTTACGTTCAGTAGTTTGCCATTGCTTACTGATGGGTCAGCTGTCTGTACCACTGCGAAACCAATGCAAACCGCCAGCAGGTGGGATCGAACCGGGAAAACCACCCCCCCCCCCCACCCACCACCCCCACCCACCCCCCCCCCCCACCCACCACCCCCACCCACCACCCCCCCCCCCCCACCCCCCGGCAATACAAAGCGCGTTTGCAGCGTCTAAGTCACAGATGCCGACGAGAAGATAGTCGAGATATAATATACATTTGATGTCACCAACAGGAAAGAGAGGGAGTGGCCATGGCAGAGCGGCTAGACGCTCGCCCCAGATCGGAAGGTGATGAGTTTGCTGACTGGCAGAGCAAGACTGTATTTTAAAAATGACCTTGGCTCCCAGGTCAACCCAGCCTTGAGTGGCTACCGGGTGCAGTCCCAGGAAGTAAAGGCAGCCGGCATGATTCTGACCACATCACTCATCTTGGTCTATAAAATATAGGTCTAGCCCTTTATGCCCTATATGCCTAAAGGCGTGGAGAAGGGTCTTTTACTTTTTTACTTTTTTACTAGAAAGAGAATGCCATCATAGAGATGAATGGAGGCGGGTGATGTCTGGAGCAATGAGCTTTGTGGGTTCTGCATGCTGAAGCAGAAGACAAAGAAAAATTGCCTTGCCTGGTACCAATTTTAGGCTGGGGTGACCTGGGATGGCAAACCAATAAATAAAAACCCTGCTTCAAAAGGGATTCAAATACATGCTGTACTTCACCATAAGTTTCCATGACTTTATTGGATTTCACAGGAAATTTCCATTTCTTTGTTGCACTTTAGTGTAATTTTCCATTGCTTTGTTGCACTTTACTGTAATTTTCCATTACTTTGTTGTACTTCACAGTAAGCACAGTAAGTTTCCATTACTTTGTTTTACTTTCCAGTAAGTTGCCATTCCTTTGTATTACTTCACACTGTAAGTTTCCATTACTTTGTTGTACTTCACAGTAAGTTTCCATTACTTTGTTATACTTTGCAGTTAGTTTCCATTACTTTGTTGTACTCCACAGTAATTTTCCATTACTTTGTTGTACTTCAGACTGTAAGCTTCCATTATTGTGTTCTACTTTACAGAAGGTTTCCACTATTTTGTTGTACTTCACACTATAAGTTTCCATGTGTGTGATCTATGTTGCATTTCACAGTAAGTTACTGCTACCATACATGATCTGTGTTGTATTTCACAATACATTACTGATACCATACATGATCTATGTTGTGTTTCACAATACATTACTGCTACCATACATGATCTATGTTGCATTTCACAATACATTACTGCTACCATACACCATCTATGTTGTGTTTCACAATACATTACTGCTACCATACAGGATCTATGTTGTGTTTCACAATACATTACTGCTACCATACACCATCTATGTTGTGTTTCACAATACATTACTGCTACCATACATGATCTGTGTTGCATTTCACAGTAAGTTACTGCTACCATACATAATGTATGTTGTGTTTCACAATACATTACTGCTACCATACATGATCTATGTTGTGTTTCACAATACATTACTGCTACCATACATGATCTATGTTGTATTTCACAATAAATTACTGCTATCATACGGGATCTATGTTGTATTTCACAATACATTACTGCTACCATACATGATCTATGTTGTACGTCACAATAAATTACTTCTATCATATGGGATCTATGTTGTATTTCACAGTAAGTTACTGCTACTACGTGGGTGGGACAACGAACGCGACACGTGCAAAATATGATGATGCCATGGCGGCCTGTGAAAAGATGAGTCATAATTCTGAACTGGCATCAATCCACTCAACTCTTGAACAGAGTAGGTCATCATCTTTCTGTTACTGACTGTTTTAACTCTCTCAACCTGAGAACCACAAACCAGCGCCTCCATTTCCCATAAATGTCACTATTCTGACTTGTCTTGAGTGATGGGTTTGCAGCAAGCATTGTTTATACTGTTGGCTGAATTCACATCTTCTGAAATGTTTAGGAGGCCAGGATATGAATGTAGTAACCAAAGAGAAAATCAGAAACAGATTGGAAAACCAACACTGGTTATAACTGCGAAAAAGATTTTCTGAAACACTTGAACAGAACAGACCAAGACACATTTTTTCGCTTACGTACTGGACACTGCAGACTCAATAAACACTCACATAAATTAGGTATGAGCCAAACAGCTCTCTGCCAGTGCCTTTGTGCTGAACAGACTCCAGAACATGTCCTGCAAGACTGTCCTCTCCTGGCGGAGCTGCGGAGCAACATATGGCAACACTCAGTAGAACTGACAACTAAGCTTTGGGGAAACCTAAGAGACCTTGAAAAGACATCCCAGTTTATGACCCACAGTGGATTATGGGCATGACCAGAGATCGCTGAAGAAGAAGAAGAAGAAGTAACCAAAATAAACTTTTCTTAGTCGCTGCACTTTTTTTTCAATAAACGTTTATCCACGGCGCCCTAACCTAAGTAACAGTATGACTATTCGTATGTAAGAGATTGCAACAACAGAAAAAAACTCGCGTATCTTCGGATATTTTGCGGCACCCCTGTGGAGAGGTTGCGAATCCACGGGGGACCGTGGCACACAGTTTTTGAATTACTGTTTTAGGTGCTTTCTTGTGGACCAGATAGCATTTTTATAGTCAAGTTGATGTCAGATTTCCCTATAACTTTGGAGAGCCAGAGGTCATGGGTCACAGCGTCAGTCATCCAATAGATATGTTTTGTAGGCAATCGGGAAATCCGTTTAATGCTTCACTATGTTCATGTTTCCTAATTACTTCCTTTATATATATCTTCAAATAGTTGGTGGGGGAGGGGTGGGTGGAATTTGTTTTTAAAGGATTTGTCAGGAATTTCTGTTGGGTAATGCCCACTGGTTTGTAACCGTTGCCGGGGCAACAAAGTTAAAGCAAAAATTTTCATCACAAGAAAGAGTTCAAGCATGAATTGCTTATAGTAAAGGAGTTAACTGCTGCTTGAATTCAGTCTGCTTCATAGTGGCACTGTGTTAACTCCTAAGAGGAAATTTTAGGGATACAGAAGTTGTTGAATTCTATTTTGTTCTTCTTCTTTTTTGTTCACTGGCTATTAGTTCTGGCGGAAAGTCCTGGTTGTTCGTCCATCTGGTTGGTTTTGTGCCAGGGCCTGTGTTTTGCGAGTAAATCCATTTTACTGGCTTATTTGTGTGCAGGATGTTGCTCCTTGCTGCTCTGGCAGATAAACTCCGACTTTGAAGGAAGCTCCTAATTAGTCAACTCCTGCGGCATGCTTTTGGGGAGGCAGTGGGTCTATTCTTGTTTCCAACACAATGGGGCCCTGGAACCCATACTGGAAATAGAGTCTCTATACCTGCAATTTTGTCTCTAGCATGAACTTTACTGTCTGTTGTTCAAACTTTACAAGGCTTCTGAGTGAATTACAACAGACAGTGAAGTTCATACTAGAGATAATATTGCAGATATAGATAATCTATTTCAAGCGAACGAAAGAAGAAGAAGAAGAACAGTCTGTTGTAATTGAATCAGCAGCCTTGTAATTGAATCAGCAGTCTTGTAATTCAATCAGCAGTCTTGTAATTCAATCAGCAGTCTTGTAATTCAATCAATCAGCAGTCTTGTAATTCAATCAGCAGTCTTGTAATTCAATCAGCAGTCTTGTAATTCAATCAGCAGTCCGTAAAGCTGAATTCTGGGATGTGCAACCAGACCAAGCTTCATCCAGGACGAGACCTATCTATACTTCTCATTGGTCATCTGAGAAACAGGTTCCCATCCCAACCAGGAACCTGGTCGTCTTCTTCTTCTTCTTCTTCTTCTTCTTCTTCTTCTTCTTCTTCTTCTTCTTCTTCTTCTTCTTCATCTTCTTCTTCTTCTTCTTCTTCTTCTTCTTCTTCTTCTTCTTTACGTCCTCTTTTACTGCTTCTGGTGTCAAGAGAGATATAAGGTCCTACTTCATGCTCTGCTTGCTGCTTCGACCATAGACACATCGTGGTGTTGTAGAGTTTCTCTGATGTTATCTTCCCATCTTGTGTCTTGATCTGCCTCTTGCTCTACATCCCTCTCCTCTTTTGTTGTATACCTTGTATGGTATAGCATCAGAAGGCATTCTCTCCAAGTGGGCGGACCATTTGATTTACTGTCTTTGTATGTAATTTAGAATTGGTTCTGTGCTGACCTTATCTTGTATGACCTCATTCCTAACTTTATCTCTTCTGGTCACTCCTACAGTCTTTCTCAGACACCTCATTTCCATGGTTACTAAATTTCTTTGGAACCTTGTCAACCTATATAGGATCAACATTTCCTTCAAATTTGGAGTACCTCTGCCTGAAAAGTGACAAACCAACAGTCTACAAACAAATAAGCCATATCTGCAAAACGGATGTTCGCGCAAAACTCAAGTTTTGGTAACAGACCAAAGTCCAGAAGGGGGACTAACAATCAGAACTTTCCATTAGAGTTTAATGCCAGTTAATGGGAAGAAGAAGAAGAAGAAGAATTATTTTAGAGTAACTAAACTATGGAAGAGAAACCCTTGAGATAACAACTATCTGGGTCTCAGTGAGATAATGACTTCTTGGATTCCCAAGAAGCAGGAGTGTTGGGCAATGAACAGGCAAACAGATTGGCTGGTTCTGCACTTGTTGCTGGTGAATGTGTGCATGATTAAATAGATGTGCTCCTGTGGGAACAAGTGAACAATGGGGGAGGTGCCAATAGATCTTGTTGATCTGGGGAGAATGGTACAGCTGGGAGTGACCAGGAGATCTGGTTGATACTCTGAACTCAGAGGAAAGGCCAAACAGGTAGATCATTAAACTGCTTGCTGGCTTCTGAAGATGAGGAGGGAGCGCTTATGGGAATGTCCCAAACGCTGTGATGCCACTTCTTAGCTGAAAACTCAAAAATTGGATTGCCAGTGTTCATACTTTCTGTTTTCAGAATATATCCTGACTTTGATATCCGGTTTGCGGACTGCAGCATGGATCGGATTCAATGACAGACTATACCCAAACCAGTTTTTCTGGGTGGATAACCTTAACGTGTCCTACACTAACTGGGGACCTGGGCAGCCGGATGTGAGCAGAACTGACGGTCGACCAGGTTCCAGGGTGAGTTCTGAACAGGCCTGGCAAGGTCACCGTAGCATAGCTTGAAAGTAAATCTCATCTTGTAAACCTTGCGTTGTCGAGGTAAAGTAAAATTTGGGGGGAAGTTGCCTGTTTGTGCGCTTCCTAAATGGGGATTCCCAGGGACTGTGTTATACCCTCTGGCCATCGCTAGCATGCTCAGTCTCTCACTTCGCGTCTGGTCTGTCCATCATTGTTTACTGTTTGTTGCATTCATGTTGTATGGCCAAACCATTTCACCTGTTGTTTTTGAAGCTTTAAAGTCCCTTAAATTTAATTCTTATATTGTGGGCTCCAGGGCCCCTCTTTGGGGGGAAAGAACCCACCGTGCCCTAACTGGCATCTAGTAAAAGGTGACTAATTAGAGGTTTGTTGAAATCAACTGTGTTAGACCGAAAGGGGCAGATATCGCAGCCTAGCTGTAAACTACAAAACAGTGTGTCAAAAGCCAACAAGTGGGGAAGAAGAAGTTATTAATATTTAGAAACAAATCATCCATAACAAGTACAGATTTTAAAAAGAAATTTTTTTTTTAAAGAAATCTGTTAATATTACCATATACACTGCAGTTTTGAGTGTTCAATACCATTTATTTAGTAATGAATTTGTAATGAATAGGGGTCTATAGAAAACCACTACATGTGAAATGTGCTGTCTGTGTAAGGTCACTGACAACACCAGAGGAGACAGGGTTATGAATGCCAGCATTGGAGAGAAAGTTGGAATAAAACCATGTCTGGATTCTATTGACAGACATAGAATGAAATGGTTTGGCCATCAAGAGGGAATGCAGCCAGACCAAATTGCATATGGGACTTTTTTTACAGCAGAATATCTACGAGGAAGGTGAGAGGAAGACCAAGAAAGAGGTGGACAAATGGTGTAGCAGAAATCTGCAAAAAGATGAACACATCTATCACTCAAGCCACCTGAGAAGCCCAAGACAGATACAGAAACACCACGACACTGGGCTACCATCTGGTATCAGTGAGATGATGAAAGGAGAAGAAAGTACCATTGGTTTGTTCACACATGCCTTAAAACAAAACACTAAAACTTTTTTAGTCTGTCTTCTCTGTTTATTGTGGACTTTAATTTTCTGTCTTCTCTGTTTATTGTGGACTTTTTAATTTTCTGTCTTCTCTGGGAGCCGCTGCGGTGTAGTGGATAGATGCAGGCTCTGCAGGGCAACCAAGCCTTAACTGGGTATCAGCTAAAATCATCTGAAGTAAAGGCGGCCGGCGTGATGTTGACCCAGCGAGTAATGATTGGTCTAGCACTGTATGACATATACACTTTTTTTAAAAAAGCAATCTTTACTTCTCTGTTCACTGTGTTCTATTGCATTTTCTGTCTGTCTTCTCTGTTTATTGTATACCATAGAATTGTCTGTCTGTCTTCTTTGTTCATTTTGTATCACTAAGTTTACTGTCTGGCCTTTCTGTTGACTGGGTACAGCTGAGTTTCTCTGTCTTTGTTCATTGTGTGCCAAGCAAATGTTTGTGTTTATCTTCTGTTTTGTTGTTGTGTGCCAAGTAAATGTGTCTGTTTATCTTCTGTTTTGTTGTTGTGTGCCAAGCAAATGTTTGTGTTTATCTTCTGTTTTGTTGTTGTGTGCCAAGCAAATGTTTGTGTTTATCTTCTGTTTTGTTGTTGTGTGCCAAGCAAATGTTTGTGTTTATCTTCTGTTTTGTTGTTGTGTGCCAAGTAAATTTGTCTGTTTATCTTCTGTTTTGTTGTTGTGTGCCAAGCAAATGTTTATGTTTATCTTCTGTTTTGTTGTTGTGTGCCAAGCAAATGTTTGTGTTTATCTTCTGTTTTGTTGTTGTGTGCCAAGCAAATGTTTGTGTTTATCTTCTGTTTTGTTGTTGTGTGCCAAGCAAATGTTTGTGTTTATCTTCTGTTTTGTTGTTGTGTGCCAAGCAAATGTTTGTGTTTATCTTCTGTTTTGTTGTTGTGTGCCAAGCAAATGTTTGTGTTTATCTTCTGTTTTGTTGTTGTGTGCCAAGCAAATGTTTTTGTGTTTATCTTCTGTTTTGTTGTTGTGTGCCAAGCAAATGTTTGTGTTTATCTTCTGTTTTGTTGTTGTGTGCCAAGCAAATGTTTGTGTTTTATCTTCTGTTTTGTTGTTGTGTGCCAAGCAAATGTTTGTGTTTATCTTCTGTTTTGTTGTTGTGTGCCAAGCAAATGTTTGTGTTTATCTTCTGTTTTGTTGTTGTGTGCCAAGCAAATGTTTGTGTTTATCTTCTGTTTTGTTGTTGTGTGCCAAGCAAATGTTTGTGTTTATCTTCTGTTTTGTTGTTTGTGTGCCAAGCAAATGTTTGTGTTTATCTTCTGTTTTGTTGTTGTGTGCCAAGCAAATGTTTGTGTTTTATCTTCTGTTTTGTTGTTGTGTGCCAAGCAAATGTTTGTGTTTATCTTCTGTTTTGTTGTTGTGTGCCAAGCAAATGTTTGTGTTTATCTTCTGTTTTGTTGTTGTGTGCCAAGCAAATGTTTGTGTTTATCTTCTGTTTTGTTGTTGTGTGCCAAGCAAATGTTTGTGTTTATCTTCTGTTTTGTTGTTGTGTGCCAAGCAAATGTTTGTGTTTATCTTCTGTTTTGTTGTTGTGTGCCAAGCAAATGTGTCTGTTTATCTTCTGTTTTGTTGTTGTGTGCCAAGCAAATGTTTGTGTTTATCTTCTGTTTTGTTGTTGTGTGCCAAGCAAATGTTTGTGTTTATCTTCTGTTTTGTTGTTGTGTGCCAAGCAAATGTGTCTGTTTATCTTCTGTTTTGTTGTTGTGTGCCAAGCAAATGTTTGTGTTTATCTTCTGTTTTTGTTGTTGTGTGCCAAGCAAATGTTTGTGTTTATCTTCTGTTTTGTTGTTGTGTGCCAAGCAAATGTTTGTGTTTATCTTCTGTTTTGTTGTTGTGTGCCAAGCAAATGTTTGTGTTTATCTTCTGTTTTGTTGTTGTGTGCCAAGCAAATGTTTGTGTTTATCTTCTGTTTTGTTGTTGTGTGCCAAGCAAATGTTTGTGTTTATCTTCTGTTTTGTTGTTGTGTGCCAAGCAAATGTTTGTGTTTTATCTTCTGTTTTTGTTGTTGTGTGCCAAGCAAATGTTTGTGTTTATCTTCTGTTTTGTTGTTGTGTGCCAAGCAAATGTGTCTGTTTATCTTCTGTTTTGTTGTTGTGTGCCAAGCAAATGTTTGTGTTTATCTTCTGTTTTGTTGTTGTGTGCCAAGCAAATGTTTGTGTTTATCTTCTGTTTTGTTGTTGTGTGCCAAGCAAATGTTTGTGTTTATCTTCTGTTTTGTTGTTGTGTGCCAAGCAAATGTTTGTGTTTATCTTCTGTTTTGTTGTTGTGTGCCAAGCAAATGTTTGTGTTTATCTTCTGTTTTGTTGTTGTGTGCCAAGCAAATGTGTCTGTTTATCTTCTGTTTTGTTGTTGTGTGCCAAGCAAATGTTTGTGTTTATCTTCTGTTTTGTTGTTGTGTGCCAAGCAAATGTTTGTGTTTATCTTCTGTTTTGTTGTTGTGTGCCAAGCAAATGTTTGTGTTTATCTTCTGTTTTGTTGTTGTGTGCCAAGCAAATGTTTGTGTTTATCTTCTGTTTTGTTGTTGTGTGCCAAGCAAATGTTTGTGTTTATCTTCTGTTTTGTTGTTGTGTGCCAAGCAAATGTTTGTGTTTATCTTCTGTTTTGTTGTTGTGTGCCAAGCAAATGTTTGTGTTTTATCTTCTGTTTTGTTGTTGTGTGCCAAGCAAATGTTTGTGTTTATCTTCTGTTTTGTTGTTGTGTGCCAAGCAAATGTGTCTGTTTATCTTCTGTTTTGTTGTTGTGTGCCAAGCAAATGTTTGTGTTTATCTTCTGTTTTGTTGTTGTGTGCCAAGCAAATGTTTGTGTTTATCTTCTGTTTTGTTGTTGTGTGCCAAGCAAATGTGTCTGTTTATCTTCTGTTTTGTTGTTGTGTGCCAAGCAAATGTTTGTGTTTATCTTCTGTTTTGTTGTTGTGTGCCAAGTAAATGTGTCTGTTTATCTTCTGTTTTGTTGTTGTGTGCCAAGTAAATGTGTCTGTTTATCTTCTGTTTTGTTGTTGTGTGCCAAGTAAATGTTTCTGTTTATCTTCTGTTTTGTTGTTGTGTGCCAAGTAAATGTGTCTGTTTATCTTCTGTTTTGTTGTTGTGTGCCAAGTAAATGTGTCTGTTTATCTTTTCTGTTTTGTCATTGTGTGCCAAGTAAATGTGTCTGTTTATCTTCTCTGTTTTGTCATTGTGTGCCAAGTAAATGTTTCTGTTTATCTTCTCTGTTTTGTCGTTGTGTGCCAAGTAAATTTGTCTGTTTATCTTCTCTGTTTTGTCATTGTGTGCCAAGTAAAAGTGTCTGTTTATCTTCTCTGTTTTGTCATTGTGTGCCAAGTAAAAGTGTCTGTTTATCTTCTCTGTCCTTGTGTGCCACTAAATATTTGGATTCTCTAATGAACAGAGGGACTGTGTGGATGTAGAGGTTAGACACAACCCCGGCACCTGGCATGACCGCACCTGCAACAACCTGTTAGCTTATGTATGTGAAGCCAGAAAAGGTGAGTTTCCACATCTGTGCCTCCGCCATTTAGTTTGATTATAATTAGTAGTTCATTGTTCATTTCTTCTTCTGCGTTCGTCCAGAGATATAATTACGTTGTGCCCGTTTACAGCATGGCTGTGATATTTCCACAGTCCAGAGATATAATTACATCGTGCCTGTTGACAGCATGGCTGTGATATTTCCACAGTCCAGAGATATAATTACATTGTGCCTGTTGACAGCATGGCTGTGATATTTCCACAGTCCAGGGATATAATTACATTGTGCCTGTTGACAGCATGGCTGTGATATTTCCACCTTTCAGCCGACACGTCTGACTTCTGCAGGCATTTGTTGACCCTGTTAGCCTTCCCGGTTAGTTTCGTAAGACATTGCAGTCTCACTGTGGTGTGGTCGTCTTTGTTTTCCAATGTTCATTGAAAGATCATCCTAATTGCATGACCATAAGTGCTCCGATATCCTCCTGAGTACACCTCTTAAGTGTTTTGAGGCTAACAACTCCTATTCTGTTCTGGTAAACTTTGTGTGGGGTCATCCGCCATAACTTTACTTAGTACTTTCTTGACTTTACTTAATCACTCCTCTTCTACCTTGGGGTGTAAAAGTTTGCCAGAGAGGAGCCAGACTTCTCTATCAGCAGTTTTAATTCTGGCTTTATTCCATTCCAGTCCTCTGTCAATCAGGGACTGTTGGATATTGTCTTCCCAGCGGACCCTGGGTCGCCCTGGAGGTCTGGTTCCCTGATTCTTAGCCTCTCATGGTGGCAGGTTTTCTCCCATTTTTCATACATCGTAACTGTGACAGATCAACTCGAGTTTGTAAGGCCTGGGTTTCACGATCTTGATGTATTATCTGATTGCGAACTTTGTCCCTTATTGTCACTTGGACCACCATACTTGAATATCTCATTTTTGAGGCCTGAAACTGGCTTCTGTGATCTGTTGTTATTGCCCATGACTCACACCCATCTTGTTAGTTTCTGTGGTAACTTGTAATCATAGTTTGAAGCAAACAGGTGATTGGCCTCTTATGCCTTTGCATGGTGGAGGAGGCATCCACCATTACCAAAAAAAAAAGAAATTAAAAACATGCCACTAAACTCTTACAAAGGAGGATCTCAGCGCAGTGCACAGAGATCCCTACAACTTGTATGAGCATGCTGCAGACAGCAAAACCACAGAAAATCACAGCATGTTTGTAAACAAACCACCAGAATCAATTTGTTGTGGTAAATGACAGTAGCCATGCCGCCATCTTACATCATGTCCTCTTAGTAATGCAAGACTAGGAGAAAATATTAACATAAAGGATGTATTACAAAAACCAAGAAGAAGGCGTAGCTAAGTGGAGGAACCTTTGCACTCTTAGCCCAGAAATTAGGATTCAGACTGTAAGAAGAAGCAGATGTAATGAGAGAATGAATTATCAGTTTAAGGGATGGATTTCAGAGGCCTGTGTGGCTATGGACAGACTGTGCGTGATGATAGTGACTGACAGACTAGCACTTAGATGACCACTTAGCAACTACAAGTTCAAGGGCACACAGAGACTCCTACGGGACAACGTGACAGACCAGTTAAGAACTTCGACCAGTTAAGAACTCCATGTTTCATGAGAAACTCGCTAACTCAGCCTTAAGGAGCTGACTGTACAAAACCAAGACGTGAATGTTTTAGTGGGGAGTTGCTGAAGAGACCAGGGCAGGACAAGACCTGTTGTGTTTTGATGGGAAGTTGCTGGAGAGACCAGGGCAAGACAAGAATTGTTGTGTTTTGATGGGGAGTTGCTGGAGAGACCAGGGTAGGACAAGACCTGTTGTGTTTTGATGGGGAGTTGCTGGAGAGACCAGGGCAAGACAAGAATTGTTGTGTTTTGATGGGGAGTTGCTGGAGAGACTAGGGCAGGACAAGATGTGTTATGTTTTGATGGGGAGTTGCTGAAAAGACCAGGGCAGGACAAGATGTGTTATGTTTTGATGGGGAGTTGCTGGAGAGACCAGGGCAGGACAAGACGTGTTGTGTTTTGATGGGGAGTTGCTGGAGAGACCAGGGCAGGACAAGATGTGTTATGTTTTGATGGGGAGTTGCTGAAGAGACCAGGGCAGGACAAGATGTGTTATGTTTTGATGGGGAGTTGCTGGAGACACCAGGGCAGGACAAGATGTGTTATGTTTTGATGGGGAGTTGCTGAAGAGACCAGGGCAGGACAAGATGTGTTATGTTTTGATGGGGAGTTGCTGGAGAGACCACGGCAGGACAAGATGTGTTGTGTTTTGATGGGGATTTGCTGGAGAGACCAGGGCAGGACAAGACTTGTTGTGTTTTGATGGGGAGTTGCTGGAGAGACTAGGGCAGGACAAGATGTGTTATGTTTTGATGGGGAGTTGCTGGAGACACCAGGGCAGGACAAGATGTGTTATGTTTTGATGGGGAGTTGCTGAAGAGACCAGGGCAGGACAAGATGTGTTATGTTTTGATGGGGAGTTTCTGGAGAGACCACGGCAGGACAAGATGTGTTGTGTTTTGATGGGGATTTGCTGGAGAGACCAGGGCAGGACAAGATGTGTTGTGTTTTGGTGGAGAGTTGCTGGAGAGACCAGGGCAGGACAAGATTTGTTGTGTTTTGATGGGGAGTTGTTGGAGAGACCAGGGCAGGACAAGACGTGTTATGTTTTGATGGGGAGTTGCTGGAGAGACCAGGGCAGGACAAGATTTGTTGTGTTTTGATGGAGAATAGCTGGAGAGACCAGGGCAGGACAAGATGTGTTATGTTTTGATGGGGAGTTGCTGGAGAGACCAGGGCAGGACAAGACGTGTTGTGTTTTGATGGGGAGTTGCTGGAGAGACCAGGGCAGGACAAGATTTGTTGTGTTTTGATGGAGAGTAGCTGGAGAGACCAGGGCAGGACAAGACGTGTTATGTTTTGATGGGGAGTTGCTGGAGAGACCAGGGCAGGACAAGATTTGTTGTGTTTTGATGGGGAGTTGCTGGAGAGACCAGGGCAGGACAAGATTTGTTGTGTTTTGATGGAGAGTAGCTGGAGAGACCAGGGCAGGACAAGACGTGTTATGTTTTGATGGGGAGTTGCTGGAGAGACCAGGGCAGGACAAGGCGGCTTGTGGTTTGATGGGGAGTTGCTGGAGAGACCAGGGCAGGACAAGGCGGCTTGTGGTTTGATGGGGAGTTGCTGGAGAGACCAGGGCAGGACAAGGCGGCTTGTGGTTTGACTGCTAGAGTTTTGTAGTTGGTTTAGTTTAAAAACACAGCGGCAGTTAAGGATAGAGCATTTTGTTTGTGATAATGTGCTGGTTTGATGGTATTTGAATGTAAGTGTTAGCATGAGTAGTCAGTGTAACGTTGTGTGTGGGGTAGAGATAGTCTAGTGTGATTAATGATATTTGTTTAAAGTACCTATCGGGAGTCACCGTGGCAGAGCGGCTAGACGCTCACTGTGGATCGGAAGGTCATGGGTTGGCTTCCTTGTGGAGCTAGACTTTTTCAGAAATGACCTCGGCCTCCAGTCGACCCAGCCTTGAGTGGGTACAGGGTGCAGTCCCGGGAAGTAGAGGCAGCCGGCGTGATGCTGACCACATCACCCATCTTGTGCCGATTGGTCTATAAAATATAGGTCTAGCCCCATGTGCCCTGTATGCCTAAAGAAGTGGAGAAGGGTCCTTTACTTTACTTTACTTTTTTACCTGTGACTCGATTTGCTATCGGTGGTTTACAAGGGGTTTCTTACAGTAAAGAAGAAGAAGAAGAAGTGAGCCATGTTGTGGGTGTTGTACCCAGGCGACTCTGCACTGTGACGTGGTCTGTCTGAGCCCACTGCCCAGGGTCATGTGGAGGCACAGCGATTGAGGTGTTGTTTGTCAAGGATTGGGGAAGAGCTTGTATCAGAGATTGAAAGTTATTTTTTTCCTCCCATCTTAGATCCTACAGTACCCACGGCAGCTCCCAACTCCACTGGTTGTCACCAAGGATACCAGCGATTCCACAGCAGCTGCTACAAGTTCTTCAGTGACTCTTACGATTGGGCAACAGCTCAGAATATGTGTAAACTTGATGGAGGCAACGTGGTGACAGTTAGTAGTGGGTAAGTCCCTAGAACACCACTGAACCAGGTTGTTAACCATAATAATTAACTGATTATTTCTTTCTGCAGAACAAATACATTCTTTTACCTTGAGAACAGACGGCCCATCCAGGCTATTAGAGGTGAACAGAGTCTGGCCAGAGATAACTACCACTTACTTGACCGGCATGGGCAGGTCATTATCCTACGTCTCAGGACAGGACATAAACTTAACCAGCATATGCACAGGTTTAGTCTAAGTAGTTCACCTTTTTGCCCTTGTGGGCTATGTGTGCAGACTACAGAACATGTCCTGCAAGAATGTCCCTTGTTCAGCCCATTAGGAAGGGAATACCGGCCCAGTGAGTCACCACTGCACGCAGAGTTGTATGAGACTAAAAAGGAACTCTTAAAAACAGTCAAGTTTATCACACAAACCTGACTGTCAGTGTAAATCAGAAAGTGAACACAAGAAGAAGGAGAATACATTCTTTGACGTATTTTTTTTCTGCAAAACAAAGACATTCTTTGTGGTACATTTTTTCTGCAAAACAAAAACATTCTTTGCCGTACATTTTTTCCCTGCAAAAAAATACATTCTTTGCGGTATATCTTTTCTGCAAAACAAAGACATTCTTTGCCTTAGTTTTTTCTGCAAAACAAATACATGCTTTGCCTTAGTTTGTTCTGCAAAACAAATACATTCTTTGCCTTATGTTTTCTAGAGTGGAGCAAGCCTTTGTGGAGATTGTGACAGGCCATGTCAATGACTCGTTACAGTTCTGGCTGGGACTGAAATATGATCAGGTAACTCTCAGAGGTTTTCATAGACAGGGGAGTTTACCCTCTTCTATAATATAATATTTTAGTTGCGTTACTTCTTATTTCCTTTATGTCTCCCAGTCTGAGGGTTTGTTATGAAAAGATATCAAACCAAATGACAATTCCTGCCCAGATGATGTGATTATCTTTACAGATTGCTGTGTATTGAGGGGCAAATGAAGTGCAGGGGGGCTCATAACAAAAGCAAATGGACGTTGCTTAGTGCAAGAAAGTCTGTCACATGATATCACAACATCTAGTTTGAGAATGGAGGTGGAGGCAGTCACTGCTGCCTTCTGCTGGCTTGGGAATCAGCTGTACACACATGCCGTGATTGTCACTGACTCATAGAGCATGCTGAGAAAGGTGGAGACAGGCATGCTCCGTACAAAGTGGCAAGCATCATTTCAGAGGTCCTGGATAGTTAGCGCAATTCGGATGTTTTCTCCAGTTTATGCCAGTGTGCTGTGAAATGAGCAGGCAGATAGTCTGGCCCGTTCTGCACCACGTAGTGATGAGTTGATGTATGACAAACTAGATGTTGTGAGGGCCCTTTGGAAATAGGTGAACAGTGCCGAGACACAAATAGATCATTACATTCTGAGGAGAATGGCACTGCACGGAGTTATCAGGGGATCTGGCCGACGCTCAACACTTAGGGAAGTGGTGAGACTGATATAGAATCAGACAGTTACTGGTACTCTGGAATTTGAACTCTTTGCTTGCTGCAGGAGATAAGGATATAGCACTTATCAGAGTGTCCTGAGTGCTGTGATGTCAGCGTTAATTCAACTTTCAGTTGAAAAGTAGGATCAATCAGCTTCACAATCACAAACAAAAAGTGAATGTTTCGGCTAGAAAGCCTTCATCAGCACATAACATGAATTGACAGTTACAATTACAAACAAGATTAAAGAGAAATCACTGAACTGTATTTCTGAGAGAAATCCACACGACTGTCTGACCAGTTACAGCTCTGAGACACGTATGAACACAGGAGATGAATATTGGCCAGAAAAAGCTGTTTCAGACACTAGTCGTAACTTAAAAATATTAGCTGTGTCAGACAGTAAGTCTGTTAGGTAAGCTGGAGCCCATTAGATAGAGAAGGGTTTGCTGACATTGGATGTGTTCAACAGAGAGGTGCAGATGTCGCATCCTAGCTGTAAATCATTGCACAGGGTGCTAACCACCCTATTAAGAGGAAACTCAGATGAAGAAGAAAAATATGAGTAATCTTGCGTTCTCTGAAATGCTATAACTTCTGTCTCATGCGGTCTTCATCAAAATATCAGATGAGAGAGAAAAACTAGGCAGCCACAATTACCAGTGTCTAGCCTAGTCAGAAATCTTACCACGCTTCTGGATTTTAGTCTGATTCCAGGACTTAACTTTTGCCTTTACATCCGTTTTTACATATCTGGCTTGTTTGTATGCAGACTGTTGGTTCCTTTTCTCTCAGGCAGATACACTTTGACTTTAAAGGAAAGCCCTAATTAGTCAAAACTAACGAGATGCTTGTTAGGGAAGCAGTGAGCCAGTCCCCCCCCCCCCCCCCCCCCTCCACCCCACCACCAAATGGTGCCTTGACACCCAGTTTAAAAACAACCAGGTAAGCTTTAAATAATTATTTATTTTATATTTTATTTTTTTGGGTAATTTGTTTTCTCAACTTGGAATATCTAGTATGGTGATGTCTTCAACTGGCAAGATGGCTGGCCGATTCAATACACCAACTGGGGCCATGGTGAGCCTAATGTTAAAGGAGGTCAGAACTGCGTGGCTAATACATTAGATGGACAATGGCATGCTTCAAACTGTAGCAGCAAATATCCTTTTGTCTGTGAAATCAATTTTGGTAAGTCTAAATGTCTGTGTTTATTTGTCACTAAACACGGTTTGTTTGTTGAATCCATTCTGGTAGGTTATATGCCAGCAGTTGTTCTACTTAGTGTCTTTTGTTTGTGATATTATTTCTCATAGTAATTAATCCAAACACAGTAGTGTTTCTTTTATATGAGGAGGTTGTTTGGGCCTTTGGTGTATCCTTATTTTTTATTTTTTATTTTTTATTTTTACTCTCCGAGCTCTTGAGGTTCATTGCTGCCGATATCACCTGCCTCCATTCCTCTCTGTGAATGGCCCTCTATCTGTAGGTCTACCTCGGTACTGTCTTTCCACCATTTTGTGGTCTATCTTTTAGTCTACACCTGTTCAACTCCCTTGTGTATACAGTTATTGCCTCTCTGTCTTTTGCCATTCTCTCCATCTGCCCCAGCCATTGAAGTCTTTTTATGGACACCGGAAGGGAACAGAAAACTGGGAAGACCAAGAGAGATCCTGCTAAGAAACCATCATCAGAAAAGGCTCGACCATGGGTCTAATAAAATCCAAGACCTACAACAGGTGGCAACGAACCATCAGACATGGAGAGCTATGACCTCTGCCCTATTCGCCACCTTAGGCTCAAAAGGAAAGACTAATGGATTTAAGTCTTTCTGGTATATAATTATTAGTAGGATAATCAACCATTTGTAATGCTGCTTGTACCGTCACTTGCTGATCCCTCTACAGGAAGCCCCCCACCAACGAGAACGTACAGCTTCGGGATGTGCCCCAGCAGAAACTGGTACAGCTTCAATGGCAACTGCTACCTCGTGGAGTCTGCCTCGCCAAAGTCATGGGCAGCGGCCAATGCAGCCTGCACCTTACTAGGTGCCAACCTGGCCAGCATCCACTCTGATTCGGAGGCACAAGCATTATCAAACTACCTGGAAAATGTTGGAAAGGATGTCTGGATTGGATTTTTTAAGGGACAAGCAGGTAGGTGCAGCACTTGTAGTATTAGATAGGATTTAAATTGTAATGTTTCCCGTGAGGATTCCAGGGCCCCATTGGGATGGGGGGGGGGGGGTTAAACTGGATTTTATTTTTGCCCTGACAAAAACAAATTCCCAACCTTATGGAGGATTCCAACTCCTGCTTGGGAGCCCCACATTCTAACCATTTGGGCAGCTGCTCCTTATTTTAAATACTAACAATTAATTTGTTGGTGGTTAAAGATGTTTTACAACTAACAAGAAATTTATTGCTGGTTAAAGATGTTTTACAACTAGCAAGTAATTTGTTGGTGGTTAAGGATGTTTTACAACTAACAAATAATTTGTTGGTGGTTTTGTGATATTTTAATTCTAACAAGTGAGAGTGAGTGAATGAGTTAGTGAGTGAGAAAGAAAGATATGTTTCAATACTAGCAAGTAATTTGTTGGTTTGGGATGTTTTAATATTAGCAAATAATTTGTTGGTGGTTTGATCATGTTTTCCTACTGGCATGTATATTATTGGTGGCCCTGTTTCAGCTGGCTTTTCCTGGTATGACGGCACTGAAGTCGAGTACTTGAACTGGGCAGCGGGTGAGCCAAATGATCCGGAAAGTTATCTCCACCAGGATTGTGTCAAGGTCAGATTCTCTCGACTTCTGTTGCATTGTCTGTGTTCATCCTGGAAACAGTTTTTTTTTTAACTCTCTTGAGTAGGTATGTTTAGGTTATGTCTTTTTGCAGCAGAACTGTTTTTAAGCTGCCAAAACTGCCTAAATTTATCCCTTTAGCTGGACTAGTACTACCATAACACAGGTGGATGTAAGTAATGTAGCTCCCTGTGTGGGTTCCGGGGCCCCATTGTGGGGAAAACAAGAATAGAAATAGACCCACTGCCTCCCCAGCAAGCATGTCATAAGAGTCGACTAATTGGGGTTTTCTTTGAAGTCAGAGCGCATCAGCCTGGGAGGGAAGGAACCAACAGTCTGCGTACAAATAAGTCAGATCTGCAAACTGGATGTGCATGCAACACTCAAGTCTAAAGTCCAGAGGTGGTTGAACAACCAGAACTTTCCCCCTGAGTTTACAGCCGGAAAATGTAAAGAAGAAGATTTACCCCCTTTTGCTGTGTAAAAGTGGGAGAGAGTCTTAGCTTTCATAACTAGCACTGTTGCATGGACTGTGCATATTAGCATTTTATTTTTGCCCCCCGACATATTAAAATCCCCAACCTTACTGAGGATCCACAGTTGGGTCTCTGGAATGAGAGCCCAGTGTTCGTTAACCATGTGGCCAGCTGGTTCTGCAATACTCATGGTTTTTGTTGCCTACATCATTGACTTGTCCTGGTATTTGTTGCCTATATCATTGACTTGTCCTGGTATTTGTTGCCTACATCATTGACTTGTCCTGGTATTTGTTGTCTATATCATTGACTTGTCCTGGTATTTGTTGTCTATATCATTGACTTGTCCTGATATTTGTTGCCTATATCATTGACTTGTCCTGATATTTGTTGCCTACATCATTGACTTGTCCTGGTATTTGTTGCCTACATCATTGACTTGTCCTGGTATTTGTTGCCTACATCATTGACTTGTCCTGGTATTTGTTGTCTATATCATTGACTTGTCCTGGTATTTGTTGTCTATATCATTGACTTGTCCTGATATTTGCTGCCTATATCATTGACTTGTCCTGATATTTGTTGCCTACATCATTGACTTGTCCTGGTATTTGTTGCCTACATCATTGACTTGTCCTGGTATTTGTTGTCTATATCATTGACTTGTCCTGGTATTTGTTGCCTACATCATTGACTTGTCCTGGTATTTGTTGCCTACATCATTGACTTGTCCTGGTATTTGTTGTCTATATCATTGACTTGTCCTGGTATTTGTTGCCTACATCATTGACTTGTCCTGGTATTTGTTGCCTACATCATTGACTTGTCCTGGTATTTGTTGCCTACATCATTGACTTGTCCTGGTATTTGTTGCCTACATCATTGACTTGTCCTGGTATTTGTTGCCTACATCATTGACTTGTCCTGGTATTTGTTGTCTATATCATTGACTTGTCCTGGTATTTGTTGCCTACATCATTGACTTGTCCTGGTATTTGTTGCCTACATCATTGACTTGTCCTGGTATTTGTTGCCTACATCATTGACTTGTCCTGGTATTTGTTGCCTACATCATTGACTTGTCCTGGTATTTGTTGCCTACATCATTGACTTGTCCTGGTATTTGTTGCCTACATCATTGACTTGTCCTGGTATTTGTTGCCTATATCATTGATTTGTCCTGGTATTTGTTGCCTATATCATTGACTTGTCCTGGTATTTGTTGCCTATATCATTGACTTGTCCTGGTATTTGTTGCCTATATCATTGACTTGTCCTGGTATTTGTTGCCTATATCATTGACTTGTCTGGTATTTGTTGCCTATATCATTGACTTGTCCTGGTATTTGTTGTCTATATCATTGACTTGTCCTGGTATTTGTTTGCCTATATCATTGACTTGTCCTGGTATTTGTTGCCTATATCATTGACTTGTCCTGGTATTTGTTGCCTATATCATTGACTTGTCCTGGTATTTGTTGCCTATATCATTGACTTGTCCTGGTATTTGTTGCCTATATCATTGACTTGTCCTGGTATTTGTTGCCTATATCATTGACTTGTCCTGGTATTTGTTGCCTATATCATTGACTTGTCCTGGTATTTGTTGCCTATATCATTGACTTGTCCTGGTATTTGTTGCCTATATCATTGACTTGTCCTGGTATTTGTTGCCTATATCATTGACTTGTCCTGGTATTTGTTGCCTATATCATTGACTTGTCCTGGTATTTGTTGCCTATATCATTGACTTGTCCTGGTATTTGTTGCCTATATCATTGACTTGTCCTGGTATTTGTTGCCTATATCATTGACTTGTCCTGGTATTTGTTGCCTATATCATTGACTTGTCCTGGTATTTGTTGCCTATATCATCGACTTGTCCTGGTATTTGTTGCCTATATCATTGACTTGTCCTGGTATTTGTTGCCTATATCATTGACTTGTCCTTGTATTTGTTGCCTATATCATTGACTTGTCCTGGTATTTGTTGCCTATATCATTGACTTGTCCTGGTATTTGTTGCCTATATCATTGATTTGTCCTGGTATTTGTTGCCTATATCATTGACTTGTCCTGGTATTTGTTAACACGGTTGACTTTCCTTGGAGGTGTGGTATTGAAATATGTTGGACTGAACCTGAGAACAGTATAACTAGAATGTCTTTGCATTGGAACCCACAGGGGTATATAAGTAAAGGAAGACCTAAAATCACATGAAGAAGGGAACTAGAGAGTAAAGTTAAAAAGATAGGGAGGACATGGGAAGAGCTGCGTGTGATAGCGAAGGATAGGACGACTTGACGTGAGTTGGTTGAGGGCCTATGCTCCATTGGGAGTTAGAAAGGCAGGAGAAGAAGTAGAAGCTGAGTGACTCATGTTTTGGAACAAGACCAACGTTCACAGATGGACAAACAACCAGAACTTTCTGCTAGAGTTTACAGCCAGTGAACATGAAGATGAAGAAACTGTTTATCCCTCATCCTAAGAGGATATCCAATAGAAGACCACAGACAAATGTTGAAAATAGCCACTAGTGCGTGATTGGATTTTATCTGCCGCATGTACACAAAATTTAAGATTGGTGAATCAGCCATGTGCTCTTGTGAACTGGCACCTGAGACAACAAATCCTCCAAGACTGTCCCAAATGCATTTCCAGACAAAACTTCTGCAGAAGTCATCCCCTTATGGGATGCAGTTTTCATTATTTGAAGCCCCATCCGGGTTGGGGGGGGGGGGGGGGGTGAATATAGCTGGGCCATTAATGTGGCTATAATGGCTAAAAGGGGTTTCTAGGATCTCCCCACAGGTGATCCTCATCCACATGGTGGCGCTTTGTCTCACTGGGTGTTTATCGCTTGTGTGATGTCCTGGTGGGGTACAACAAGCAAGCAGACAAAACTTCTGGAGAGACACTCGTGGAAGCCAAACGGACCACTAAGTGAATTAGAAAAGGCAGTGAAGTTCATACTAGAGATGGCATTGCAAATATGGATAAATCTATTTCAAGTGAACGAAATAAGAAGATTCTGTCCATGATCATGAAATGATTGCTCAAGATAGAACCGAATAAAGACTAGGCTGTGAGGACTATCGGGCATAAAGGCCCAACAGGATGTTAATTAAAGAAGTGAGTATACTTGCCTGTTGGGACGGTGGTGGCTTCAAGCTTTCCTGGTGAGAAATATAATCCTGGCTCTGCTGGAGAATCGAATCTGGTCCACTGTGTCGGAGGGCAAACATTTCAGCTGATGTTCAACCACAGATCAGAGCACATGAAAACTCCACTACTGTTCTTACACACCCTGCTGGTTTCTGAGCTTGGAGAGGGGAAGGAGAGCCCTGCTGCACTCTCCCCATGGAGTTAGTACTTCAGTAACCAGTTGGGTGAATTACTCGAGTACCTGATTGGAAGAAGTACTTCACTATCCATTGGGAGTACTTCAGAACTCAGTTGGGAGAAGTACTTCAGTACTCGGTTGGGAGAAGTACTTCAGTACTCAGTTGGGAGAAATACTTCAGTACTCGGTTGGGAGAAGTACTTCAGTACTCGGTTGGGAGAAGTACTTCAGTACTCGGTTGGGAGAAGTACTTCAGTACTCAGTTGGGAGAAGTACTTCAGTACTCGGTTGGGAGAAGTACTTCAGTACTTGGTTGGGAGAAGTACTTCAGGACTCCGTTGGGAGAAGTACTACAGTACTCTCTTGGTAGAATATTCACTACACTAGCACCACTCTCCAGTAGACAGAAAACCATTGTCTGAACTGTCAGTGTATTGTGTGCTGTTACAAATGGTCCAGGATTCTTAACTACTTTGATCAAGAGAGGACCAAACACACAGTGGAGAACATATAGGTCCCTTTTCCATACCTGTAATGTGTATTGGGCACATAGGGCTAGACCTATATTTTTAAAGACCAGTTGGCACTTGGGGGGTGATGTGGTCAGCATCACTCTGGGCGCCTTGACTTTCCAGAACTACATCTGGTACCCACTCAAGGCTTCATCGACCTGGGAGTCAAGGTCATTTATGAAAAAAAAAACTAGTCCAGCTCCGTCACGAAGCGAACACACGACCTTCACATCCACAGGTGATTCTGAGAACATAGCCCATCATAATTTTTTCTTCTGCTGTGTTCGCTCTTAAAAAGACAGTTGGCATGTTTTGTTGTGGTTTACAGCTAGGCTATGATATTTGCGAGCTTCTATGGGGTATAAAGCATGAATGAAACAGAATATGACTGAATTATGTTCACTTGCATTTTGTTGGGGTTTTTATGCCCTTGTTTTGAATTTTCTTGTCTTGTTATCTGTTGTCACAGATCAGAAACCAAGATTCACAGTGGGCTGATACGGACTGTTTCGATGAGAATCCTTACTTGTGCAAGGTTCCACAAGGTGAGCAGACATTCTTAGAATCTGCCAGTTTGTTCTCTTTAGTATCATGTTCTAAAGGTCGTGGGTTCATTTCACAGATGTGTTGTTCAGTTCAGGAGTGCACCCCGTTTGGGTTCCGGGGTCCCATTATGGGAAAAACAAGAATAGACCCACTGCCTCCCCAACAAGCAAGTCATGAAAGTCTACTTATTGGGGGCTTCCTTCAGAGTCGGAAAGCATCTGCCTGAGAGACGAGGAACCATTAGTCTACGTACAAATCCCAAAATACTAATCTTAAATTTAATTTCTCTTTCCTCTTCTATTGTCCTTTGCAGTTCATAGAGACCCTATTTCATTTCCTTAAATATCTTCTTCTTCTTCTGCATTCATCCAAAGATGTAATTGCGTTGTGTCTGTTTACAGCATGGCTGCGATATTTGCACCTTTCGGCCAACACATCCATTTTCTGCGGGCATTTGTTGTCTGGGTTAGCCTTCCCGGTTAGGACATGGCAGTCTCATTGTTGTGTGGTCATCTTTATTTCCCAGGTCACAGGTGGTGCCTTAATCAGGCTGGTCCAGAGAGGCCACATAATGCTGATCAGCCCTCAAGAGAAGGCAGGAGCAGAACATGAGCAATCCCCGCCATCCAAGGAGGCTTCCACAAATGCAGAGCTAATACATGGTGCTCTGGTACTGGGCTCACCCAAGGAATCGTCACGTCCTGCTCATAACTGTTTAACCTCACTTCTATATATTGAACATCTCATACATCATGAGCTATCTCTTTTGTAGCCAACAGTATGCAGCCTGCAGACCTAGGATTTAATTCACCTACACCACAAAATGAGTACTTTGCTTCTTTTGCACGTTAGACTTTTACTGCAGTGGACTTCCTCATCCACTATAGTTTTACGTGGTTTACGAGCTCTGCATCTTTAGGGACTATCAGCTTCCTCATCCACTATAGTTTTACGTGGTTTACGAGCTCTGCATCTCTAGGGACTATCAGCTCAGAGAATCTCGGAGTTTTATTCTTCTTATACCTTCAGATGTCAGTGTGGATATATTTGAAGAAATCAGCAGTCAACTTGAGGTTGTTTGACATCTCCACACAGTTTATCCTCAAAAGTTGTGGGTGTTAGCCAGAATAATTCTCTCTGTTCTGCATATATTGGACATTCTTGCAGCAAGTGTTTAGCCGTCATTTTACCCTTTCCACAGTTACATCATTGTCTCCTATCTTTAGTTTATTGAACAAGTGTTGTTTCAGCCTATTATGTCCTGTGCGGAGTCTAAAGATCACTATTTGTTCTCTTCGGCCAAGTTGGTAGTATGCATCATCCTTCTTGTAGCCTGGATGTTCAGAATCCCATTTGATTCTATATGTGCTTCTTATAAACCTCTTGGCCTCATCATATGTTATGTCTATATCAGGCGGTGGTAGTTCTTCCACCTTCCTTTGCCAATCTGTCAGCCTCTTCATTTCCAGGTATGTTGCAATGGGATGGAATCCATTGTATTATGACTCTTTTTGATTTCTGACTCAGTCCATGGAGTGCAGCTCTAAGGTCTTCTAGTTCTGAATTGTTTTTGTTTTTCTGTGCCGTGACAACTGACTTTGCATCTGTGAAGATAGCTATGTATTCCTCTTTTTGTTTCTCTGACAGAAGCATTTCTGTTGCAGTTCTCAAGGCCTCTGCCTCTGCTCTAAAATTTCTTGAGAACTTTCCATTTGCAATCCTGTGTTTTCTCTGATCCATTTTTCAGATTCAGTAAAAATCCCCCACCTCCATTTTCTGTTAGTTTTTTTTTTTTTTAGCCATCTGTATATGTATGTGTCCAGGTGTTACTTCGATACTGTTCTTTTATACAGTGTAATGTGATTTTTATTCTGTCTGTTTCATTCTGAATGTTCTTTTTCTCAGTACTAGGAATATTTTTTATCAACTCAGGCAGGTACTGCTGTCTCTAAGTAGGGAGCCTGTATGTAATGTGGACGTGTTTTGATGTTATTAAGTTAAGTACATGATTTTCCCTGAACTAAGTTGTTGCAGTCTCTACAAAGTTGTTTCGCTTTCGTCTTCCATTTTCTAGACGATATGACCTTTGATACATGAGGGGATCTGTAACCCTTCTAATTTTTTTCTGCTTGTTGCTGGGCTCTCCTGTCTCTCCAATCCCCCACTGGTTGCAGGCATGTAAGCTTTTCTAGTTCATTAAAATGTGTTGATTTCATGGCTATAATTATAATCCGCATTTCTTGATTTTGTCTTTACTACTGTTGCCCAGGCCGTATTACCGTATTCAAGGACTGGCCTTACTCATCCAAAGTATAGTTTCTTGAGAACTTTCTTATTAGCTTTCCATGTTGTGCCAGCAAGTTTTTTTCATAATTGCTGTTCTTTAACTTGCTCTCGTTTGACTTGCCTCTAATTTTATCTTGCATATCAGGCAGCAATTAACTGCGACACCTAGGTATTTTGGATTGTTATCTTGAAGAAATATTTTTTCTATTAACCACAAGCTTAACTGATTGTTTTGTTTATTTGAGAGAGAGAACACAGTGCATTTTTGTTTTCTCTTCAGGGATATTTACTAGCCATGTTTTTTCATCAATACCTCTAATACTGCAAGACTTGCTGCATCCTACTGTTGGCTACATTGATATATTCTTCGCTAGTCCATATAGCTAAGTGGTCTGCGAAGAATGAGGTGTGCATTCTGGTTTTAAAAAAATGTGTAATATCATTTATATATGCTAAGAATAATGTTGATGACAATACTCTTCCTTGGGGTACACCTTGTTCTAAAACCATTTTTTGTTGTTGCTAGTTTGTCCTTGTACTTTTGTCCTGGCAGTTCTATTCTCAAGGTAGTGGCTGATCCAGTTGTACATTTTCCCACAAACATGCATTTTTTTGCAGTTTTACTTTGAATCCCTCCTTCCACACTCTATCAAATTGTTTTTCTAAGTCTACCCAGACTGCTAGTGTGTGTTTTTTCTCTTGAATGGCATTCTCTATTTCCTGGGCTATATATGTTATTTGGTCTTCAGTGGATCTGTACTTTCTAAATCCTGCCTGTTGTGGAGTTAGTAGGTGCTTTTCTTTTAGATGCCCCATTAATCTGTTATTTATAATGCGTTCCATCAATTTCCCTACACAGCTAAGTAAGCTGATTGGTCGATATGCATTTGGTTCTACCAGGTCTTTTCCTTTCTTCTGGACTGGTATAAGTAAAGCTTCCTTCCATGCCTGAGGGACTATTCCTCTTTCCAGCTGCAGTTAAAGACTGCTAGTAATTGCTTTTTTGCCTTAGTACCAAGTCCTATTATCATTTCATTTGTGGTCTCATCATTCCCTGGTGATTTCTTCTTTTTCAGGTAACTCACTGCCCACTCCAGCTCTTCCATATTCAGATTTTCCATCATAAATTCTGAGTTCTCTGTGTTATTTGGACATGTCCGTTGATCTTTCATTGCTTTTTTTGTGTTCTGTTGTGATATCAATGTGGTTTGCACTAGCATAGTATTCCATCAGTGTATTTGCAGCCTTTTTTCCTGTTAGTATGTTGTTACCCTGTTTTATAGTTATTTGTTTGTTGCTAGGCCCTTCATTGTTCATGGCTTTTACTAATTTCCACAATTTATTTCCATCTTTGTCCAAGTTAAGGCTTTCTGTTTTTTCTTGCCAGGTATTTCTAGTTGTTTGATTTAATATTCTTTTGTATTTTGCTGAAATGGCTTTCAGGGAAATGTTTGCTTCAGTTGTTTGTTCTCTCTCTGCTGTCTTCCTGGCCTCTTCAACTTTTTCCTCCAGGATCTGCAATTCTTTGGTCCAGTATGGTTTGTAATTTTTTCTCGCACCTCTTGGAATGCACTCATATGCTGCCTGCAGTACTGCTTTGTTTAGACTTTCTACTATTGTCTTCATGTTGCCATATCGTGTGTTTTTGTTTTTACAGTACTCATCTGTCAGCAAAGCAAAATTATTCCAGTCAGCTCGTTTTTAATTCCATCGAGGCAATGGTTTCTGCTCATGTGGGACATAATCCATATTTACAACAAGCTTTATTGGTCTGTGATTGCTGCCTGCTAACTGATCTAGTACACTGCTATCAGTTTTGTGAAGAATATCTCCTGTGCAGAAGGCTAAGTCAGGAGTGGAAAATATGCACCATCTTCTAGAGTAGAAGCTGGGTTTGTCTTCTGGTTTGTTAATTAAATGAAGATTGGAGTCTATTTCCCAGTCCTCCACTTCATCTCCTCTGGTGTCAGTATCTGGGTATCCCCATCTTTCTGAGCGACTGTTAAAGTCTCCAACTACAATGCAGTTTGTGTCATTTATTTCCATTCTTGAAAGTGCAAGAACTTTGTTTGCTGGGCTATATAAATTGTATATTCTGATTTTCTCCTCCTTTATCATGATATCAACGCCTATAATTTCTGATTCGTTATTTGAGTTTACAGCTACTTCACTGCTTGGTATAGAGTTTCGAATAAGTATTAGGACTCCTCCCTTGTGCCATTCACGGTCGCAGCGAGGCAAGGGGCCCGGCACTATCTCTGCCTGGCGGGGCTCCACGAGATAGCACCATATCAATATATTTTCATTTGTGACATCATGAAATTTTGGGCGTGTCTCTCTTTGTCTGGTTCCTCTCCTTCGACCTGTCTGACATGGGAAACCCTACCAGTAGCTAAACTACCGCCGTCAGCAGAGCTCTTAGGGTCATTGCGACACACAAGCCCCTCTACCACTACAAGGTGGAGACACATCAGAGGGGGTTTCCTTAAATATAAGACGATCCCAGCTATAAAGCACACCTTGATTTTGAGACAAGAAAGTTGGGAAAGGGGGGGGGGGGGGGGGGGGGGGGGGGGGGGGGGGAATAGAATTACATCAAAATCTACTGCCATTGTATAAGACGCACACTGTTTTTATTCTATATTTTTGGAATATAAGTGCATCTTATAGTTGAGGAAATGTAGTAGTTCTGCCATTCTGGAGATTTAGCCAGGTGAAGGTTGTAAACAGTTCTTTTGTTTATTATTATAGACCGCCCACACACACACACACACACACACACACACAAACAGTAAAAGTCAACTAACTATGGGATCCTTCGAAGTCAAAGTCATTTGCTCAAGAGGCTACGAATCAACAGACTGCAAACAAGCCAGATCAGTGAAATGGATGTCCACAGGTTCTGGAACAAGTCTAAAATCCAAAAGTGGACAGACAACAAGAAGTTTCTGCCGGAGTTTATAACTGGTGAACACTAAAAAGAACATAAGTTTGTGTTCAATAGTTTTATAACTTTATACTTTATTCACGTTCATTTCAGTGGTGATCACAGGGATCAATCCTTTCCAGACTTTGCCCAGTGGCCAGACCAGGCCAAATGGGTTCAATACCAGGCCAAATGTGTTCAATAGTTTTATAACTTTATATTTTATTCACGTTCGTTTCAGTGGTGATCACAGGGATCAATCCCTTCCAGACTTTGCCCAGTGGCCAGACCAGGCCAAATGGGTTCAATACCAGGCCAAATGGGTTCAATACCAGGCCAGCTGTCCCACAGGCTAATGCTGGGAAAGACACCGGTAGTTCTAGCACTTCTAGTAAGTCTGTTATTCTCTTCTTCTCTGTCTGCCCATACAATGCTGGTTGGCATGTTTTGTTGTGTTTTACAGCTAGGCTGAGATATCTGCAGCTTTTGGCATGACACGTCCGATTTTAGTGAACCCTGAATTGGTCGCCTCTTGTCATTCAGTAGGTCTATTTCTCCGTCCCTGTATGTATGTATGTATGTATGTATGTATGTATGTATGTATGTATGTATGTATGTATGTATGTATGTATGTATGTATGTATGTATGTATGTATGTATGTATGTATGTATGTATGTATGTATGAATGTATGTATGTATGCATGTTTGTATATATGTATGTATGTGTGTGTATGTATGTATGTATTATGTGAGTTTGTATGTATGTATGTCTGTATGTGTGTGTGCATGTTCGTATGTATGTGGATGTATGTGTGTACTTAGTGCCTATATGTTTGTGTGTAAGTCATTGGGCTTGTGGGTGTGTGTGTTTCGCGCGTGAGCGTGCGTACATATTTTACCAGCCATGCTTTTGTTTTTGACTTCATATATTTAATATGCATATTATTACATAAATATAACATGCTTCATTGATGAAATACAACTGCTGTGTGAAAGATGGAAGTTTGGAAGGGCCGAATGTAAGACAGGCCTGCGTGCCTAATTTGTAACCCTTTGAAAATAAAGTTCGTTCGTTCGTTCCCTCCACCCCGTTCCCTAATGGGGCCTTAAACTCATGTAGGTGGGTAACAAGTCTCTTGGTATGTACAGTTTTCAAATCATCTTCTCGTCAGTTTGCATAGTGTATGGCTTTATACTAAAAAGACAACAAAATAAGATGCTTTTTTTTTTTAATTTATTTATTTGAAACCGGTTTATGCTGCGGCTGCATGGGTTTTTCTCATGGTGTGGAGTGTCGATGGTCTGTAAAAAAATATGGGCGCTTTTCCCATATACCCGATATGCCTAAAGGCTTGAAAAGGGATCTTTACTTTTACTTATGCTGCACTGGACGTAATTGCATGCGTTGAATTTGATCATGCCATAGTCATGTGCGGCGTCCGTGGCTAAGGCGTAGCGAGTCCGACTCGTAAGCCGGCATACCGCGATCGAAACCCACTGCAGGCTGCGTGGATTTTTGTCGTGGTATGGGACGTCGCAGGTTGACCCAGCCTAAAATGGGTACCAGGATTGGCTGTCCTGGGAAAGTAAAGACAGCCGGCGTAATGCTGACCACATTACCCACAGAGTGCTGATGGTCTGTAAAAATATGGGACGCTCTGCCCATATGCCTGATGCGCCGAAAGGCATGAAAAGGGATCTTTACTTTACTTTACATAGTCATGTGGCAAGTACTGCCCAATGAATGAAAGAGAACTCACTTATCATCCCATATTGCATTGGTTTCTGACCATTGAGAAAATGGGTCAGGTTGATCCCAGATCCATCCGAAGAAGCTCAAATAGCAATGATTCAGTTTCTTTCATTTGAAATATGTCGACCAGTGGACATTCATCAAGGGCATATTGTTGCAACAACAACAAAAATCACAGTCGTAAAAATGGATACAGCCAGCAAAATAATTCTTGTCTCAGCACAGTGGACAAAGTTGTGTGTATGAAACTATGGTTCTTTATTAATATCCTACCCCAGATGACGTCACAGGATAGTCCAACATTTTAGAGGGTGGTAAGACTGGGTTTTCTGGCTTTCTGATGCTTTTAACGACCACAAAACATTTAGAACTGGCCCTAAACCCAACCCACTTACGTCCCACGAGAGAGTGCAGCCTAGGTCCCATGACTGCATAGAGCCTATCTACCACCCCCTGAAATATTAGACTGTCAGGTGACCTGTGGATTTTCCCTGTTTGGGGTAGGATTTTAATAAAGCACCGGAAAATACAATAGTGGAAGGTATGTTCACAGTGGGTACCACAGATGTGGACTGATCACCAAAAGAGGAAACCATGGATGATGTCTCAACCCCTTTGATGTGTTACAGAGCAGAGCGAAATGTGTTTCATTTCTTCATGGTGGCAGATGATGAATCACGAGGAAACCGTGGATGATGTCTCAACCCCTTTGATGTGTTACAGAGCAGAGGGGGATGCGTTTCATTTCTTCATGGTGGCAGATGATGAATCACGAGGAAACCGTGGATGATGTCTCAACCCCTTTGATGTGTTACAGAGCAGAGGGGGATGTGTTTCTTTTCTTCATAGTGGCAGATGATGAATCACGAGCAGTATAAGAAGAAAGTCGGCACAGAACTAATTCTAGATTACATTAAAGGCAGCAAATTAGATGGTTTGCGGCCTTAGAGAGAATGCCTTGTGATGCCATAATGTACAAGCCAAAATAGAAGATGGAAAGAAGAGCACGAGGTGGACCAAGAACTATATGGAAAGCTAACATTAAAGAAACTCTGCAACAGAGCATGTGTGTCTATGGTCAAAGTGGCAAGAAAGAAGCAGAACTTTATGTCTGCCTCAACGCTCATAAATAGAAGAAAGAAGCACTGGAGAGCATGCACTGGAAAGAATTACGCTGGAATGGGACGAGTCATTTGCAGTGAAGTTGAAACCTCGACTACTACTGCTACCATTACTTGCAACTTTAGGGATTTGAACTCTGACTGCTGGGTCAGTAGGCAGAGTACTAGATAGTGTGTTATTGCAGCTCCTTATATTTTGATAATTTGGCTTTCTTGTTTCTGTTCACTTCTCCCGTTTATGTCATTCAGCAGTTGTGATTATTTGCTTTGTTGGAAAATGCAGAAGCTTTATCTACTTTCTCATTCAGGTCTCAGCAGTGGCGGAGTTGCCGGAGTGGTTGTGGGATCCCTGCTGTTAGTGACACTGGCTGTCATATTTGGTACTCTAGTATACCGTCGTACTCACGGACTGAACATTGATCCATTTAGCAGACAGCAGCAGACAGTACCGGCTTCTGGCATTGAGAATGCCAGTTACAGTACAAGTGATGGAGCCAAGCTGAACTTGAGTGAAGCCTGACCTGTGTGAATATTGCATGTGATAGAAGTTTGCGTTCTGCGATGTCAGTGTTACTGAAATAACCTGTTTTCTCTCTTCCATTTTTGTCGCTCATTTTCAGGTTAAGAAAAGACATTTAGTGCGTGTTTTATTTGTGGTGATATTCTGTTGCAGCTGTTTACAGATATTCCATTCGTTCGGTGTTTACCAGGGCAGCTTCTTGCTTATGTTGTGTTTTAGAAAGAAAGAAGTGAAAGATTACTTGGAATAATGGGTTGAAATTAAACATTTTTTTTAGCTTTCACATCTATCTGCTTTTATGTGTAATTAATTTGGATAGCAGAATACAAAGTTACCAGAGGAATTATTGTCTGATTCTCAGTCGGCGATGCGGAAGGCTCAAAATGGACTAATGTGGCATAAGTGGATACCAAGCAAATGTTGCAGAGAATCACGTGGATATACTGTCCAGGAAATGCAGGAGTGTGAGGGAATGAAAGAGCAGATTTTCTGGCTACAAAAGCAATGGCTAAGGCAACATTCATACTGGACAAGGGAGACATTATGAAGACCATATATGAACGACTGCTGACAGAAGACACAAGGTTAGATGAAACAGCATTTATAAGAATGTGTGGACGTGGTATTATGAGGGCATCTGGCAGGTACGGGCATATGGGAGGAACAGAACGATGTGTGTATAATCAGAGTGTTATGGGAAAATTGTGCATCTACACCTTAAGACATTTGCTGCAGGAGACAGAGCACATATGGGTATGCCCTTTGTGCTTTGATGTCAATTCTCAAATCAGATTCAGTAGTTATTCTTGTGTGGCTGCCAGTTTTTTTTATGTTTCTCACAGGCTTCACAAAGTTAATCGTTTATTCTGTGTAGAATGACTGTTTAGTGTTCTCTCCCCCCCCCCCCCCCAACTATAGTGCCACCTTTGTTTTTCAAATCACAGACTACACCCACATTTGAACCGGTCCTCATATCTCAGATTTTAGGTTGACATATTTTGAAAAATTAACAATAATAATAATAAAGTCCATTGTCTGTTGGAAATGAAAACAAACTGACAATCTAAAATGCTGCGCATGTAAAAGAACAAGTAGAGAACCTCTTGCTTTGCCCTACCACGTGTAGCTCTGGGGCCTCATTTTAGGGGACACAAGAATGATCATTATGTAGCAGGTTCTTGGCAGAATGTCACAGCCAGGTCTCCTGCCTTATTCACTTTCCCCACCCAGGGTATCGCTTACATCCCATGCCTATCTTTGTGCGGGTCGACTCCTGTGCCTTTTTTCTGGCACTACACCGTCCGCTATTCTTTTCAAACCATTGTGTTGGATATGCCAAAATATTACAGTTTCCAAGACAAGATGCTGTTTATGAGCCAGTCTTCCTTTACGTTCAGAATGTGAATATTTCTTTTCTTCTTGGTCCATGACATTCGGAGTTTTCCCTTCGCGGAGTCTTGAGAACAGAGTGATATGTCTCAGAACTCTCCAGTCAGTACTTTTAAAAAAGATGGTTGCTAACCAAAAGAAGATAGAATCACTCAGAAGAAATAAACGACAGACCGCCATGGGTAGCATTGAAGTTGGAGCTCTGAACTGGCTACCAAAGATGGAGACAGAGCACTTATGATAATGTTCGGAGTGCTATGATGTCAATTTGTAACTCAGGAGATTAATTCCAGTGTAATCATCTGAGTGCTGTCTTTATTAATTAAATGAAAGGATGCACTGTATGTTTCACATGTTTGTTTGAAATAATTTACCCTGAATTTTATATGTAAGATGATTTACTTTGTGCGTTATTTTGAAAATAATTTATTGGGTGCTGTTGACGATCGATAACTGTGACCTTTAAATTAAGTTACGCACTGCGTGCTGTTTCATTCATAAACCATTGGACTGCTCGGGGTGTGAGCTAATTCTAGATTATTTCAGGGACACAAGGTTATTCGAGTTGCGGCATGTCGCTGTTCATTGCGGTGTTCTGTGCGAGACGCATTGACCGATGTTGCTGTTCATTGCGTCATTCCATGAGATGTCCCGGACGGAATAGACACACCCCTGTGACCCATAAGAGTCCAAGAAGCTATGAATGGAAGCTCAATGTCACGGTTACCGTAAACAGCACCATTGATTGTGTTCACTATATTTTGAGATTTTAAAAAAAGAAAATTTTCAATTGTTTTCTTTACTTTTCATATGTAGTCTTCATGGCTGATTTGAGCTAGAGGTCAGTTTTTGTTGTAAAGTTCATAGTCCTGAACTGTTCCCCTTACAAGCATGTCCTGAAAGTCTAATGTCCTGAACTGTTCCCCTTACAAGCATGTCCTGAAAGTCTAAATTTTGATCTCACATTTTATTTATCATAGAATCCAGGAAACTTACAAGTTAGATATTGTGAGGGCCCTTTGGAAACGGGTGAACAGCGTGGAGGCGCAGATGGATCATGACGGTCTGAGGAGAATGACACTGCGAGGAGTTACCAGGGGATCTGGCCGTCACTCAACACTCAGGGGAAGGATGAGACGGATATACAATCAGATGGTTACTGGTACCATCAGAATTGGAACTCTTCGCTTGCTGCTGAAGATGGGACTGAGCACTTATGGGAGTGTCCCGAGTGCTGTGATGTCAATTCTTAATTCAACATCCAGAAAACTCATCACTGTCAAAACTCCATCTAATAGTTCTTGTCCTCATCTGTGTCTGATGAAGAATCACTGTTTTCATATATTAGCTCATCCTGAGTTCCATCTGTGGAATTTGAAAAGCCACATCTCTTGATTGCGGCATCCGTGGCTTAGGCATTGCCAGTCCGTCTCGTAATCCCAACGTACCGCGATAGAAATCCACTGCTGGCTGCGTGGATTTTGATTATGGTATGGGGCGTCGCAGATCGACCCACCCGAAAATGGGTACCAGGATGGCTGTCGTGGGGAAATAAAGACTGCGTGTGTAATGCTGATCACATTACCCACCCAGTGCCGATTGGTCTGTGAAAATTTGGGACACTCTTCCTGTATGCCCGATGCACCTAAGGCGTGAAAGGGAATCTTTAACTTTACTTACATCTCTTGATTGGCTGGACAGTGATCTCAATCTTCCCATTATCCCATGATCTTTTCACCCGAGTACAAACTTCTATAGTTGGTTTCTTCACACCACCTGCTGGTGTCAGATCGTCCCCTGAAGACTTCGTCCATTGGCTCATTCGTCTCTCATGGCAACTCTGAAGGGTTTGTTAATGCTGACATCAAGTGGGTGAAGCTGGTATATTGGCAAGTTTTGTTTTATTCTCGGCAGCAATTTTCTTGCTGTTGGGTGTGCCCTGAACTGATTAAATAAAACCAGTAGGCCAGGTTTGTGCAGTCTACCTGGTCTTCTGCTCCAAAGATTTCTCAAAACAGACATTTATCCCTTCCTGATCCATCTGACCTGTCATGAACAATCACACCTCAAGGAATACCTTCTTTTTTTTTGGGCATCGTTTTGGATATAATATTTTCTAACAAATCATTTAGTAAAAACAGATCTATGACCAATATATTCTTCTTTGTTTGTGTTCATGGCTGTGAATTTGCTACGAAACATGTGCTCTATGCTCGACAACGTCAAAGTATTGAAGTCAGAAGAGAAACATTATTATGGCCTGGAGAGAATGATGCATCTGGGTGTAACCTGAGGGTCTGGCTGGCACACCGCACTCAAAGGAAAGGAAAGACGGACATAACCAGATTATGACCCATACCATTAATATTGGAACTCTGCCCTGCCTGCTAAAGATCAGGACGAAGCACACATGGGAATGCCCCGATTGCTGTGATATCAATTCTTGACTCAAACTCCCACAGAAAGTCCCAGTTGTTCATCTATTTGGTTTTGACTTTGTGCCAGGACCTGAGTTTTGCACGTATGTCTGTTTTACTGGCTTATTTGTGAGCATTTCTTGTTTCAAGCCTATCAGGCAGATATATTCCAACTTCTAAGGAAGACAATTCTATATCTAGGACAACTGTAGCCATTGTTTCATGGGACATGATTTTGGGCTATTATATAAGGCGTGCTGTTTTGTGTGTGTTGTGTATGTCATACTTGGGGGGGGGGGTGATGATAAGGAATTTTTTTTTAAAGCCTGAGAGATGAGGAACCAAAAGTCTGCAGACAAAATAAGCTTGATATGTAAAACAGATGTGCATCCAAAACTCACTCTGGAACTGGAGTGTATAGCCGGTAAATGCTAAGAAGCAGAAGAAAATCAAATATATCCCACAATTAATCAAATCATGAACAAAAGAAATTACAACACAAAATTAAATGTCAACAAGCAAGAATTGTAGAACATCATTTTCTATTCATCACACATTATATACATAATTTGTCCCATATTATATACATCATATACATTTGTACAAAGGTAGAATTGATAGAACTGCCTCTGGTGTGAACTTTCTAGTTTCATCAGTGAAAAACAAGGAGCAGGAAATTGCAATTTGACGACTGCTAGGCTGGAAACTCCGTGCAATGCCCCCTAAGTCAGTTTTCACCAGTGGTCAGTCAGTCATGGAAGACTGCATTCCCTGTTCAGATCATTGATTCTCAGAAATAAAATGACCCTGGACTCTTTCCGGCAGATTTTAAGTAATGAATTTTTTTCAGAATCATACACACACATATGGTCTTTGTAAATCTTCCTAGACAATTGCTTTTAATGGCAATTTCAAAATTACCATTGTACGACTCATAATTCTAAGCATTTTTTTTTCTATTTTCCCATTGAAACTTTTTTTTTTAAATGCATCCGTTCCATTTTAAAAAATGCATGTACTCATCTCTAGCACTTGCAGATTTCAACACATATAATTCAGACCAATAAATAAACGTTCATTCTTCATCCTGACATATTCCTGCTCAAAACATTTGATTACGTATGTGATATGCATTGAAACAAACAGCCCACTATCTATTGGTCTAGCAAATGAAAGCATACTACCGTTATTTCTGTAAAGCAACATAATTGAACAATTTAGCAGAAACAAATGATTTGGTCATGGTGAACTAATAATGAGTCTCGATAAGGAAAGCATGGATACTGACAAAGGGAATCACAGATCTTGACAACAGAACTGGATGATAACAGACAAATTATTGATCTTAAGAAAAGAAGTGTGGGTTTTCACAAAGCAAGCATGGATGTTGCTAGACAAAGGAAGCATGGATGTTGCTAGACAAAGCAAGCATGCATCTAATTCATAAAAGCAACCATCAGAAAATCCAGCAGGGCTAAGCAGACCCCAGAGTTAGTGAAATTGTTTTGTCTAGATTGAAAAGAAACAAATTTGCTACAAGATTGTTGGAGAGAGACCAGATGCAAAAGATCTAGAAGCATCATCTGTTTAAGAAGTATTACAACTAAAATATCAGTCAAGCAGTTTGTTCAAGACAAATGTGGGTAAGTAGCATTCTACCTTCCATGTTGTAAGTGAAATATCCTTCCATGAAATACTTCACAGGTGACGTTTAAAAACTCTAAACCATTTTAAAGCCAGAACAAAAAAAATTGTGAAACTTAACATGTCTGATAATGGGAATGATTTATTCAGAAGTAATGAGACAATATACATAGCATGTGGAGTAATACTGTGTAAGTTCTCTTGCACATTGCGGGCAGAACCAGGATGCATATATAATATGTATCTGTGGAGCATTTAATATTTTTCCTGAGTTTTTTTTTTTTTTTAGTAGTGGTTCCTTAGGTGATTTTACTTGCCAGATGGCACATTTACTTTCTTTTGCATATTCAAAGCTATTTTTATTAAAACAATGATGCTATAAAATTCTGCAGGAACTAACTCCATTATGATGTAAATTAATTGTATAAAAACATGAGAAATCAACTCATGACTGCATGGGTACCACGATGGGAAATCATCATGTGTTTTCAGGAAAGCAAGTGTAGGTGTTATTTCAACTTTTGATAATTCTAGACACACTTTTAGTAAGGATTGCCGGCAATAAGAGAAAAAGTAGGCCATTTAGCATTTCTTTGAGTTTCTAAGTGTGCATTTTCGTAGGTGGATAATACAGATCTCGTTTCTGAGCATTTATTTACAACATTTTGTGACAGCCATTCTTTAATGGTTTGACAGTTTAAACAAACTTTTTATCAGAACCTCAGCGGGAAGAGTCATTCATTTGACAAAATATGGCCGCCAGCAAGGGGGAGATTACTTGGAATGGTAATATCAGATAACATTCCAAGCTTCTGCCTGATTGGCAGCTGACTAACAGCAAAAGCTAGGAAATACGAATGGACCTGTTTCATATAACACTTTCATTCAAGCTTTCTACTTTAAGCGCAGTCATGTCAACTGTAACAGTGTTTTTATCTTGGCTATCACAGGATTTGTTCAGTTCAGATTTGGGAATAATGTAGGTGGCGCTTTGGTGGTTCTTCAGATCGCTGTCTTCAAGTAAAGGTGTGGTGGTTGAGATCACTTCTGGTATTGCAATGTGTTTCACACTGGGCGACTTCCTTGTCAAGCTATTTCTTCTTGAAGCCGATTCCCTGGGCTTGTAGATTCGTGAGCTGGACGATGCTAGGAACATTCTGGATGAAGCAGCAGATGGCAGGTAGGACGACTGTGCTGAAGATTCGGAATCGCTGTCACTGTCGATGCAACCCATGTCAATGTCAGGGACAGGTCTCAGACAGCTACAGCGATTAATGCAGCACTGACAGCAACATTTGCTGAACGGAACTAACAATTTGTTTAAACATCTGTCAACAGGAGCCAGTGACCTCATGAACTCTGGCAGAAAGTTCCAGGTATGAAGCCTGACAGGTAAAAATTTTCTTAAACAATCGTATCTCTGCATGACATTGATAACGACAATCAAAGTAATCATCCCGGATAAGACGCAAATGAAAACAACAAAGACAATGCGACCAGCAAATGAAACAGCAAAAAACATAGCAGGAAATATTAGAAACATAAACACAAGGTAAGCAATGGCAAACCACCGGTAGCAGGCTGTAGTGCGTCCCAGATACTTGGCGATGTTGATGACCAGAAGTCGCATCTTGGGGATTGGGTAGAACAGCAGAATCCCAGAGATGTTGAAAAACAGGTGACAAAAGGCTAGCTGGAGGGCCACAGATATGGTAGAAGATGATGCGGCCAGTGCAGCTAAAATACCTGGTGAAAGACAGAAAACATTTGTTAATTCCGAATCCATTTTTTACAGTTTGCTAATTCAATATGGTGGTGTAGTAGCTACATGCTTTGCCTCAGCCCGAAGATCTTGGGTTAGAATCTTTGCTGATTATTTTTCTTAAATATGTTGTCTACCAGGTCGACCCAGCTTAAAATTGATACCAGGTAAATTCCTGGGAAGTAAAGGTGCCTGGCATGATGATGACATCACACCCACAGAGTGTCGAATGGTGGTCTGTAAAAATGAACTTAGCACCATATATCTCATGCACGACTGACGTAGAAAGGATACTTTAGTTGACTCATTCCTACATCTTGACTTTGTCTTAGGCTTTCAGAGCAGTGTTTCTCAACGTGAGTGTCCCAGACTTTTAGAGCAGTGTTTCTCAACGTGGGTGTCCTAGACTTTTAGAGCAGTGTTTCTCAACGTGGGGACCAAAACTGTGAGAGACACTGCTAAACTGCTATTTTGGATACAGGAATATCACATTTGCCAGACAGTGTCTAAAGTGTTAAGAAGATTGTTCTGTCAAACTCCTTGGCCTTATACTTGTCCCTCGAATGTATTATGTGGACTTTCCAATCATTTAACCACCTTATTATTCTGTTCTTCATTTCTCCCCCCCACCCCTAATGTAACATAGGCCCTCAACCAACTCAGGCCAAGGCATCACATCCTTTGCTATTGCATGCAGCTCACCCCGTGTCCTTCCTATCTTTTCAACTTCATTCTTCACATGTTTTTTGGTCTGCTTTTATTTCTAAGTCCCTCTGTGTTCCAGTGTAAAGACATGCTAGTTATATTTTAATTAGGTTCTCTCCAGTGTGTCCATCCAGAGTCAACCTTGTTTAACCACCAACCATTCATTATCTATATCTATAATTAAAACATGAAAATACAAAGTCACAAGCTAACCTGTAAAAGTTGTTCCAATGTTGGATCCAAGAGTCAGTGGATACATGCGCTCCAACTTCAGGCAACCGATTCCAACCAGTGGAGTCAGGGCACTGGTAAACACTGAACTACTCTGCACCAGGATGGTCATGCCCGCCCCAACAACCAGAGCGGCATAGCCAGTCAGCCAGTGGAAGGGTCGGGGGAAGTCAGCGTTGATGGTCTTGCGGGCAGCTTTGGCAATGTGCCCTCCGAGCAGCGAGTGCAGCAGCTTCACCAGGGCGTACAGGCACAGCGACAGCATGATGATGGAAGCAATAAACAAGAGGATGCCTGATGCTGTGTCGTTCCAACCAATCAGGCTCATCAATGTCTCACCTGAAATGGAAACCAAATCAAATATATAAAGGCATTTGAATCTAATGCAGACAAATTGAATATATGCATTTTAATCTAATCAAACATAGGCATTTGAATCTAATGCACAAATCATTCATTTCTGTTTAATGCAGACAAATAAAATATAGGCATTTCAATCTAATGCAGACAAATAATAGGCATTTCAATCTAATGCAAACAAATCAAATGTAGACATTTCAATATAATGCAGACAAATTACAATATTGGCATTTAAATCCAATGCAGACAAATTTTAAAAATAAAATTCAGACAAATCAAATTTGAATTGAGGCAGTTAACAAAGCGAAAGCTAGCAAGCCCAACTTTTTTTGCAGATTTGAAAGGGATGGTGGAATGCTCTTAAAAATACTTATCTCTGCAATTGCAACCCCAAACTTCTCTTGTCACTAGATATTTAGATGAAGATACTGTTGCAGATATTTATTGCCAGCTTTTGGTACTAAACTTTCCACATTCATCCTCTGCTACTCTTAGCCTTATTTTCCCACATACTGCAAAGTCTCTATACTGTCTATTTATACCACAAATGTCGGTCTTATATCTTTTTTTTTAAACTGCTCGTTCCTTTAAAAAGGCAAGTTGTAGGGTGGATTACAGCTAGGCGGAGATATCTGCACTTTTCAGCCTAGCAAACCTTTTATATGACTCCTGATTAATCACTGTTTAAGAGATGCTCCTTGGGGTCAGTGGGCCTATTCTTTATTCCACCCAAAATCCCACATTGGGACTTAATTATAATTATACAAGCCTGATCCAATATTGCTCAACTTTGTTTACTACTTCTTCGCGTTCACCAGCTGTAAACTCTGGCGGCAGGTTCTGGTTGCTCGTCCACTAATGAACTGCAGTCCTGCTAGAGAACCTGAGTGTTGCGTGTGCATCAGTTTTACAGATCTCATTCTCTTGAACACAGACTGTTGGTTCCTTGCCTCTCCGGCAGATGCACTCCGACTTCAAAGGAAGCTCCCTAATTAGTTGACTCTTACGACATGCTTTTGGGGAGGCAGTGGGTCTATTCTTGTTTTCCCCACAATGGGGCCCCGGAACCCACACGGGGGTGTTTACTACTGATGTTCCTACTTGTCTTATTCCTTCATTTCCGACACTTCTTGCTACTACCATTACAGTGCATTCCCATTGTCCTTCATTCCATATCGCGCATGCAGATAATGAGTGTTGTTAGGGATAAAAGTTGTTAAAATATCTTTGATATCAACACTGCCAGTCAAAATGCTACAACTAAACAAAATAGTACAGCGGACAAAGACAGCTTTCAGTTTTTAACAACTTACAATTCCAATTGAACAATTACAAGCTGAAATATCCATCAACAACATACACAATTTAAAAAAACATGCTTACATTTCTCTCCAGGAGTAACCTTCTCCACGGTTTCATTGCTCATCACCCAGGATACCGACCCAGTGATGTTATCCGTGACGGTTTTATTAACAAGTGTGTCCTCCCTTGTTGTGTTGAAGCTGCAGTACACCTGATGGGGTGATAGAAATTGTATAAAATTGCAGTGAACATGATACAGTGTGTGACATGAGACAAATGAGGTAGGATACCCAAAGAGGCAGGACAGGACATCAAATGTAGCTAAGGTTTTATTTAAATCAACTGATTTAGCAAGAGCTTTATAGCGTTCTGGTTCTTCATGAAAGTGGTGATCTTCTTCATATTCACTGGGAAAGTTCTGGTTCTATGTGAAAGTGGTGGTGATTCAAATTCACTAGCTGTAAACTCAAGACAGAAAGTTCTGGTTCTTCGTCCACTTTTGAGCTTTAGTTTTGTTCCACATTCTGAGATTTCTCTCTAATCTTTTTTTTTCATGTCAAGGACCCTTTCGACGCCTTCAGGTGAATTGGGCGTACAAAGCTAGACCTTTATTATTTTTAAAAGAACGTGCATTTGATAGGTCTGGTTTATTTCGTATTTAATATGCAGACTGCTGGTCTCTCACCTATCAGGTATTGTTATCTGACTGCAAGGAAAACTCAGTTGACTTTTATAATACGCTTGTGGGGGGGGTGGGGGGGGGGGAGGCTCCAGAAATAAGTGCTGTTAATACGGGGACCTTTTTCTGATCCAGCAGCAAAACACTTTAACCATGGGGACTATTGCAAAGTCGTCTTTTACCTCCCCCCAAGCTAAAAATTCTGCAGAGTATGGAAGACAAGCACTAGAACTTGCTAGCTGCAGTGATGCAGATTGGGTAACCTGATTAAAGTCAAGCACACTGTGCAGAGATTAGCTGCAAGTTAATATTCTTGTCTCTAGTAGGTTTGAGGTATTTCTGTTCTGTTAGCCAGTGAAGAAGTATGTACCGTCTCATCAGATGGCGAAACCACCCCACCTGATGTAACACTAACAGTAATCGTAACTAAACAAAACTGTTTATTAAAACAGAATTAAAACGTACGGCTACTGAGAATATCAAAGTCCCTACCTTTAGCAAAGGCTTGTCCATGTACTCATTCTTGCCTTCAGCAATGGCGGTAATGACATTCTTGTCAACCTAGTTACCAAAAAATATGCACACAAATTAAATTTTAATTTAAACTATTTTTTTTAGCAGGAAAACATGGATAAACATTTGAATTTCAATATATATATATGTATCACAAGAAAATGATGTGTTACAGAAACAAAATGCATATGAAACTAACGAGTAAATAGAAAATAATGAAACACTGCTTAATTACTGCTGTTTAATTAATATCACCTTTGAGTTCATAATTCCAAAAGATAACGTTAGGCTAATGACACATCTATGTAAGTATAAATTAATAACTTGCTTCAAACAAAACTATAAACATTTGTAACTAAACTCAGAACAAATCTAACTAAACTTACATAACTAAAATTAATTATAAACATTTTAAATTATAAAATGTAACTAAACTAATAACAGAAATGTACACTACTGATATAAACAACCGCAATTGGTATAAATTAGCTGTAAACTAATAACATTACATATAACATGAGAAACCAAATTATTAACCAACTTTAAAAATAACATTATAAACTGGCATGCAAATTATTAACATAATAAATTAACTATATAATAACAACATTATAAACATTACAAACTTAACATTTAAAAAAACAAAACTAGATTAACAGCCAACTGTAAAACTAATAACAAACTAGTAAAAATAACTATAATTATAGAATTGTCAGCAAGACACGAAAAACTTACTTCGACAATTCTGCTAGTTAATGGCTTGGTGAGAACCATCAACAGATCCTGGTCTTTGGCTTTCATAGTCTCCAAACTCAGGCTCGACACAATTGCCTTTGTCAGGTGATACAAGTAGCCTGACAAGGAGGGGAGAAAATATGCGTCATTGAAAGCCCACTCAAATCTTAGCTTTGAGTACGAGAAAACTCATATGTTCACTATTTTTTTTATCTAATCCATTCTCATAATAGTTTAACCCATTTTGTCCCAGCTGTTATTTTCCCATACTTTGTCCCGTTAACTATATTATTTTAAACTCAATAAGACTGAATAACTGGGACCCTTCTAATAAAAATAAAAGCTGTTAAGTAAAGTAACAGCCGCCTAGGACTCATGTTTCTTGATGTTATTTTGTAATATTATAAGTTTACAACTAGTTTATATAATTTGCGGTTATTTATGATATAGGCAGTGATAGATACTAAAAGAGAAGCAAAATTTGGACAAATACAGGAAACAGAAACAGCCAAAGGGTGTCCACACCCCCCACTTTTTTTCTCTCTCCACATTTTCTTTTTTAACATGATGCAGAAATATACTAAACCCACAATTATTGCAGATAATTTGAAAGATAAACAGCTCATTGAAAAACGAAAACTATATCTCTGATATATAATATACATAACTGATAAATCATCAGAATACATATAAACTAGATTTATTAATTTTTTTTTTAATTTTTATTTACAGGCTATTACCACTAAATGTTAGGATATTAACAAGTTTAAAATTTACTAACATTTATTTGTGCAGTATTACAGTGGTTTTTGTAAATGAATAGGTTACTTGCGTATCCTTTATATGACGTTGCAGAACCAACTCCAACAGCCCCTGGCTGTTGTGTGGTTTTTCTAGGCAAATTTACGTCCAGTAGTTTGTCATTTTTTAAATGAATAGTCAGTTATATTTGCCTTTTACATTTGGTTAATGAATATAATAAATAATACTCACTAGTGCAGTATTAAAATTTCATTTGAAAATACAATTAGCGCATATACTCATCAATACTCTTGTGTGATGTTATAAATGAAAAAAGTTATAATATTTACCCGTGAAGTATTCCAGTGGCAGAAGAATCAACACAGTCAACCAGTTGAAGACATCATGGACCTGTTTAAAAATGGATTACAAACTTTTTTTTTTAGAAACCTGGCAACTAGAAGACAAATGACAGTCATATACCCAGACCACATTTTTATTTTAAAGCCACATATTCCTTTCTCACTGCATGGTGTACTGGAGATGTACTATCCAATTTGTATAGATCATTCAGCACCGGATCAGAGATGTGGTAATTACTGCTTCAGCCGGCTTTACTTACCAGGAAATTTTTCTGGTGCCCATTTTAGGTTAGGCTGACCTAGAGTCGGGTTAATTAAAAAGAAACACAGCCTTGAAGAGGATATGGCCACATAAGCAGTAAGTAAGTGTGCCGCTCACTTTCCTACCACAGCCTCCTTAAGTTACGTGGATGACAAAATTTAGACTGTCAGTTGTTGGCACTGTTACCATCTAGTCTTCAAAGAAAACTTGTCATTCTACAATCAAGTAAGTCAGACAATTCCTTCCAGTGATTTTTCCATCCTTTATAGTGGAAAGTCTCAATTTTTAAGAAAGCTGTGGTAGGAAAGTAAGCGGCACATGCAAACAAAAGCTTATAAAAACCACCTGTATCTAGATTATTTATGATACAACATTATCATTTACTGGGCCACAAAGCTTAGCTCATCTTTGTGTTCACTGGCTGTAAACTTGCAGCGAAAGGTTCTGGTTGTTCACCCACCTCTGAACTTTGGTCTTGTTCCAGAACCTTAGTGTTCTGTGCACATTAGTTTCAACAGATTTGACTTAATTGTATGCAGATTGTTGGTTCTTTGCTCTCAGGTAGACGCAGTCCGACTTGAAAGGAAGCCCCCAAAGGTAGACTATCACAGTATCATTTTTGGGGAGGCAGTGGGTCTATTCTTGTTTTCCCCCACAACTGGGCCTAGAACCCACACGGGGAAAAGCTCAGATGAACACAATTCCTGTTTTCCATATCAGCTCAATGATCTTTTCCCTACTATACCATTTGGCAGAGCTGTTCAAGTATAATCTTTTTGTCTTCATTTTAACTTGTTATAATCAATTCTGCCAGCTGTCACTAAATTTCTATTTGTTAAAAAAAAAACTAAACTTTTCTAGTTCCTTGTTTTAATGTGCTTAGAGAACTGCCTTTTAAGTTTTTTTTAAATTATAAAAGTACTTACCACTGCGCCACTAAAAGCCCTGCGGAACTCCTTGCGGTTCATAGAGTGAGCAAGGGAGACTAGTGTGTTGGTGACAGTTGTGCCAATGTTGGCTCCCATGATGATTGGGATGGCTGGTCGGATATCTATAACTGGAAAACAATAATGAATCTTAGTCAGACACAGGTTCAATGTAAGAAGCTGTAAGCAAGACAGAGGATAAAAATGATGTAACTGAAATAGATGGCTTGATATGGGTAACAATGTAGACAGTGCTCAGTGTAACTGAAGAAAATTGTTTAACATCTTGAAATCATAACAGAAGTTAGGTCAGACAAAAGGTAACGATTTTTAAATAATTCTAAATTACATAACTTGAACAGATGCTGATAAAATCAGGAATGCGATCATACGAGATAAAGCCAGCATAGAACCAATTCTAAATTACATACAAAGACAGCAAATTAAATGGTTTGCCCACTTAAGGAGAATGCCTTCTGATGCTATATCATACAAGGCATATACCCAAAAAAAAGGAGAGGGACGTAGATCAAGAGGTCAACCAAGAACAAGATGGAAAGATAACAGAGAAACCCTACAGCACCACAATGTGTCTATGGTCGAAGCAGCCAGAAGAGCACGAAGCAGGACCTTATATCTCCCTCGACCCGTAGTGAAGAAGAAAAGATGCTTAGATATGGATAATAGCAACAACACACACAATTCAGACACTGGGTACAAGTAATTACAAGTTTTAAAAATTTATGTGTATCAAAGATATTCTTTAAACAGCATACAAATATAAGGTATCTAAATTATGATTTGAATGAGACAGAAGGCAGACTCCCTTCCTCAAGCATGAAGAATACCAGACTTTCCCGGGAATTCCCTACTAAATCTCGGAATCTGAGATGGGGCAAAATAAAACAAAAAGTGGTGGAACGAGGATAACAACTTACTGTTGGAAGCAACCATAGTGATGACGATGGAGCTGGAAGTGGACGAGCTCTGTAGGATCACCGTGGCCAGGACCCCAATCATGAGACCCGTGATGGGGTTCGCCAGCAGCTCACTGTCCTGGAACACACTCCCTGTACAGACAAACAAACGCATGTTGTTACTATTGGTACCAGCCCAGTTTCAGAAATGTAAGCAGGCATGTTAATGAGGACAGCAACTGTTCACCCTACCTCAGGTTATTCAACTAAGTCTACTCGGGGCCCAAAATAGTGACAATGGGCATCGTCACAGGCTAGAGACCCAAGCACAGAAAGGTCATTAACACAATACAACTGACAATGATCCATAGACCTCCAGTTGTTTAATCCTGGTTTAGATCTAGGGTTATGTTCTCTTTCTTCACCATTACAAGGCCAGCAGTTGTGGTAAGGTTTGCAAGTAAAAGTTAGTGGTGTATCTTTTACAGAACACTGCAGAACCAACCATAGCCCAGAATTGTTTTGATTTCAATAGGCAGTCGTTTTTACGTTCAATAGTTTGCCATTGCTGTCTGAATGGTCGGCTGTTGATATCATTGTGGAAACTAACACAAGGTGGTCTGCCGTCCTATCGCCCACAGCTAGTGCAGAACCCAGCACCTCAGAGTTATGGAGCACATTCAAAATGCCTAAGCTACACATCCGGTGCTAATTAAACCTTTTATTAGTTGCTTTAAAGAGGGAAAGGCATTAGACCTGCCCCCAAGGGCCCCAGACACCAACATCAGAGGGGGAGGCATTAGACCTGCCCCCAAGGGACTGGGACACCAGCATCAGAGGGGGAGGCATTAGACCTGCCCCCAAGGGACCGGGACACCAGCATCAGAGGGGGAGGCATTAGACCTCCCCCCAAGGGACCGGGACACCAGCATCAGAGGGGAAGGCATTAGACCTGCCCCCAGCATCAGCATCTGCTTGACCGCACATTGCTACTGAATATTCATGTCTTACATAGTCAATGGGGTAAGTATGCTTATCTGGTGGTTATAGGTTTCAATCCCAATCCCAGCAGACTTAAAATTATCATTGGCCGCCTTGACCCAGCTTAAGATGAAGTAACTTTCATTCAGTGTGGTTTATGTCAGTCCATGAATTAGTTGCATCGGCATATGCCAAATATTCAAAATGTTAAATTGGCTGTTTTATTTAGTGTTTTTCTTACATTGGTGATTGTAACATCTAGCACTGATATGTTTAAAGTTAAAAACATGATGGCATATGCCAGATAAGCTTTCCTACAGATGTGTTTTTAAAGTTATCTAATTAAGTAATGAATGTAGCTGGCATGTTTTCAAAAATGACCTTAGCTGCCAGGTCGACCCGGTCTTAAATGGATATCAGATAAAGTCCCGGGATGCAACGGTGGCAAGCATGATGTTGACCGCAGCACCATATTGAGTGATGGTTGGTCAATAAACTATTTGCCTAGCACTATGTGCCTAATACGCCTGAAAGTGTGAAAAGGCCCCCTTTCCTCTAGTACGTCATATTGTTTACAAGAGACACCTTGGTGTGAGAACGCTGCTACAGATCACTCTAATGGCATAATCTACATACTATGTCTACTGATATGACACGTTTGGAGCAGTTTAAAATTGAGGTCACTATTCAGGTTCAAACCTAATGTTAAGTTACCTTTGACTATTAGCATGCTACTCATGTAAAAAAAAAGTAAAAAGTAAAGGTCCCTTTTCCACGCCTTTACGCATATAGGGCTAGACCTATATTTTTATAGACCAATCGGCACAAGATGGGTGATGTGGTCAGCATCACACCGGTCACCTCTACTTCCCGGGACAACACCCGGTTCCCACCCAAGGCTAGGTCGACCTGGGAGCTTAGGTCGTTTTTGAAGAAAAGTCCAGCTCCGGCAGGGAGCAAACCTTCCGATCCGCAGAGCGAGTCTAGCCGCTCTGCCACTGTGATTCCCTCTACTCATGTGGTAATCACTTAATTTACATTGGCTTCCAGATAAAATTAGCCTCAAAGCAGGCACAGAAAATTGTGCTTGGAAGCAAAGGTGGCTGATAAGATAATCTTTCATCTACTGAATGTTTACTGTTCTGTAAATATATGAAATAAGTGCTATATACTACACAAATCACTCATCTTCAGTGATCTCTGGTTATGCACTCAACTTTCTGTGCCAGACAGTTTCAAAATAGAAACACAGTTGGTCAGATTTCTAGTGCATGCCCAGACCAAACATGAAATAAATAATAACGCATCGTGCGTTGCCTTGATACACATAGACATGGCTGCCGGGGACAGAAGTCAACTCTTTGAGTCTCAAGGAACGCATCATACGTTCATAGGTTCCTACCTAGAAGCCCAATGAACGCACAATGTGCCGATTTTATGACTCTCTTTACTGCCCCCTGGGCCTGTGATGCTAAACTCCCTGGGTTAAATCCACTATAGGCTGTAAACTTTTATGTCAGCTCGAGGTCTCGTAGGTTCCCTAAGCTTTGTAGTTGTGTGTGCTGGGTGTGGCTGTGTTGCTTCAGGTGTCTTCCAACAGATTGTGTGGTATGTTTAGCATGAAGACACTAACAGAGAACTGTTTGGCTCATGCTTAATTTGTTTGAGTGTTTGATGAGTCTGTCATGTCCAATGCATAAGCAAAAAACGGTTACAAAAGCTTTTCTATAATACTAGATTTACAGAAACAGGTCATGTTTTTGACTGCTAAAGGACAAATTAAAAAAAGACAGTTACCTGCGGTTTTTCCACCCAGAAGTCGGAAGGCATTACTGAGAAGGTCAAGGGTGCAGATGAAGATGTACAGGAGCAGAAACACACACACGATCTTGACAACAACTTTGACCACGGACCAGGGACTGCACCGACACTTTTCATCTGATTTGCGAACAAAACACAAAATCATTGTTACTAAGAAACACACAAACATAGTGTACACATTTTATTAGCATTTGTTAATTAAATCATGAATGACAATCGGTACCAAGTCTAAGAAAGCTAGTCAAATATCCCTTAATATATTTCCAAATATTTTATTAACAATTAAAAGATATATACTTACCAAACACACTGAAATATGTGCTGTAAAACATAATGCAACATAACTAAAAAAAAAGTTCTAACAACAATTATTTATGTATGTATCTTGCTAAATAACATAAATACAATATACCTTGGAGCATGGGATAGACAAAATAAAACTCAATTCAGACACTGGGTCATTTTTATGAGAGACTAGTATTTGTCGTTTATTTTTTTGTGTGTGTTGCTGTTAAATAAGCTATGTAAATCATGTAAGCATAATATTAATTTTAATATTTTGATAGCAATTATAAATATTTATTTGTTATGCTGACAAACTGGCAAGTATTTGTCCACCCTTTGCTCTAAAGTATACATCAAATTACTGCATTAACCTTATCTCTAGTTCTCTCTATTACTTCTATAAGTGAGATGTGATGGTTTCTTTAAGTACTCCTAATGATCAATGATAAAGATGTTCAAAACATACTTAAAATGGTTATGAAACCAATTCTTCATTATGCAAGTCATGAAAGTACACCCACAACATGATATGAAGCAAACTAAAGACATTTTTCGCCCCACCCTTTTAGAGCGAATGTTTTCACCAGATCAAGGAATGTTGATCTATTTTGTTTTTAGCATCAGTTAGGGTTAAAAAAAAGTGTTTTATTTTTGGCGCGGTTGGGAAGGGGGGGGGGGGGCGCTGACAAGCCTAACATATTTTGATACAAAGGTATGTTGACCTGGTCTTTGAGTCTCCCTAGCCTAAATATGCAGCAGGAAATGTCTGAGAAGTCAATGTGGTAATGTTAGTGTTTCGACAAACGGGTGGTATCTTACGTTTGTATACATAGTCACTTCCATGAGGCTTGAAACCTTATTCAACTAAGTTTACACTGGGGCCAAAATTTTGAAACATATTTGTCACGGGGCCTGAGAAAGATCATTAATACAATATAACTGGCGAACGACCCGCCATTGAAATAGCTTTAATCGAGCTGACTTTGTTTTTCTTTTTAAGATCAGCAGAAGAAGTTATAGTATCCCCCCCCCCCCTCACAGAAACTCTTTTCAGCCGGCGCTGTCATGTAATGTCTTCGAGTACATGTATAATTCCTCCCATATCTTTTCCCCCCTTGCCCATATTTGTCCGCTATTTCTAGTAATTAGGTCAGCTTTCATTTTCAACTATTCTGACTCACCGAAGACAGCGGAAGCCGCTAAAACACGGTGGGGTGGGTAAATCCTAACTTTTTAAATAATCAAACGTGGCTACCAGTTCAACCCAGCTTTAAAGGGACAAGGAAGTGTATTGGGAGGTAAAATCGGTTGGTGTAGTAGTGATTGCCTCAAAATTTGAAATAAATGTATATGTAGCTACAGCACTACATGCCAGGTAGGAAAGGGGCCCCTTTTTAAATACATAAACCATTTTGATATAAAGTTTACTTTTGTTCAACAGCATACATCATATAGCAGAAAAGTGAGTTTTCATTATTGCGTCTGTTGTTTATTTGCTTTACTGAAACTCGAGTTTCCTTTTTTATAGCAGTGTAAACTGTTGATACAGTAAGACTCAATTTGGGGCGTAATAAACATTGCAGCAGATAGAACTAAAAGTAGGTAGAGATCGTGGCCAGACAGAAACATGGAGGAGACAGACCGCCATAGAGAGGTAGAGCGGCCGCCGTCTGCCGGCCCGGGTCACGTGAGGTCACCAGCAGGAGCAGTCACGGCGGGCTGGCAACAACCGGTCTGATCCGGATCCCGTGAACAATGCGCGCCACAGAAAACCGGATCGGTCCCGCCCGCGGCGGCTCAGTCGCAGTTGCCGGTTTATTGATGAAAGTTTCTACATCAACATTTTGTCAAACATTTTGTCAACTAACAAAACTAATTATAGTATTAATTGATTAAACTCTACATTCGCACATTGTAAATTAACCGCCCCCCCCCCCCTTCTCTAATATACTGTTGCGGGACGAGTCTTAACACGAAGTGTATTCTTGTTTAACTATTTCTTCCTTTCACTTTTCCGTTACAACGTAATATAAATGGCGCCGCCACGTTACTTTGTTAACCTACGCAGCTTATCAGGACATCGTACTTATGATGACAATCTGATATCAGTTGTACAAAAGTAAACAAATGATGAAACTAGGTAAGGCTCTTCTTATCAGTCGCTAACATTAGACCCATTCATGTTCCCCTTCACCAAACGGGCGCGCCTTTACCGGCGTTCTTTTCTCCCCGATAAATTTAGCCCGCGCTTTTATGTAACATTTGAAGGGGATACTTTAGGAGTCAGATGGGGCAAAGGCTAGCTGATTTGCTTGTCTGGACTAACCGGTTTGTTTGAATTCAGTTTTTCGGCGGCTGACAGACTTTTTTTTTTACTAGGAAATTTCCCGGGAAGTAAAGCACGGCATCACTAATCGAATTTCAGTTCGTCTGCAACATTAGTATTGGACCAGCACATATGTGCCCAAATGCGCTTCAAAATATGTAACTGACCTTTAATTACTTTTTACATTTTAAATCTAAAGTTTGGCTGCAGAGATGTCTGATTACATACATTAGAACATGCAAAAGGATAAACGCCTGAAAAGTCGAAATGCCTTACTTTAATGAGCACTATAGTTAGTACACTAGGATTCGAATTTCGGCAACGTATGGCAAGGCTATTTAGTTGGCGGCCCGCGGGGCAAATCTGGTCGGCAGAAGCCTAGCAAGTGGTCAGCGGATCATTGCCAATTGTTTTGTTAAAAAATTTTTTTTTTAAATTAATCTCGGGTCTTTGGCCCGCGTACTATCTCAGCTTTGTAATATTTTGGCTCACTGAGTCACTCAGGCTGAGTGAACAGCCCAGATGTATGCACCCTTTAAGACTACAAACGTCTTGAAATGAAGCAAACGTGACGTAACATGTGACATAAAATGCACACATGAATTACCACTCCTGCGCTTTCTGTGTCTCTTCTTGGCTCACTGGCCTCCAGAGGGCAGCCATTTCCATGTCCTCCTGTGAACTACATACACAGAACCAGGGCAACAACAACCGAGTCCTGTGAGGGAGAAGGAAATAAAACGTAAAGAAAAAACAAGACGCACCATGTTGGCACTCGGAGATCCTGGCCAGCCGTTTGGTCAAGTCCCTCTTGTAGTTCTGATCAGCAAGGATTGAGTTTCCCGCACCTTCAGCCGTGTCCACCTCGGACACCCGAGAGGAAAAACCAGAGTCTTTCACACTCGAAAGGAAGCCTTCGGTGGTCAGCAGCAGGCACTCGGAGGCGTATTTTCCAGGTGGTCCAGTGGTTAGCCCTCGGGCCTGGTTGACGAAAGAAATAGGTAACTTCCACATGGCCTACCAAACTAATTATGGTAGATAAGTTAAAAATCTAATTAACAAAGCACGATAACTTACCTCCTCATTCAAATCAGGTATGCATCCTTCGTCAATATTCACATCGTTGACGATCATGTCTGTGGTAGTAGTAAAATCTCCAGTGTATTTGGCTTCTGACATTTTCTCTAGCTGTATTTTCACCAACTAGGATGCTGTATCAGATCTTATAGCTGAAGTGTGCTATAATCGTAACCTCGTGTTACCCTCTCGAGCCGGTAATGTAATATTAATACTCGAACAAGCCTCGGTTGCGCTGAGTAACTCAGGCAGGCTGCGTTCTTCACTCGTGTTATCAGGCGTGCACGGCTGGCTTTTCATTGGATGGTTGTTCGGGTGACCTGAAAGCCTCGAGTGCTGATTGGCTGCTTCTCTTTCATTGATTGACATTTGTCCACTTTGATTCAACGCTGGCTGGAAAATTGCTTTGCGCTTTTTTTTTTTTTTTAATGTTTGAAAAGTCGAAAATACCCGCTCTCTTTATTTAAACATATTATATACGTATATTTTATCAATTTTACGTGATGTAATTAATAGTATATTAAAAAAGTAGACATTAGTCCTGAGCGGGCTCCATTGTTACATATTTGTAAACATTCACGTACGTCATCTTGCATCATCAACTACCCCATTCTCTAAATTTAGACAGTGACTGCATGGGTCGCAAATAGAAAATCAACAATCCTTGGCAGACCTGTCACTAGGCATTTTAACGGGTTAATAAATCCGTGTGGAAAATTTACCGGTGCTAAGATTTCCTATAAGACGATTGTGTCACTGGGATTTTCGATTTGTTTATACACGGGGCGAAGTAGTGGGCACTTAGGCCACTTAAGGCGTGTGTCCGGGCCGGGCAGCCTGATGTTGACTTTGTCATGGACCGACTACTCTTCCATGACCGACTATCATGTGACTGTGCGTTCTTCTTCTTCGCGTTCATCGGCTGTTCACTCTGGCAGAAAGTTTGGTTGTTCGTCCACCTCTGTACTTTAGACTTGTTCCACAACCTGAGTTTTGCGTGCACATCCCTTACCTTTTTGTGTGCAGGCTGTTTGTTCCCCAAGATACACTCTAACTTCAAAGGAAACACTTTCTTACAAATGTTAGTAATACAAACCAGAAATCGAATGTAATTTATTGCAGCGCTTCGTCTTTCAGAAGCAACCTTCCGACCACGTATATTACATTCTCTAACCTGTAAGCCGCAGCAGATTTCACATTAGCTGAAAATGTTCATTTTTTGACACCTGATTTAACAAATATTTTGCTGTCTACTTTTGTTTCTTTACTTGTGTTTTGTTTCTCTTTATACGACGTTTTCAAACCCACCCCAGACTCTTTAGATAGTTTGGGATTTACAAGGCAACTTTACCTCCACTGATTTGCCCTCACAGTACTGACTGAATGGTTGGTGCTCCAGGACCCTTACAGTAGTGACTGAATCATTGGTGCTTCAGGGCCCTCACAGTACTGTCTGAACCATTGGTGCTCCAGTGCCCTCACAGTACTGTCTGAACCATTGGTGCTCCAGTGCCCTCACAGTACTGTCTGAAACATTGGTGCTTCAGGGCCCTCACAGTACTGTCTGAACCATTGGTGCTCCAAGACCCTCACAATACTGTCTTAACCATTAGTGCTCCAGGGCCCTCACAGTACTGTCTGAACCATTGGTGCTCCAGGGCCCTCACAATACTGTCTTAACCATTAGTGTTCCAGGGCCCTCACAGTACTGTCTTAACCATTGGTGCTCCAGGGCCCTCACAGCACTGTCTGAACCATTGGTGCTCCAGGGCCCTCACAGCACTGTCTGAACCATTGGTGCTCCAGGGCCCTCACAGCACTGTCTGAACCATTGGTGCTCCAGGGCCCTCACAGTACTGTCTGAACCATTGGTGCTCCAGGGCCCTCACAATACTGTCTTAACCATTAGTGTTCCAGGGCCTTCACAGTACTGTCTGAACCATTGGTGCTCCTGGGCCCTCACAGTACTTCTTCTTCTTCTTCTTCGCGTTCACCAGCTGTACACTCTGGCGGAAAGTTCTGGTTGCTCGTCCACTACTGAACTGCAGTCCCGCTCCAGAACCTGGGTGTTGCGTGTGCATCAGTTTTAAAGATCTCATTCTCTTGAATACAGACTGTTGGTTCCTTGCCTCTCCAGCAGATGCACTCCGACTTCAAAGGAAGCTCCCCAATTAGTCGACTTTTACTACATGATTTTGGGAAGGCAGTGGGTCTATTCTTGTTTTCCCCACAGTGGGACCCTGGAACCCACACGAGGGCCTCGCAGTACTGTCTTAACCATTAGTGTTCCAGGGCCCTCACAGTACTTCTGAACCATTGGTGCTCCAGGGCCCTCACAGTACTTCTGAACCATTGGTGCTCCAGAGCCCTCACAGTACTTCTGAACCATTGGTGCTCCAGGGCCCTCACAATACTTCTGAACCATTGGTGCTCCAGGGCCCTCACAGTACTGTCTGAACCATCGGTGCTCCAGGGCCCTCACAGTACTGTCTGAACCATTAGTGCTCCAGGGCCCTCACAGTACTGTCTGAACAATTGGTGCTCCAGGGCCCTCACAGTACTTCTGAACCATTGGTGCTCCAGGGCCCTCACAGTACTTCTGAACCATTGGTGCTCCAGGGCCCTCACAGTACTTCTGAACCATTGGTGCTCCAGGGCCCTCACAGTACTGTCTGAACCATCGGTGCTCCAGGGCCCTCACAGTACTGTCTGAACCATTGGTGCTCCAGGGCCCTCACAGTACTGTCTGAACAATTGGTGCTCCAGGGCCCTCACAGTACTGTCTGAACCATTGGTGCTCCAGGGCCCTTACAGTACTGTCTGAACCATTGGTGCTCCAGGGCCCTTACAGTACTGTCTGAACAATTGGTGCTCCAGGGCCCTTACAGTACCGCCCTATATTTTTATAGAAAAATCTGCACAAGATGGGTGATGTGGTCTGCATCACGCCGGTCGCCTTTACTTCCCGGGACTGCCGCCGGTATCCAATCAAGGCGGAGTCGACCTGAGAGTCAATGTCATTTCTAAAGAAAAAAAGTCCATCTTCGCCAGGGAGCGAACCCACGACCTTCCGATCCGCACGTGATCGTCTAGCCGCTACGTCACGGCGACTCCCTTTTGCCAAGTATTCTGCTCTTTCATTTCCTCGATAGTTGCAGTGGCCTGGGATCACAGTCTGTTTGGTTAGCTGGCCCATTTACATCAGCCTTATCCACATATTGCATATCCTTTATAGGACGTTGCAGAACCAACCCCAGCACTTTCTGGCTGTTGTGGTTTTTCTAGGCAAATATACGTCTAGTAGTTTGCCATTGCTTTCTGGACGGTCAGTTTTCTTGATACCACTGTCAAAACCAACGCAAGGCGCATGGCCCGTAGCTGCGATTGAACCCGGTATCCCGGCATTACGAAGCGTTTGTATCGACTTAGCCACAAAGCCAACAACTCATCTTTAGACTATAAATAAATAAAGTTATGGCTACAGATGGGCGTGGAAACAAGTTATTTACTGAAAACATCAGCAGAAAGCCACGAGTGACAGAGCTCCCGTGCAGCCTTCACTCACGTGGTTACGTCAACAAGTATACATTAACCTGGAGATGTGCCAAATCTAGTTCCTCCGTTACACCTCTCATGCAGTCGTGCAGGTTTCTCAAAGGTAAACAAAACTCCTTTTTACATTACCCATTGTGTGGCGTGGGTTTTTCAATGAGATGTTTGCATTTCCACCCAAAGCAAATGCAGCAGGAATAATCAGCTTTAGCGGCATATTGAAGTTGTAATAACATTGCTTTTGACGAAGATTGAAAACATCAGTTCTCAAATATATGGTTATAATCCAGACCAAAGCTGTTTGAACTGGAATGGTAATCTTTAGCGGATCTTAAAGTTATTGAATATTGCTTTTATAACAAAATTGAAAGATCAATTCTAAGCTGTCAGATGGGAGCGAATTTGAGCCATTGCTGTGTCCCAATAACAGCTTCTAACTATGCTCAAAAGACACAAATTTTATGAAATCGTATACATGAATAGCGTCTTCATACAGGTCGGTAAATGGGTGGCCTTGATATCTTTGAAACTCATTCTCTTTGTGATTTATGCGGGTAGATCAATACAGACTGGCCCGTGTGGGTTTTGGGGAAAACCAGAATAGACACACTGACTCTCCAACAAGCATGTCGTAAGATTCGACTAACTGAAGACCTTCTTCGAAGTCGCCTGAGACAAGGAAACAATAACCTACTTAAAAATAAGTCAGATCTGTAAAAATAGATGTGCACGCAATATCCAGAGCCGGACGAACAACCAGAGCTTTCCACTGGAGTTTACAGCCGGTGAATGCGCAAAGAAGAGAACATATTGATTTGTTTCTTAAGTTTCGACTTTTGAAACGCCTGGGGAGATGTAAGGGCAGATAACCAGATAACACAAATCGGTGAGTGCCGGGGGGTGGGAGCAGGGAGTGGGAATGGGGTGAGGAGGTGTGTGTCGCCTAAACCTTGTCTAAGTGCCCAGTACTAATAATATTAGTAGTGTTTGCTGATGGCAAATAAATGTAATAACTACTTGAAATGCGAAATGTATAGATACCGAACAAGAGAATGTCAAAGGCTTGTTGCCACTTTGGATGTTTTAAATCCAGATTTAGATGTTTTCCCTTGCATTTAGATGACGTTTTTGACGATTAGATGGTAGATGTTTTTCTTGTTGTTTTTTATTTGGAGTAAATTTATCAAATCTATCCTAAGAAACAGGATGAAATTTGACCTCTTAAATGCTATGACAATAAAATTTGGCCTGAAAAGAGTAGGAAAAAGCTGTTCCACTTAACAGCTCCCTGATTGGGTATCAGAAGAAATTGGAACGTGGCAAAAGTGGCAACACTGCCGATGGCAGTGATAACTTCTCTGTATTTCTATTTTTAACACCAGAACAGGCCCGCGTAATTTCCCATCCTTGCTGTCCCTTTGCCCAAAAAAGGATATGCTAATCTAGAAGGCCGTCATAACCATGTCATGTCATGTCACTTTTGTATGCAGGCATGCATGTATAGTGCGTTTCAAAACCACTACCCTCACACTGTAACAACTATCTCGAAA